TACATCCTACCAGTAATTTCCATCTTTAACATTTTTATTAATAAACCTTCTTTCCACAACATATCATTTGCCTTTTCAATATCAAAAAACACTGCTACAATACTTTCTTTACTAATTTGAGCTTTTCTGATTTCAAATTCCAAACTCAAAACTGCATCCATAGTATTCCTACCCCTCCTAAAACCACTTTGATATTTTGATAAATATCCATTAGATTCTATATAATAAATCATTCTTTCAAAATTCATTTTCTCCATTATTTTACAAATATTTGAGGTTAATCTAATTGGTCTATAATTTTCAGGTTTTGTATCAGCCATGCTACGTCTTCTTCTCGGAAGCTCATTATTGTTGGCTCAGCAGGTAACTGGCTTGTGTGCTGCCCCCTATTGCCCACCCCGTTTTACATTATATTGCTCAGTTTGGGTTCCACGCATGCGCTAGCCAATTTGCCCCGCCTCTTCCGTGACAGGTTGAACTCTCACACACAAGTACAAGCCTCTCATTCAGTCTGCTACGATATCAGTCACATACACACACGCGCGCGCGCGCGCACACACACATATGTATAGCCTCTCATTCAGTCTAGTATTAGTTCACACCCACACACACACACACCCACACACACACACACATATGCGCACACACACAAACATATGTATATCCTCTCATTTAGTCTAGTATTAGTTCACACACACACTTATGCCCTCTCATACAGTCTAGTATTAGTGCACACACACACACTTATGCCCTCTCATACAGTCTAGTATTAGTGCACACACACACACTTATGCCCTCTCATACAGTCTAGTATTAGTGCACACACACACACTTATGCCCTCTCATACAGTCTAGTATTAGTGCACACACACACACTTATGCCCTCTCATACAGTCTAGTATTAGTGCACACACACACACTTATGCCCTCTCATACAGTCTAGTATTAGTGCACACACACACATAAGACATGTATTCAATTTTAGTTTTGTGATTGTGTGTGAGTGTTTCTACTGTGATGTGTGCATGTCATAGTAGTGTGTTTGAGAGGAAAACATAGTTTTTTTTTAGAGTGTGTGTGTGTCTACTGAGGTGTGTGCATGGTTTTATTGGTGTACGTGAGAGGAAAAATAGTTTCTGTCCTAAACGGCCCCTCATAATTCGAACAATAAAGCACACTTACTACCTGACCTGGCTTCCTTCCGTTGCTCTCCATTGTTTACTTTTCTGATTTCTGTCGCACTGGTGACATGATCAACGCTTATTCAGCGTAATGTTTATAATGTAATCATCTAGTAATTAAGTGGATGATCAAAATGATAGTAAATAGATTATTAGATTAACAAAATGATAATTAGCTTTTTTTTTTACTTTTGTTGTGCAAAACAAACAAAATGTAAACATGCTGCTTGTTTATATATTCATACCAAACGTATCTATGCTGTAAGTGTGTAACAAAAGTCCAATTTCTTGATTGTGCCACAATTAAGACTAAACAAAACTGATTCAAAAATAAGACTTGTGTTTTTTACTTTAGAGAAATATGGATACACAAACAAAGAAGATATAACAACTAAAGTTGGTAAAACTTGAGTTCTGCAAAGCAGAGGGACCAGGGAGGGGACCTGTGGTACTAGCCTGTTTACTCTGCCCGCCCAACAAATATTCAGTGTTTTACCAACAGAACAAATTCCCATTCAGCCCCCTCCAGATGTATAAATGTGTGCTGTGTCCTGGAATTAATGGACTTAAAAAGCCTGGTGACCAGAAAAGTGCTTAGGCTATGAATTTTCTGAACAGGAGTGCAGTGTCAAAGGGTTCCCGTCTGGTCACACATCCAGAGGGAAAGAGGTTCAACAGTTCATTGATGGGAATGCTTTTTATGTCCTTCAGCCTGCCAATGCGAAGGGGTAATCGAGTCCAGCATACTGGCTGTCGGGGCCACAGGATCGGTGTTTTGATAACAAGTGTCCGTTGCTCTTTGGACCTGGGGCTTGATGCCTTTTGTGTTGCTTCTACTGTCTGTTAGATTCTGCATGACTGCCTGCAGGGTCAAAAAGCTCTACGGGGAAAAAACACGGGCAGGGCCCCTCTGTAGATTTTCTGAAACGATATTAAAAAAACATGTCCAAATCACTTTTAATACAAAATGAAAGACATTATAACACACCCTGTATTGTTTTTCAGTTACTTTTTAGACTGATTGGATCGGTTCCATGGCTGAGTCGAGGGGCTCCTTTTTTAGTCAGGGACAGAGTGGGCAGTTACAATATCGTCCACCTGTGCATTTTGGCTTCCATGAACTATGGAGAATGTTGTCCTATTGACTGAACAGCCAGCATGTATTTTGCAATGGCAATGCTTTTCTAAACCAAGGACAAATGATGCCACAGCTGATCCCGCTTAGATCCTGTTCTTGACACACAAGTCTACAAATATGTAGTAAATGTCTGATGATGTCAGACTTCACTGCTTTTTTATATTATGATAAGATGTAAGCTGATACAAAGCAATAAGAGATCACCGTAGATTCTTGAGTGAGATCTTAGCACCTTCTCTTAAAAGGTGCATTAGAGTTAGTTCTCAGTTAAATTTCCCATCCATTATGTATTTGTGAGAAAATCCTGTTTTCTGGCAGTCGGTTAGACTTTTCCTGTCTTTAAACTGAAGGGATATTAGTTGGAGAGCTCACTCTAACTGGTTTTGAACAAGCTTTGCTCATATATTTTTTAGAACCCATCGATCTCCACATCAAATCCTCAGCTTCATTTATGGAAGAACGAAAATCCCAAAGCATGTCTGGAATTTAAACTGTGCTACAAATTGTTCAAGGATTACCATTAACAAACGTAACAACCGCTCAGGAAATCACATGTGAACGTTCCATTGAAGCGATTTCCTATTGCTTTTGTGAGCATTAAAAAGCCACCGCCTCCTCTCTTGATTTAGCTGGACCAAAGCACGTATTGCATTTTCTCTGGTTGGTTTTGATGCACAGTAAGTGGGATAAGGGGAACAGAGAATGACAGAGGAGATAAGGGTGAAAAATGCACAGGGAGAGTAATAAAAGATGCCTTCCTTTAACTCCCACCTGCTTTATATTAGGAGCACAGCCGTGGTTCTCAGGAGGCATGGGGTCATTTGGCACGGATGCTTTTGAGTCTCTACCTAAAGGTATGGTGTACAGATGCAGGCATGACCTCTGATCTCATTTATGACTACCAAGGACCCCCACATAAGTTAAAGAAAAGCTGCCTTAGGACTACAGGCTTTCTTCTATCTGGGCATTTTTGTACATTCATGTGAATTTCAATAAATTTAAATATCTTTACAAAGTTTTAAAAGATTATTTAAATAATGCAATTCAAATTCATAGAGTCACTGCATAATATTATATATTTCAGGAATTTCTAAATTCCATTAAGGCTTAAATCTCTTAAAAACACAAAATTCACTTATTTCAAAATTGCATCCCATCAGCCTGATTTAAAAGAAGAACTTCTTATATAGCTAAATATAAACACCTGGCTTGATAATTAGCCAGCAAATAGCCAATGGCATCTAAAATAAGAAGGGTAAACTAAAACAGGCAATTTCCAAAGAAAGCTGACTGTTCACAGAATTGTATTCAGAAACAACAATTCAATGTTATTGTAAGTGGAAAGAAATAGTTCAATACAATTTTTATAGAAGAAACACAGATAACCCCAGCTTTAAAATGACCTTGAAGCAACCCCACACAAAGTATGCAGGAGATTGCATTTGTTGTACTGAGAAATTCTTTTGCTAGTGTCTTTGCTTTGAATCTGATAACTTCTCCACACCCCACAGGTTTAGGGCTGGCACCCCCAGGTGGATCAAAGACAAAAAAATGTCCTCTGCCCTGTCTGTGTCATGACCTGCGAATTGATGGGGAGCTGTAAAGAACACATGTAGCTTTTGGATTGAAAAGGATGATTTGAAAGAGGCTCAAGTTGCTTGTGACCCAGTGTTGGGTTTCTCCAGCTTTATTTAGAAGAATCACCTGCAGAATTTAGCACTCCCCCATACTGTTGCATGTACCAGTGAAACAGCATTTCTACCTGGGCCTAGGCTGCATAGCGATCTAAGTGTTTTTGCTTCCATTAAATATAAAAATTTTATGACAATATGAGTTGTCTTAATTTGCTATAGGTCAATAATCATGAAGTTTAACAAACCCCAAAGGCTTAAAATATATAATTTTTTTGTGTAATGATGACTCCTCACACCCCCACCATGGACTGTCACTGCACTCTGGGAAGAGGCTTCGCAGCATTCAATGCCGGTCCACCAGATTCCAAAACAGCTTCTTCCCCACCTCCATCAGACTGTTGAACTGTTGAGAAAACTCTAAATCATATCTTAGACTCTGCATCACACTGACAACATCAAACCAAAACAATGCATTATTGCATCATATATATTAAATGCTCTGAACTTCCATATCATTGTGGTTTTTTTGCACCATTTTTTTTCTCCCCCACTGTTTACATTTTATCACTGATGCACTTTAAAAAATGCAAATGTCATGAAAGCTGTACGAAACAAAATTTCGTTTTGTGCAAGCTTTGTGTACACAAAATAACAATAAAAGTGTAATAAATCTACATTTTGCACTTTTTATTTATTGAAATGCACTTGTACACTGATAAAAAAAAAAGCTTATGGTAAATGAACATATTGAAACCTGTTTACCGAAACAGAAGATCAGACCTTTGTTTTCCAAAGATTTTCACGTAAGATGATCATGTTTTGCAGCTAAGGGAATGCACTTATAAGAATCTCTAAATGCTTCAAATGTATTGGAGTGTTACAGACATAACCATTGATTTAGTTTCCCCGCCAACAGTAAACTCAGTTTTTTTTTTTTTTTAGTCATAACCTTGAAACATGAAGGACAATGCACTCAGTCCAAAACCCCAGCATGTTTTCATATTTGCCATTTCTACAAAAATTTCTTCTTGTGCTTCTTCTCTTTAGTTTCTCCAAAATGCGTCTTCAGTGGGAAGGAGTTCTCAGAGGGAGAGGTGTACCGCATGGACCCCTGCTGGCTGTGTCAGTGCCGTGGTGGAATCTCCTTCTGCACCAAGGCTGAGTGTGCTGAGCTGGACTGTGAAAGGTTTTACATTCCAGAGGGAGAGTGCTGCCCCGTCTGCATAGGTATACATACAAACCCTTCCTTTCCTAAAATGTGTCAACCCAGTTTATGATTTTACAGAACCCTTTCATTGTTCTACTGGACAAGTCAAAGGCCAACTTTGGTATTTTTTGCACAATAAAGATTTTCTACATTTCTGTCCAAATGCAAGCAGAGCCCTGAGATCTATAAAAAAAATTGTTTAATGTGGAGCAATATAGAATGGAATTGAATAGAACTGTAAAAAAAAAAATGAATAGAACTAGAAAGATGAAAACAATTTTGTTATTGTGCATATCACATTAATTCTGTTGGTTTTATAAATATATATAGATATTTTTATTAGTGCATATTATGGCACCTAACTCTGACTATGTTGTGACCTCAACAGTGTGAACTGTTGTTTCCTAGTTGTTACCATGTGTGGCATATAAGAGGAGCCAGTCAGAGATTCAATGACTCCCAGTAAGCAAGATCCTGTGCTGGTTTAATTTGGGAGGCATGTGCTCACAGCTAGGTAGGCAGCTTTGCTATGTCAATTTGGCTTTTGGAAAGAAAACTTCTTGCGGTGGATCTGGCAACCACATCATAGTCAGTCAGGAGCCTGTGGATGGAGATAGCAGCCAACCTTTGCCTCTGCCAGCATACCTGCTGCTAGTCAAATGCATGAGAAAGGATAGAGGACAAAGAGTTACTGTTGGAGGAAAACCTTAAAATATGGAGCCCTTTGACTGTTTTTAGTGATGCTCTAAGAGAAAAAAGATAGCATGCATCTTCCACTTAGTCAAGGTTTGTAAATAAGTAAATGATAAGAAAACAAATTGACTTATTTATCCAAGATCTTTCAGAAGTTCTTCTATGACTTTAGGCAGTGTTGTGCCTGCACGCGTTCATTGAACGAAAGTTCATGAACTCGTTCATATTTTGGGCGAACGTGAACTGAACGTACTGCATTATTGCCTGGTGAACGTTATTGTGAACTCGTTCATTCTGGCGTCTGTGAACGGCACGCTCTCTCAGTTCAAGTCCGTTTAACAGGTTGCCAGATTTCTATAAAGCCCTCCAGGCGAAACCCCGGCTAAATCACACCGTAAACAGGCCTTAATATGTAGCGGGAAAAACACCCAATCTGGCAACACCAGCTACCAGCGTCGTAGCCTACAGCCGCGTGCGTCATCAAAACAAAATGCAGCGTGGAAGCAACAGCAGCATGTAGGCGACTTAAAACAGGTTTATGACCAGGATGATGGCAACAAGTTTGCCCGCCGGCTTTCAGTAAAAAAATCCGCACTTCAGTAACCTTAAATTCCTACCTCAGCCTGGTCCCTCAGTTTGTGTTAGTAAAATGTTCTTGATCGGTCTTCAACGGGGGATCCGCGACCCCTAGGGGGTCTACGGAGGTACTGCATGAGCGTCTGCATGGTTAGTTGATATTTTTTATATTCCCCCCCTGCATTTCTTTCCCCCACTAATTGAAATGTCTTTAAATACTCATTAACATGAAATCAACACACTGTAGTAAACAGATAAATGGAGGCAGAAGATGTCTTTCAGTCATCAATGCTCACATTCAGCGACACACAGGAGCTCTTTCAAGCTGGGCACCGTTTCCTTCACAACACCTGTCCCATCAACCAGGAATCAGAATCAGAAAAACTTTTATAATCCCAGGGAGAAATTAATTTCTTTACATTACTCCATCTGTAATAGAGTACAGTATAGGACACAATTTCATACAATATATATAAATAGGGGGTCCCCGCTCCATCTCGCCATCAGTTTGGGGGTCCTTGGTCTGGAAAACATAGAAGACCCCTGTTCTTGAGGGTTTTACTATCCATGTAACTTGTTTGTTAAACCTGCCTGGTATAATTTTCCAGGATTCCTTTTTAGTATGTATTGAAATGGAATTTCAAATGGAAAAAATTATATAAAAAAAAAAAAAAAACATTTGCACCTTAAAGACTACTTTCCTATTTTTCTTTTAATAATTCCTCATAAAAAAGACCATTCAAGCAGCACATTTTTCCTGATGTTTTTGAGAATATACTGTAGGGTTGAAAGCTGCAGCTGCTACTAGTGTGAAGTGATGGACAGCAACAAAGCATTAAAGCAACAATGGGGAAATGCTGTCCCCTCAATGCTAATGTAAACCCTGGTTGGATAAGGATTCAAAACTGGATATGAAGATGAAATCTGACGCACAGTTTCAGAGTTACAACTGATAAAATAATTGCTGTCTGTGGTTCTACAGTAGGCTATGGTGTAATTGAGCAATATATGAAAAAAAAAAAAAAAAAAAGAACTATGAACTAGTTCGTTTTTTGGAATTGTGAACTATGAACTGAACTAGTTCATTTTAAAATGTGTGAACTGAACTTTGAACTAGTTCACGTAGAAAGAGAACTTTCCCAACACTGACTTTAGGGTCATAGCATTTAGGGTAAAACTATCTCATTAACATTTCTGCTGACCACATTTTTTAAAGGGTTGACATTTTAAACTCCTATTGGAAGACAGAATGGTTAGTCAGCTGCTAGTGTTGCAGCATTGCAGGGAAAATACTGGGGGGTTTCCACTCCTGGCATGGGGTCCCTCTGCATGGAGTTTGCATGTTCATGCTTGATTTCTCTCCCACTGTCTCAAATTAGATGTTAGGATAATTGTTTTCTTCTAAATTACCATCAGGGGTAACTGTATGGTTGTTTTTCTGTGTCTCTATTTGACCTGTGATAGAGTTGCAAAGCTAAGACCACAGCAGTACAGAAAACATTCATGTTTCAATTTATATTCGGCTGTCAAATTCAGCTCTGTTTTGTTCTTACCCTTGGTCAAATCAGTGGTGAAATCTTAATAACCTTTACGAGCACTATTGTTGTGCTTTTAATCTATCTCCGCTGCAGATAATAATGTGCAATTAACTCTAAAAAGGTTTGCATCTCAGACTACAACATATAATTTAACAAAATCTTATCTTAACATTTGCACCAGAATCCACAATGCATGTGTGATTTTCCTTCTCAGATGTTGAGTTGCAGTCAATGGACAGCACTAAGGCCAGTTGCTGGATGAATAACAAGTTGCGAATGCACGAGGAGCAGTGGAAAGAGGACGACTGTACATTCTGCCAGTGTGTGGATGGAGTACCACATTGCACAGCCATGGCCTGCAAACAGAGCTGCCAAAACCCTGTGAAGATTCCCGGAGAGTGCTGTCCCTTTTGTGAAGGTATCCAAGACCCTTTAAAGTAAAAACATCTTCATTTTTATTAAGTCTAATGTGAGCCGAAATCTGTAGGAGCTACCCATTAACCTGCATACCATACCATTAAGGCTCTCGTGGCCCTGCAGCTTTACTACAAAGAATATATCTGCATGAGCTCATTAAACGGGAGGCCACAAAGCATTCTTCAAGCTGTAGGGTTCTTTGTATTTCTTTATTACCCTTGCCCGCCAAAATGAGACCCACCTGTGTGGATGAGGTTACGGCATGCTTTCAAAGCAGGAGGCTACGTAATTGTAGTTGATCTTTCCTTTCTTCATAAAATTAGGTACTGCTCAATTATCTGCTCCTCCTACAGAAAGTGCTGAAAGCGGTTCAGTTCTATTCTTTTTAATAATGCAGTAAAATAAACATATACAGTAAAGTTGGCCTAAAAGCAATTAAGTCTGGAGCCATGTGTGAATCTGCTTAAAGCCAAGGTGTGTAATTGTTTATTTGATCTGTCAGCGTGGAGCTTCTGCACGTGCCATATACCTTAAAATTTTTAATGGGAGGCCATTAAGAAAATGGAGATCTACCATACTCTCTTAGAGTGCAACCCATATAATTGCCCTCCAGTTGTCCTCAATTGCTGTTTAGAGCATTGTAAATCTGTAAATAGGCAGGTATTGCAGATGAACACACAGAAGATTTTGCATCATAGTAGCTTTAAACAAATGCTGATCTATGTTTGATGAAGACATATTTTCATGCTATTATGCTACTTTTGTTTATCATCATTCTTTTGTTCTGCAGAGCCATCTTATGAAACTGTAAGTCCCTTGCTATGTCCACCGCTGGAAAACTGCTCCATCTCAGGGTTTGAATGTCCATATGGCTTCCAGCAAGACCAAAATGGGTGTCTCCTCTGCCAGTGCCTTAACAGTAAGTCTTACCTCATGAGAATGTTTTTTGTGACATGAAATTAGATGTATGTACTCTTTAGTTGTACCCATTTTAAGGTGACCTTTTTTTCTCTCCACTGTTTCAGATAACTCCTGCCCCGACTTGGGAAAATACTGTTCTCTTCAATGTCCTATGGGATATGAGAGGGACGATCTGGGCTGCGAGGTGTGTGAGTGCAGCATCCCTACTCCCAAGTGCCGACCCCTGACCTGCACAAAGACCTGCCCTTTTGGATACGTGTATGTTCACCCAATGATCCTTTGGGTTTCCTATCACCAAGCTCCAACTGCTCTCCTTTTTCGCTCACTTTTTCTGTCTGTTTCAAAAACGAGTGTTAATGTTGACTCTGTCGGACATCTTGCACCTCCGCTATTTTGTGATGTTGTAGTTTGCATTTTTTTCTACCTGAAAACCTCCATCCAACTATGCTTTTGTTTGAAGCCAGCAGAGTCCCTTTCAGCAGAGTCAATTTGCAGAAATTGTTTAAAGTAATCATCTGAATTTATTTGCAGTCTAATCTGACCAAATGCTGTTATCCGACTTTAATGAATAACATCTGTTATCAGTAGGTCACTTGGAGCTATTTTGGTCATATCTCAGAGGAGTAAACAGACCAAAAGAGGAATCAGACCAAACTTACAGAAAGTAAAACCTAAAGCTATTGGAATAAATTCTTCAAGTAAATCAAATTATACATTTGGGAATTTTTTAGATTATTTATCTCGAATATCATATGGATAAGCAAGGGTTTAAGTACAGAAATGTGAAACAATTTGACTTTAGGTATAAAGTGGAAGAAGGAGGGAGCAAACAGATGATATATGGGGGCACATTTTGCACTGCAAAAACAATCCAGAAATAAGTAAAAAATGGCTTAAATTAAGTATATTTAGCCTTAATTTGAGCAGGTAAATAAGATGATTTGCCAATGGAATGAGTATTTTTTCTCTTAAAATAAGATAGTTAGATAATATTTACTTGAAATAAGACGATAAAATAGTTTTTTCTTATTTTAAAAGGAAATTGTCTTGTTCCATTGGCAAAGTGTCTTACTTACCTGCTCAAATCAAGGAAAAACACACTTATTTTAGGAAAAAATAACTTATTGAGATTTCTATTTTTTGCAGTGTGGAAAGATGAATTGCCTACAGTGTTGCTGTGCAGGGGTCTTAAATTTTTTCTGTAGGTGTTTTTTTATTTTTATCATGCTTCTCATAAGGTCATGTTTTTTTTTGGCCTTGGTTCTGGTTTCAAGATTTTTTTCCCCAGGTTTTTCTGAAAGGGGCTTTTCTAAGGAAACTGTTGCCCCATTTGCACTACCCCTCTGAAACCGATCGGTGCCGAGTTTGGACCGAGCTTGGATCAATTAACGGTGCCGAGCTTGGTTCCTTTACGACCCTTTACACACCACACTAGCATGGTCCCTCCCCTCCTAGTGACGATCTACGGTACCACTGCTACAATTGAAGGAAGGAATATAGCAAATCAAAATGATGGTGCTCGAAACATTCAGGGAGTTATGTTTGGTTATAACTGTGACATTTTGGATTGTTGTTTCAGTTGTTGTTCTTCGTCTTCTGTTATATGGCAGTTGGCAGGGAACTTACCGATATGCATTACCGCCTACTACTCGAAGCTGACTGTAAGGAGATGACGCAGTCTGCTCATGTGCTCTTTGTTATCAGAGAACCGAGCCACAACTGAATCATGCTGAGCCCTACTGATGAACTAGTACTAGATTTAACCCGGTTCGGCTTTGTCTGGCATGGTCCAGTTCCATTTACACTCAATAGTTATCTCGCTTACTGTGCTCAGACCGCTCTCAGCCCACTTTCTAAAGGGTAGTGTAAATGGGACTAGTGTGTAACCATTAGCATCTAGGCATGCTAGACAGGTAGCCTCCAGGTTTAGTATCCCGGGAAGAATTTTGATTAAATATCAAAAAACCTTTAGAAATTACACAGAAGTCCAATTTAAGTCTTTGTAAAAATTTGTAAAAAAGAAAATCACTTTATGTTTTGGAAATTTTATAATTTTTTATAAATGCAAATTCAAAACCTTTAAGTGTTTTGGACCAAACTATCCATACCTGCTATATGCACAGCTAGTTGTTTTCATATGATAAGTTTAGTGACTGTGACATTACTTTAACATGCATTACCTTGCAGCCTGTGCCGTCTCATTAGTGAATATTAGTGAGTATATGAAAGGGCCCATCTCCCTTGGTGGTCCTTCCTGAGATACTGAATCTATGAATGAGTGTCTGTTTTTGAATTCAATTAAGTTTCAGTGAGGTCCGTATTAGCCTTCAGCTCTCTGCATCTCTTTATCCTCCTAATCCCATTTCGAAAAGATCAAACATCTGGGAATACTTTTTTCCATAATGCTTAGTCCCCAGCACCACTCTCATTCCAAAAATCGTCATGTGTCCCAATACAAAAATCAAACTTAAACCAGGATGCAGATAGAGGGTCAAATTAAACATACAGCCTTGATACATCTAGTATTCCTCCATGCTTTCTACAGTTATGGCTGAGAAAGGCTAATACAGCCGCAGAGGAGAGGATGAGGAGGATCCTGTGGGTAAGAAAGAACAGGAAGTCTTTGTTTTATCCTTCCTAAGCAGCTGTTTAGGGCTTACCTCAGAAGTCTGAGATCCATAGTTTGTGTCTCACAGTGCAGATTTGTCCTCTCACACTCCTGATTGTAGCTACCACGAATCAAAACAACAAGCTAGATATAATGATCACTTGATGATGAGAAAAATAAACCCAGGAAAAAAAATCAGAGCATGTGTTGAACATTCTGTTTTTTATTATCACTATATAGTTCTTTGCATAACCTTCATTCTCTTTGAACTCTTTCCACATTTAACCACATAAAGTAATTACCATGCACTTAAACTGATTTTATTGGGAAACACAAAGATGACAATGATGATAATGTTTCTTAAATTATAATTTTTTGAACAATCTTTGTACAATTTTTGAAATCCTTTCGCACTGACACACTTTGATCCATCCATTGTGTTCTGCTCATCCAAATAATGTTGTAAGAATTAAATAGTAGACCTCTCCCTGATGACACCTTTGGCCTTTTTTGGGATATTATTTTTACTCTTCCCAGGAGTGTCCTACATATTGTGCAAGCTTGGAAAACCTCTTAAGTGAGGTGTCCTGGAGGCGTCAGATCCACAAACCACTTCGAATGACTTCTCTCAATGCAAAGAAGCAATGGCACCTCTCTACGTTACCCATACGACAGAGCTTATAACCCTATCTTTGTGGCTGATTTTGCACTTGTATCTTGGATCTCACTCTTTATATCATATGTGATCCAAATCTCCTGACCACAGTTGAGGATTGGAACTTAGACTGGCCAAGCTCTTTCTTCACCAGAACAGACTGTAGCATTACTGCAGACAAAGCTGAAGCTAGTCTGTACACCTCCTATTGACTTCTAACATAACTCATGAATAAGACACAAAAGCCTTGGATAAATGCCGATTTTTTCAATGCCAGCTGCAGCACCAGACTTCTCTACTTCGCTAGGTTTGTCCCTACTTCAGACTGAACCAAACATTTGCATGTATCCACAGACGGCAGCAGCTGTGGCTTTAACCCCTGGCTCCTCTCGTCAGTACTGTGGCTGTGCCTTGATTAACCTTATTCTGAGACATTACCAAATTAAAGAAATCTATACCGAATAAAAGTAATAATAGTTCTGTAAATATCTGAATCACAGATCTGCCTGAACTAATAAAGTAAGCCACAGCTGCTGTCTGCTCGGTATGAAGGGGTGACAAACCCAGAGGGGGTAGAAGTGGTTCTGATCTGCTCCTTATTTTGCCAAAAGCAGTTGAAATTTAGGATTTTATGTGAAGGTTTTAGCTTTAGCCATGGCAGGACTTGATTGGATTTTACATATTTGCTTTGCTCTGGACACATTTGGTGGCAGTGTTTTGCTTACAGGGAGCGTTTCTCTGCCCGTCCACAGGGCTTTATATCGAGGTGGTAAATGCATTTTTGAACCAAACACTCTTTAGAAAACACAAATGGGAAGCTTTCAGTGTTTGTTACCCAGTGAAACAAAACTAATGTTGGATAATTGTACGAGAATATTGGAAACATCGTGTTTTATCTGATCTTTAGATCATGGCTCCCATGTGCAGGAGGAAGAGAGTGGCTGATAGCTGAATGATCAGCTGAATCTGTCAAGCCAATTTGCTAATTTTTTCCATGAGCTGATTTAGCAGATTTTGGTTATTGAATACAGTCAGCACCTGCATGTAATTCAGACAGTTTCTTTTCTTTTTTTTGTGGTTTGTAAATAGTAAAAAAATTATAGATCTGTTTCACCCGCTCCATCAATGGTGCTCCTTAATATTAATATAAATCATATAGGAATGCTGCATGCACAATCCAATATTTCTTGCACAAAGTAATATGTACAAAAGTAAACATAAAATTAAAGTGTGAGTTAATCCACTGCAAACATTTCACCTGCCTTAAAAATGTGTGGGAGCCACTTGAACTTTTTCCATTGACGGTACCAGTCTAGACCTAAAACGTATCTAAATAGGCAGAAATATGACTTCATTCAGTTTAAATTAACTTGAAGAGCAATGAGCTGTGGCTTGGGGGTTTTATCATAAAGATTCACAATTGTCTAATTGTCCTTTGCAAGAAAATGTTGTGTAATGTTTTTGTCAATTAATGTACTACGTTATGTGCCTATCGTATATATTTTTAAATGGATTAAAACTGTTAACAATACATTAATCTAATTAGGGTTTTTTTTAGAGAACATCCTCAGAGTCATAAGAGAGGCCAAAGTTGTGTGGGTTTTTTTCTGTTCTAGCTCTGAATCTAAACACTGGGATACAAACTTTGCCTTTTTTTCTTGACACCACAATGGACATTTTGCTGACCCAGCAGTTCATTAGTAGATCCCTCCATGAATTCCCAAGAGTCTATATCCCCCTAGAGCCCAAAGCACTGCTTGGCATTTCACATACCGTATCCAAACAAAGCATTGCTGTCAGGTTGCTGGACTCTCTCAGTATTTGTAGAGGGAGAGGCTGGTCAGCTGCTCACAGAGTTGTTTCCACCGCCATTATTGCTGCTTCAGCATACATTGATTCCTCACTGATTTTTCTAGACGTGAGTTTATTTTCCCTTCATTGGGCCAGATAATTGAGACAATTTTCAAATGGAATAAAATGTGTTACATTTAAAAGGAGAAAATAAAAACAACTCTTTTCTTATTTCAAGTATATTATTTTTAACCATCTCATTTCAAGGTTAATAAACTTAACCTAAAGTTAAATTATTTACTAGCTTAAATTAATGGCACATATACTTATTTTTACATATTTTAAGATCTGCATTTGCAGCGTATGTATTTGAGAGCTTGTTTACCATTGGCAGATACAGATTAGAGTGATTAATTGAATTTGATCAGGTATTAGCATGACTTTGAAATCATGGCGTAAAGGGAGATAACGGAAAAGATAAAGGCTGGGTCAATCATAAAGGTGGGGATTTTTTTAATGCTTTCATCTGCAATTCGACAGTTTCTCAACCCTTATGTTATCCATCTTTATTGAGCAGATAACTGAATCCAACTGGCCTCTGAATTTTATTCTGCTCCCTCTGCTTGAAGGCTGCACTTATAACTTTCCTCACAATATTTATATTCCTTCCTGTTTAAGTAAAACTGTCCACTTGACCACCAAAATGCTTCTTCTTGAGGCCATCTTTTTCTGCAATGTTAACAACAAATCTTTGTTAACTCTCACCAGTCCAGTGCTAACTCATCATTTTATACACCAACCTAAGACTTTTAGGAGGTAATAAAAATGGCAACAGGCAGAATTTAAAGCATGTGAATTGGCTTTAAATTGCCCCTTTCAGAGTCTTTAGGATCGGTATCATGTGCAAACCACAGGCAGCTCACATGTTGGCCTTTTATTTGACGTTCTTCAAAGGCAGCAAGTATAAAGAGAGAAAAGCTGGTCCAGATGTTGATTCTTTTTGACTATAGAATGCTTCTTTCTTGTCACAAGACCACATTTCTCTGAAGGTCTTAAAGAAATCCTCTTTGAAACAATGATAGGCTCTGTTGGTGACATCACAGCTTACACACACAGTGGAAATATCCGAAGTTTGCTTCAACATGCGTTTGTTTCTCACCCTGCAGGAGGAACAAGCATGGCTGTGAAATGTGTCGATGTGTCAAATGCCCCCCCTTTACCTGCGACAAGCACTGCAGCAATGGCTATCAACAAAACAGGAAGGGCTGCAACATATGCATGTGTAAAGGTAACAAAATTATGTTTTTGAATCGCAATCTTAGCACTGGAAAAACAGAACATCTTTGAGTCGGTGTAAACATCAGAAGGTCTACTTAAATGCAAATTAGAGGGTTGTTTATTTGTTTTCCCTTTCAAGACTGAATGCCTCGTATTCTATATATGAAATATGCATATGGTATTAGCATATGATATTATCCATATTTGCTTTTTTAGAAAGTGATCAAGTCCTAAGCACGACTGTCCCAGCCCCTACATCCAGTTTCTGCCTCACCTCCAATGGGCGGCAGTATGAGGAAGGAGATAGCTGGCATGATGGCTGCCGTGACTGCTACTGCCACTCTGGACGGGAGATGTGCGTGCTCATTTCATGCCCCATGCCCAGCTGCTCTCATCCTGTTGTCAAGTCTGACCAGTGTTGTCCTACATGTGAAGGTAAGACGTCCCAATGTGGGAGCACTGTAAGTCTAATGCTTGGAGCCTATACTGGTCGATTGTTGAGTTTGTAGTCCCATAATATTGCAATAATCAAAAAAAGATTTGACTTTTGAAAGATCTTATACTGTGTTTTAAAAGGTAAGAGATAGTTCAGGATTTAGAGAGGTTAGGAACTATTTTAATTTCTGGAATATAAACAGTTATTCAGATAAGACCTTGGCATTATTTAGCAACTTCTGCTAGGTTTAGATTTGCTTAGAAATGGCCTGTATAAGAGTTTGCAGCGGTGCCCATTTCCCTTGCAAATAATCAATAACATCGTCGTTGCAACCATCAGGTTGAACCATGAGCACCATTTTAAGATTCCTAAAACAGCTGTAGAATAAACCTCTATGGGACTTTTATAAATAGTAAATAGAGTTGCTTTCAGATTATAGAATTAAGGTTTAGTTTCAGCTGACAAGCTGTTAGCTCACTGTTACACTTTTACTTACAGCAGCAGTAGCTACCTGAACATTTTCTTCAGTAAGGATCATCATAATCTAGCTTTCACATGTTTAACTTCCTGGGCTCTCAGATATGCACAATCACACTCTTTATGCATTTCCTTAGAGCTGGAAGGCACACTGATCCCCACCCACTCTTTTGTCTCCAAAGTTCTCCCACTTGTAAGGGATATTTATGGTGGGGTGACTCAGCTGGCTGTTCAAATATTTAGAAATGAAAGACTGTCATCTACTTTCAGCTAAGCACTCTTTTCAGTCAGAGGACAAAAGTCTAACTCTTTGCAGATGTGTTCTACCCTGCTAGACACTAAAGATGTTTTCAGCTGAGTGTTTGAACAAACAGACTTTTGAATAGTTCCTGAGGCTTCCTTTTATTATAGTGCACTGCTCACTTAACTTTTGGCCCGTATTTGCTTTTTGAAAGAGGTATTTTACTTTATCCTGTCAAGATTAAATTTATTGTTAATACACTGAATGGATTGTGATTTCCAAAACAAAATACGATGAAATCTTCAATTAAAAATTTAGCTGCCAAGATGACTGCTTCCAGCGATGTTAATAGATATAAATAAGCATCATTTGTCAACATCTCTTGTTTTGTTTTTAGTTTTTTTATCCCTGAAGAGAAGTTTCCATTCCAAATCTAAAATTAGGTCTGGGAGGACATAGAAAAAAGGGGAAATTTAAAGGGGAGAGAGTCCCTGGGTTGGTCACCTTCTGACGTCAGAAATCCCACAATAGAACAGGGGCAGAGAGTTCCTACTTGGGTCAGATCAGGCCTGTCACTTCTCTTCCTCTCTTTTCTGAGCCTCCAGCTCTAACAGAAGTTATGTCTACCCAGAGTCGAGGGATAAGATCCCTCAGAGGGTTTCCTGGTCCGCATTCACATGTTGAATGACTCGGGTGCTTTCACACTGTGGATCACTCCTCATCTGAATGTGAAGTATGCTCTTCAGAAAGTCACTGAGTGATGCTAAGATGGGAAGGAAAGGCCAGACATAGTGACGTTTTTAGTATCTTCTCACAATATACAGACTTTCATCATATCAGAAATCCTGAAATTTATTCAGGTTTTAAATCCAGTTGGATTTTTGTTTTGCTGGTTTTGTTTCACCGCCTCACTGCACAAATCTAACAATGATCCACATGATCTGGATGGAGATTTGCCAATGAGTTATAGCGCTATATAGACCAGTAAGGAAACTGAAATCAAATGTTTTTCCTAGCAATAATTAGAAAATAGATTGAGAACTTCAAGAAACAATCAGCTGAACATTTTGTCCGGAAAATTCAGTCTTTAGACATTAGAAGCAAGGACCTCATTCATAAAAGTTTATTGTGGCTAACTGCTGCTGCATTAATTTTTCTGATTTTTTTTCCGCTTGTAAACGTGCTACCACATCCTACCCTTTTTCCTGAGCTGTCCAAAAGCATACATTTTTTTCAATGCAAGCTAGTTATTTTCCTCCAGCTTCTGCATAATATTGTCTTCATAAAAATCTACTAAAAAACATTTTTTTTTATTTGACACTAAGGGAGGATAAGAAGTTTCTGTTTTGTTTGCACCTGCAGACTGCTTTATACTATATCAAACTCATTCCAGAATCATGTTTTATTCAATTATGATTAGGATATCTGTGTTTTATAGTACCATTGAAAGGTCCTCAATCCATGTTAGCACCCTTCAGTTAATTGTGTGCATTAACAAATGTGTATGTTAAATGTAAATAAATTAACTGAGAGAGACTGAAGAGGTGGTTAAAGGTGTGGTAATGGTCAGTAAGGGATTTGTGAACTCTATAAAGGAAAATAAATAAATAATGTGTAATTTCTCCATCAGACGAGTCTGGCAGTGGCCAGCCTGAGGGGATGGACATGGTGGTGTGCCGAGCACCTGGAGGGGAACTTTATGTGGAGGGGGAGACTTGGAACCTGGATGAATGCACGCGTTGCACCTGCAGGAAGGGACGCGTCCTGTGTGACACTGAAGGTTGTCCACCAGCTCTCTGCCAAACCCCCATCAGAAACAAGGACACCTGTTGCCATGTGTGCCCAGGTAATAAAACAAAGGGAAAAGGATGGGTTCCCTTCAGGAAAATAACAAGGCCTGACAGCTTTAAGTGAGGCAATGTGACGTTGGAAAGGGTAGATCGCTGATGATTTGATGTGGTTTCAGAGGGGCTTTGCATGTTGCTTTTTGTGGGCAGTTTTGTATCAACTACAGAGGCTCATAAAGAAACCAACCAAGACCGGTTGAGTTTACGTAGAGCTCCCCCAGGCAGCCAGAGGGACATGTGGTCTGCTTTCACCCAGCAGTCCACATCAGAAACTCATCTAACTCTCTGATTGCTAAAGTGACAAGACTGTAATCATTCTGCATCTGTACACCACCACTGGAGAGCCAAACATAAAACCATACGCACACATTTTATTTACAACTGGAGCCAAACATTTCAGAATGTCGCACACGTTAATAAACATGCAAACATTTCCCATGCACTCCTTAGAATGGGAACCTCAAATCATCTGTGCATGACTGCGCCTGAGAACTGCTCCTTCAGAATGCCGGTCCGCCTTATCGCTGCATCACCCCACATAAACACGGACTGTCAGAGGCCACGCTTTGATATATGTAACGCCCTGGTCACCAGGAATGTAGGAATAATATACATCTCCCTGTACACATCCATCTTAATCTGTTATGGATGTGTAAAATGAAGCTTTGTAGTGTTTACATGCTGAACGAGTCCCACGGTCATTAAACGACCATTGATCTCAGCCCAAAGAAATCAGGTCAAAGATGCAGAACTAACTGACAGCTGCCCGATAGAGTTAGAAAGCTGCCTCTAATGCTAAGTTGACACTGAACGCGCTTTGCAAAGCGATAAAAAAAACGACTGCTACTAAATTTTTGTTGCTTGTCCACATTAAGGTCAGACGTGCATCAAGAGCATCCTTGATGCTCCTGAAGGGCGTCCAGTAAATTTTGTCCAGATGCATCTGATGCTTCTACTGCTCCTGTGTTCAATGGTAGAGAGCGGCTTTGCTATATTTGCTGTGATAAGCTGGTAAAAGGTAGTTTTAATACATTTATAAGCAATAAAGTCCACCTCAAAACATTGTCTGTGAAGTCAATTCATCAAGATTATGAACCTGCCTTCCAATATTATTTAAGAGCTGCTCAGATCCCATCATACCGGCGGCGCACCTTCACTGGGAATCCCCAGGAGCAGGTTGGGGGTTTGCGCTGCAAGTACCAGAATGATAAAAGCAAACATATTTTGCTGGCAGGTTTGGACATTTTAAGTTAATTTAGACATTGATTAACAATTCCAGAGGATTGATCATAGCGCTCTGCATCAGCAGCACTGTGTGTCTCCCTGCTCCGCTTCTCTGATTGGTTTATATGGCACGTTGAGCAAGAAAAATTCAGTTTTACAAACTCCCGCAGCTGCTTTTTGTGAAGTGCATCCTGCGCCTCAGATGCTCAGAAGCTCATGAGGCACTGCTTCAGCTGCTCAGATGCATCAAGATGCACTGCTCCTGCTGCTCAAGACACGTTGCAGGACCTTTTGATGCACCTTGATCAGCGTCAACCATTGACTTTGCATGTATACCAGCTGCTTCTTCTGCCTCAATCGTGTGCAGTGTGAATGTTGCGTAATGCTTACTAACACTTGTGGATTAAAATTCTCTGTATCACAAGTAACTTAGAAGCATTAATAGCATTCTGTGTTAGCTGTTCACACATTTCTGCCTTCACTTAAGCGATGTCATTGGATTTAATATTACGGGCTTCTATGGTTGTTCTTTACTGACCAGATTTACATGTCTCCACCAGCAGAAGAGACAGACATCAACTTGCTGCCAGTGAACCGCAACCAGCAGCAGTTCTGCATAACCATTGAAGGAGACATTCTTCAAGCTGGGGACTCGTGGAAGGCCAACGCTTGTACAAGCTGCACCTGCATCAACGGCACCATTCAGTGTTTCTCTCAGCGCTGTCCAGTAGCCAGCTGTAGGGTGCCAGTTTTACGCAAGGGCCAATGCTGCCCATATTGCCTCGGTACGTTTTTGGGTGGGTGAGAAATAGAGAAAAGAGAAAGCTGTCTTCTTTGTAGGAAAAATATTTTTAGTCTAAACCATCTTAATGTGTAAATTAAATGTACATTGCCTTGAAAATGTAATGGACCTTAATTATTTTTTCACACTTTCTCCTTGCAATTACAAATTCCATTCATTTTACTGGCCTTTTAATTGATAGAATGGTACTAAAAGGAATATAAATGTGAGATAGAAGAAAAAAAGATTTTAATTTTGCAATTAAAACTTTGAAATAAAATCTCCCTTACAACATCTTGCCCAAGTACATGGCTTATAAGAAGACATTTAAGATCAGGATAAACGTAGCTGTTGTAACAATCATGGACAGCTTTAAAAGTAGGGCGAGGATATAAAACCATACCTCAAGCTCCAGTTCATTCCATCAGATGAAAAAGCCATGAAAACGGCAATTTTTAACAGGGGAGCTAGTGCCCAGATTTACTTTTAACTCAGATTTACTCCTTAAACATTATCCTTTTAAACAAGGGTAAAGGAAGATTTGTTGACCAGGAAAAGCAGTGTCTTAAAGTATTCTAAAAGTCATGCAGATCATAATCTGGAAGAACATGCTCTGGAGGATCAGAGTATTTTGCATGAAGGCCCAGTTTTGAAAGCCAATTTGTTCAAAACATAACTCTTTGCATCCTTAAAAACACACCAATCTAACTGTGGAGGCAGCATCGTGCCTTCCAGATTATATTTTTGAGAAGGGACAGAGAAGCTGATCAGTCTTGCTAAATAAAAAGCAGTCCAGTCAAATCAAGTTTTTTTATTTGCCATTTGTGTGTAACTTGCAGTCAAGCACACTGGAGTACTTGTGCAATTCTTGCAGGATAAAAACCTGTTAGAGGCAGCAAAAGACCAGTTGTTGGGGCTGAGCTTTCAACATACTACAAAAGCCACTCTGATAGTTTAAATATTAAGTCACATTTATGTGCCAGACTTCCCTTGTCAAAGTACAGGCATATATCCAATTGCAAGCATTGACAGGATTTGAAAGTTTGCCATAAAAATTTAAGAAAAACATATCAGTCCCCATATGTGCAAAGCTGATTGATATTCCCATAAATGCATTCTTCATTTTTCAAGATACAAAGATGTTGGAAGGCAAGTTTGAATTTTCTTCCACTTTATAGTCACACACTACTTCATCACTTCTCTTTATGTCAGAATAATACATACTTAATGTTTTTAGGTGTAAAGTTACTAGTAGGGATGTAACATGTCTAAAAAAGGGAATAACAGATGGTTTGCCTCGGTTTAAACTAAGTGTGGGAGCATTTACTGGACCTAGCCACTTAAACAGTAAATAGGCAAACAGGATTGCTTAGAAAACAATCCATTTGCCCTACCAACACAGTCCCCTCAGAACGAAAACATTCCTTGAGCATCCGCACATTCACACGTGCTTCCTGTCCCCTGGCTGCAAGCGCCCAAAAAGCTTTCGCCTACTTTCACCACAGGAAAGCAAAGTCCCATGTCAGCTTTTCCTATAGAGGAAGAACTAAGCATGGTCCTCTATTGTTCCTGCCGATACGTTGGGTTTTGTTATTTGGCTGATGGAAAAAAGCTTTTTATGTAATATCCGCCGAAAGCTGCCCAGTTGAATTTGAGATGATAAATTCAATAAACACAGCTTATCAGCTGAAACACCAGGGAGTTTAAGCACCAACTGGCTTTAAGGAAGCTCTGCAGAATTTTAAATATGTTGGTATCCTGTTTCTGAACAGAATCAACCACATCAGCACCTGTCACTCTGTCAACCAGCAAACCAAAGGCAGGGGTCACCACCACAGGGCAGAGAGGACGTTGGATTACGACTGTGACCATCCCACTTGTCATCACTGATACAGGTAGCCGTTTGTCCATCATCATCCACCAGAACTGATCCGTCCTGTTGGAAATTTAGCATCTTGCCGAATTGTTCCTGTTGGCCCCTGCTAGTGTTTATACCATTATGGTCTTTTGGGAATGGTTTAATAAATGAATGAAATGTGTATTAAAACAATAGTGATAAATGGAGTAACTTGAGTAACTTTTCCTTATTATGGACTGGACCTGGTTATCTGCCCAGGGATATCTCATTAATACAAGATGTTTCCAATTTACATGTAGTAAAAGTTGCTGCTACAGTACTGAAAACATTTTCTGTGGGATAATACAGCTTAAAGGTATAGTGGCGGATGTTCTTTTTCTGGGTGGATCATCAAAATATGTGGTCCTCCTAATTGTCAATCATTTTAGTGAGATGTTTATGGAAGGCCATCCTACATACCAGAGATGGGGGATCTGGAGTCAACAAGTCATCTCTTTGTCATGTATTTGTTCTACCCAGCCACTGAACCAGGTGAGTCCAATCTGGTTTAACCTGTACAGATTGGACTCATCTGGTCAGAACAAATACATTACATAGAGATGACTTGATGACTCTAGATCCCCCATCTCTGCTACATACTCATGCCCATTTTCACTTACCGGTTTTGAGTCTGACATAGTGGAAAAATTGCAAATCTTCCTATGGAAAGTAAGCTTGTGTGAGTGATGCAAACAGCAACTTTTAAATGGAGCGTGCATGAGGAGAACTGGGCTTGTGCATGCGTTTAATAAGTGTTCCCTCTCGGGAGCGGGTGCAGGGTTGTGCATGTGCCTTTTTTTAAGTGGAGAGGTTGAGTCTTCAAAAATTTGTGAAAATCCTCCATTATACCTTTAAAAATGGATGTTATCAGTATTTCCAGGTCAGAATTAGTGTGGGGAAAAAAAGTATTTATAAATATTTGTAATTCCTGACATGTTTCTGTAATAAAATGTTGTCCATACGTATCCGGGATTGAAGTACGGAAAACTTAAATATTTAAAATAATTTGTATGTAGAGGTTTTGTTTTTTAAATAGTTTATTTAAGTCTGTCTGTTCATCTCTCTTTTCAGCCATACCTTACTCCATCCCTTTATCTATACGTTTTTTAAGTACATTTAAAAATTATCCTTCCGTTGCTATGATTATTTTTCATTCTATTAGTCTAAACCACATCCATCACCAAGCAATCTTTACATACTATCTTTGAATTCAAAGGACTACAGCAATATCTGCATTATTTTTACAGGGAATTTTGATATTAATAAAGAATTTGTGAAAATAGTCAGAATCCAGGATGTGAAATAATTAGAAGCTGGTATTAATAAAAACATTTTTAATTTCTGTCCTACGTAGACCAGCCGCGATTGGCTGAAAACAACCCGGGCCATATGGAGATGGCCCTTGTCTACCAATCAGCAGCATGGATCCTTGCAGGGCTGCTTTTGGCCATAGTCATCTTTCTCATTGTGGCTTTGATCATCAACATGAAAAAGAAATGGGTGCAGATGTCCTGCTACAGCGCACCAAAGAAGGTGAGCAGTTAACTATAATTCAAGAAAATACTTTAGATGTTCAGAGAAACCGGCTGGTCACTAGGGATTATTTTTAGATTGATTGGATTCAGTGGTTGACTCCCATCTATTCTCAGCCTGACAGCTACTTTATATCAAGCACAATCTGGGCGGTTGCTATTACTGAGGAAAGGAGACTCAGAAGCTATTTAAAATCAAAATTTTAATTTTAAAACATGTCTGGAGTTGATTTAGGCTACATCAGAACCAGAAAGAACAAGACGTAGCAGGGTTGTCAATATGCTCTCCAGAAATCCCAAAGTGGAAATGTTTTAGTTTCACCTGGTTTGATTTCGTAAAAAATGTTCTTTAATGAATTTTTTGCTATTCGTTTATTAATTAATTAATTGAAAAATTAATTAACAGATTTATTGATTTGCAAAATCATCCTTAGCTGCAGCCCTACTCTCAGCAGAGATTGTAATCATGAAATATTACTCTAAGACGGGTTAATTTTCCCTGATTTTTAAGTTTCTTGCTCAGTCCGTTGCTCAGACCTATTGATAAATGATCACTTTAAGATTGAAAAGGGTCATGTCACTCATAAATCTTTAAAAATTATCTTTTCTTTTTCCTTAGACAAACAAGTGCAAGCTAAAACAAATTATGATTCTGTCATTGAAGTTCTAACCAAATCAGAGCCTGAATGAGTCGTCTCCTTTCCTCTCCACACAGACCGTGATCCTGAAGAAACATGTGAACAAGAATTCTGTCATCTACATGGAGCCCTCAAAAGAGAACAAGTTTCAGAACAAGAGCAACTGTGGAATCATCCACTTTTCCCCTGAGATGAGCTCGCCTCCCTGCATGGAGAAGATGAACATCCCCAGGGCCAAGCTGAGCACGGGCAGTGACTGGATGCCACGCTAAAAAGGGATTTATAACACCATCTTATGCAAAAAATCCACAATGTTGTCCTTTTTCGTGACAGATAAACTACAGATACTCAGCGCAAACAGCAACACAATACAGTTGCTGTATTTTTTTTTGTCATTGTTTGCCCATCATCCTCCTGTTTGGACGTTCAGGTTGAGCGGCAAACTTAGAGGGGGATTGACATGTGGACGCAGTAATGATACAGCCATTGAAAGGAGCATCCAGAGAAACTCTGTCAGAATCGGACTCTGTAACATACTCGCTTCTTACGGTTTCATATGAAACTAAAACTTTGCAGATAAAAAAGGAAGAGGAAAAGCTTTTGGACAGGGGTTTGGGTGATGGCATAAAGGGAAGATAAAGAATGCTAACCCTTCACAAAGAGCACCCGTGCATTGTGGATGTAACCATCATGAGCAGCCACTTTTAAACCCTGGCATTAGAATGTGTGGTTTTCAGTTTAGTCATTGTATATTTTTATTTTTACAGGATTTGTATAGTATGTTGTCTTGTCTTTTATTTCCCTCTGTACAGCCATTTTAAAGTTTTGTTTTTTATAGCCAATCACAACATTCCCACACATTTAAAGAAACAGTTTGTCTACCTTTAACTGATCAGTCATTCCTTTTATAAAGAATACCGTACCTTTCGCCAAAGCAGCTAGAAGTGCATTGCTCAAGTATTTATTTCTATTGAACTTTTTCACATTTTGTCGCTCAACCAAAACAAAAAAAGTATTTGATTCAGATTTTAAGGGACTAAGATAAATCAGAGCATAATTGTGAAGTAAAAGGATACATGGTTTTCAAAATATTGGGGTTTTTTTATAAATGAAAAGCTGAATTGTAAATAAGTGATGGTGTAGTTACAGCTAAAGTATTTTGGAGTTTATCTCTGCCGGCTTAAAACCTCCAAAGCAGAAGTCTTCAATTCCAGTCCTTCAGGTTGGCTGTCCTTCATGTTTTAGACGCGTCTCTGCTTCCACATACCTAAAATATCTTCTCTTCATGCAAGATCACGTTTGGACCGCGAACAAGCCTGACTGATAAATGGACGGCATAGAACCAGAGACAATGTATGCATTCTGCATCTGTTTTTTTTTTTTTATCAAGTTCTCCAGAGTCCTGCTAATGAGCTTATCATCTGACTTAGGTGTGTTGAAGCAGAGATGCATCTTAAAACTGCAAGACATCAGACCACAAGGCCCATCTTTGAAGAACCCTAATCTACAGATTAAAATGTTAGACTATTTACTTGTAGAAAATAAGTATAGCTCCCTCAAATTAAAAGAGACCACTCATGAAAAGCAGTCATTTTTAATTTGTGGTTCTGGTCTTATCTGAGCAGAACAAAACTTTGTCCATGTTTGCCATTTCCCCTAGACAAGGGGTGTCAGAGTTGTTCCAGAAAGGGCCGTGTGGCTGCTGGTTTACTTTCCACCTAAGCAGTAGCACACCAGACTCTCTTCATCCCATCAGGTTAAGACTAGACTCACCTTGATGAGATGAATGGAGTCTGGTGTGCTACTGCTTGGGTGAAAAGAAAACCAGCAGCCACACGGCCCTTTCTGGAACTAGTTTGACACCTGTGCCCAAGACGGTAAGCAGCTAATGTGTTTTCTTTAATTAATGATTTCCTTTTGGCCACTCTTCCATAAAGACCAAACTTATGAAGTTTGTAATTAATTCCTGTCCTATCAACTGATTTGTCCACCTAACCTGTGGATCTTTGCATCTCCAATAGTTAGCCTTACACCATAAGAGTAATACATTATACATGCAAGGTACTGGTTTAGGTTTTGTTCTTATTTTTGGTCTAAACCATATAATTCACAAAAGACGAATGTGAAAAGGTTCAAGGGATATTACGTTTTCTGCAAGCCACTTGGGGTGAATCCAGTCTAAAACACACCTTCCAGTCATCATCCTCTTTCAGTTAGACCTCTGTAACTCCTCTAAAAGCTATTAGAGCTGAAGCTGCTTGATGTTTCTTCAAGTCGTGTCATGTTATGGCCGGCAAAGGAACAAAAATGGATCAACGAAGAATGTCTTTGATACTAGGCTCCACTACTTTCAATTAGTCAGTGCAGAGCTGCTGTTTACATTTGCCAACGATTGCTTGGGATTTTATCTGTAAAGCATTAATTCTGCAGCTTTAGGGTTTTTTTCTTCACATCATTTTTTGAATTAACATTTAGCTGTTGTTAAGATAAAAAAAAATCATAGAGAGGATAAGAGTTCTGGATCATCCACTGTTTATATTTGGGGGAATAATGTGAAGGGTTGTCATTATAGGAGTTAAGCATGTGTAGATATTAAAACATACATTTCCACAGTGTTTAGAGACACATGACTGTTCTCCACAATTAGTAAGATGAAAAATATACCTCTGTACAGAATTCCTTTGTATTTAAATAACCAGGAATTATTTAAGTACACAGAGATATGGAACCACCAGAGATGAAGTTTCTGGATCTATCTGGTCCATAAAATGAGGGGCTGATTCTGAGAAGAATTGCACAACAAACACCCAGGCAGTTTCTGGATCACAGTTATCAGTCCTTTGCCAATATCTCCTAACAGAAACAGTTGTAATGCCAAAATAGGTCAGAAACCAATTTATACTAAAGTGTTTGCAGTATGTGTCTGTCTGAATCATAAGCTTTAAAACAAAGAGGTAGACTGTAAAAGCTTACACAATTCTGTTCTGTGTAAAAAGAAAAACTTTGTTTAAATTAGTAGTCAAGAGAATCTTATTTATTTTTTCGAATAGCTTTATTTATTAATACTAAAGTATAGCTAGAGATTTTTTTCTTTATTGAAAATAGCTTTAAGTAACCAAATCTGATGTACATTGTAGACTGTTTACCTTTTCTATCTGCTATATTCTGTACCTTATTTATTTCAGTGTTTGCAAATCTTGTGAATATATTTCTAGATTAGAAAATGTAACATGTATGCCTATTCTACAAAAAATAAATGTGTGAACCAGAGCAGCTTGTGCTGATAAACTCTAATTTCCCAAGCAACAGTGACGTCATCCAAGATGGTAGCGGTTAGGGGTTTTCCTTAACTTGCGTGCCCACACACATCTGGCCTTAGTGCTGCAATGTGAATTAGGATTCCTTAACTTTCTTTTTATGACATTATTTTCTAGTTATGCAAATCTATCAGTTTCACATGGATTTAACAAAGATGGGTGTGTGTGGTGTGAAGTAAAAATTAAGAGCAATAAGAACTCTTGTGGACAACAATGCTGCAACAAGAGACATTTCCAGATCAGGGAATTTGGAATATCTTTGTCCTGAAAAAAATGTTTTATGTTTGATATATGCTGTAACTGGACTATAAGTGTGTATGAACTCAAGCAAAATAATGAAAGTTACATTGTAACTATAGTTCTGTTAATCTGCTGATGATTGCCAAAGGGAGTAATCAAAGTGGATTTGTCTTCTCTGGTCAGTGCAGATAGAGATTAAATGTAAAGAAAGTCAAATATGGGACACGTAACGCACCTGCATGTGCGTTCACAAAAAGCACGTGGAAGGCTACATTCGGTCTCCTCGGATCTACTCACTGGGGGAGAACTGTGTGACTGGCGGTGGTCCAGGAACCATAGTTACAACGTAACTTCCATACTCATCGTCATTTCTTCCTGACTGCCAGTGGCAGTAAACAAAGTGGAAGACTTTTATGCCAGCAATTTCATTAGCAACGCAGTACCCAACCACCTCTCAAGAGGTAAAAGAATCCAAAGGCATGATTACCGAAGCCAGTGTGGACCCTGAGGCAGTAGGAGAACCTTCAGGGTTGACGATCTTCATTGGAGAGTGGGCAGAAGCAGTGGAAAGGCATACAACAGTTGGTCATGCGTTTGCAAGGGCATCCAACCCAGGTGTGACGTTGGCCTCCACCAGGGAAAACCATGTTAGGATTATTTTTATAATTAATTTATGTGCTTGTTAAACCATTAAAATACCTCCTGTTATACGTTAAGGCTCAACTTTTCCTAAGCAGTTCATCTAATTAATCTAAGATTTGGAAATGAAATGAGAGTAGAGTGGATTATTCTGTGCATTGGAGTTGTCCTTGATCTAAGAACACTGGGTAATATTTTGATATGGCTGGGGCCAGTGAAATCTCATGTAGAAATGTGTGTATGATGTGAGATGTGATGATGTGGCAGGCTGTGTGTATAAAATGATTCTTTAATTGGTATTCTGGGCCGACTTTCTGAAGAAGAACGTCCAGTGGTAAGGCTTCCTTCTGTGACATGAGCCATTTCTCTTGTCTGAGTAAGATTATAATTTCTGTCAAAATCTGTTGTCATGGCCAATCACAAATGGTTCACAAAAGGCGAAATCAACCGTCTTTCTTAGTTGTTTCAGTACCCAGACCTGCGAAATAAATAAAAAAACCTGTGGGTTCTGTAAACGGGAGACCTTAGCAGTTCTGTAAGTTCCACACTTTTAAAATTTTATGGATGTAGATCGGGAGGTGACTAAAGAAGGTGGAATATGTTATTAACAGAAGGGGCAGCAGCCACAGGGGTTCACTCCCAACTGAGCAAGTGTACACAAATTAAAAGGTTGAAATTATTACACCCTCCAGAGAGATCAAACTTAGGTGAAGTGTATTTTAATGGCTCTTTACACGTCTTTACCAGAGATGCTAATGACTTTTTCTATAAAACGTAAAAGTTTTATTTTTAGAGATTTTGAAATATTTGAAACACTTTATTTAGGATGAATAATTGAATTTCTATTTATTTTCTTATTTGGTAATAGAATATATTGGCAAATGTACCCGGATTCAAAAATGTTGAGTACCCTGACATCATGTGTTCACAGAAAGTTTAACATGACAAAAAAATTCTATTCATGCTCTGCAGTCTTCTGCATGGACACACAATGACCAAGCCAAGGCATGTGGAAAAAAGATTTATTCCTTCTAGAATATATTTATGTCACATTATCTGCAGCAAATAGCCCTTTTGTTGTCAAAATATACAATTTGTATTAAGGCAACACATTTGGTGAACCTCTTTTCAATAACAGAAGATATTCAAAGGTTTTTGGGAAATATGCAAAGTTTGGCTCAGAAGCTGAAAAACTATTTAAGATGATAAAAGGAGAGTGATTTGTTCCTTGAGGTTTGCCAGTTCCCCTAAATGGAAAACCTTTTCAATTCTTGAGCAATCTCTGCAGATCCAAGGATAAATTAGTCTTTGAAAACCTGCTACACCTACAGCAAAATGAAATCCTTCTCTTGGCCGGTAGTCGTTTTGGTTCTCACAAAAGGATCTTGTAGTAGTCGTCTTTATAGCTGTACAAGACCACCACAGCCACCCTAAAAGAGGACAACATGTGTTTGTTATATGAAGAAAAAAAAAAATCAAATCATACTCGACATCCAAATAGAACATCTCTAAAACAGAACAAGGAAAATCAGCCAGGAGGGTTTCTGGGAACTTTATTAGGTAGCCCTGTTTAGCAAGAGCTTGCAACTCTGCCAGGAGCACATCTGAAGAAAAGGAGTCTTGTAAGTTAGAGAAAATGTGAACAAAACCCCTTTGTGAATCATAAAAATAACCCCCGAGTTTACAGAGCTGAGTTAATCAGAAACTAAAAGAGAGGAACTTTACTAATGCTTCTTTTTCTCTTTACACACCAATAATATGCTAATTGTCACCGGAAATTATTCCAGAGCTGGGTAGGTTGAACGGGGGTGAAAATGAAGTTTTACAAGCAACAGTTTTGACTCAAAGGAAAGGTCACTGCCCGCAAAGCCTCTGAAATAAGTTTAGTTTATGATTTTGTTGCAGAAAGGTGACTGCTTCCAAAGCCCTTTACCCTGCTCATCTGGCCTCAGCTGCCTGCGCCTCACATTCAATGAAAGCATGAACATGCAAGGATAAAAAACAGATGCAGAATGTATACATCGTCTCTGGTTCTATGCCGTCCGTTTATCAGTCAGCCCTTGTGCGCGGTCCAAACGGCAACACAAACACAAAGCAGGGATGGGAAATTGAAACCAACTGTGTTGGAGAGGCTTTGATTTTTTTTCCCCCTTTTTGCCAACTAATTCATGAAGCCCCCCCCCCACTCGGCAGATGGTTTGCGTCGCTCAGCTGAGATGTTTATGATCCAGACGTCAAAAGACCAAACATGGTGAATCCTTTTCCAGATTTCCCCTCAGGAAATGGGATCAACTAGGGATTAAGTGTTCATGAAGGTGGTGGTTATCTGTCTAACAGCCCCTTTTGAAGCTCTGGCCGTCATTGTTACACCTGGAGTACTGTAGAGGAGTGGAAATTGTCTCCAAAAGGAAGGGTTTTTGTTTTCTTCAAATTTGTTTTTTAACCTTCTGGGTTATGGCTTCTGTTTAAAGAGACGGCTTCAGTTCTTAATGTAAAGGATGTTTAATATATCCTAGTGCAAAAAAACATCAAAGCCTATTTTTACCAAAAAAAAATCAGTATTGAAAAGGGGTAATGGGGGGATATTGCGTAAGTGAATCAAAACTAAAGTAATGACCTACTTCAGTTTTTTACATTTAGCTGAAATGTGTGAATTTGATCCAATGCCTGAATTCACCCAGCAAACATCCGATCACACAACAAAGACAGTAATCAGAGGCACATGCATTACAAGGTGAATAAGTGATTGAAGCTGGATGGTAATCAAGTAATAGTTTTGAAAGGTGTAAAACATTAGCTGAGGGGAAACAGCTGATCTCTACTCTATTTGCTCTGACTGCATCCCAGGCTTTCTGGATGAGGCAGCTGGAGCTGCCTGTGACTGCGAGGATGAACTTTGGGAAGTATTGAGAGACTCACAGCATCTCTGGCTGCTGCCCTCAGACGGTAATGGTTAGAATAAGTGTGCAAAAATACAGTTTGCTATATCATGTGCTGTACATTGTTTTAGCATATGTTTTTAATCACTGAAGTTGTGGTGGTACGCCACGATCAATTACATGTAGTTCAAACCATGAAAATCATTGTGAAGGAAACTTTGCTGAGCCTGTTTTTTATACAGGGTTAGTCATTTAGAAAACACAGCTATGGAGAATGGATTTTAACCAATAGACCAGAAATAATCTGTCAAGAACAGAACAAAGAAAGACACTTGATCTTAGATTCAAGAGAAGCTACAAACCAAATGTAAGAGAGGTTGAAAACACAGTATATGCAACCTCCAAACACCTTCTTTATTTGCTCTAAACATTTCCATGTTATTACTGATTCAAAGCATCGTGAAACAGTCAAGATTTTGGATTAGCAAGAGAGAATGAAAATCTGTTCAGGGAGCATCTTTGGCCCCTTATTTAAAATTTTTTGAACCAATATAGGCAGTATACCTTTTTGTAATCTTAAAGTGGTGGATCTCATCACAGATAGACTTCAGGTAGCGCTGCTTCGGGAGGCGAGACAGTAGAGTCTTGACGCTGCTGTTGAACTGTTCTTCACTGTCAAACTAGAAAAGAAGAATAAAAATAAAAGGTGTCAAAAACACCAGATTTGAAGCAGTTTTGGTCTTAAAGAAGAAACAGCCACAAAAACTCACAGAAGTAAACTAAAACAGATTAAATACAATGAACTGCTAAACAAAGCTCTGAAAAGTGGTCTGTGCGTTTGTTTTCACCTCCTCCTACATTGATGCTGCTTAAACAACCAATACAAGAAATTGAAATCCCTAAAATTGACTCCATATGTGTGCAAGTAAATCTCAGTATCAATGCATCAGTTCTGCAAAGACCTGTTAGAAAAACAGAAAATAATGGAGGAATAAACCCATGAAAAATGCTTAACACATTGGGGAGAAACTAGTAAACAATGTTAGGTAATAAAATGACATCCGCTGTTAGGAACATCTCATAAAACACTGTCCACTTCATTATCTGTAAATTGAAATCAGCACATCTGCAAAGCTAGCCAGATGTGAATACCCTCATAAACTGACTGATATTTGAGCTTGTAATATGATAAAGTGCATAAAAGTTAAAGAAAAATTATTAATTTTGTAGGGCATTTGGACTTAGTGAAACTTCATGTACAGAATCTATCTTTCCATGAGAAGGGTTTCTATATTATATATTCTCAAGCCATCACATATGCATGACTGTGAAGATTATAGTGAGCTTTTGTTTGAATTGAGCTCATTTTCCATATGAACAAAATACTGCCAATGATCAACCCAATGCACATCCATGTAAGTCATATACATTGCCTGTTGCCTTCAACATGTGATGTTAAGGAAAGTCTGCATAGGTGACCGGTTCATGCTTTTCCTTATATAACCACTGTATTTCCTAACATTCCTTGTGTTTTGTCACTTTATAAATGGACCTCACGGAAAGGAAACTGAAACTTTATGAGCCAAAAGTCCCAGTAAGTATTTTGGAATGTGAACATTAACACCTCCTAACAGAGTGTTTTGTTTAATTCAGCACGTCTCTCACCAGTGTTGCCAAATTAGACTTTTTCCGTCTGTGGAAACATGTAGGGGAGTTTCCTCACATCGCTCCACATGAGACTCCATTGTTAAGGAAGGAGACGGGATTCCCTTTTCCTGTCTAGGATTCTGGAACTTTACTGGTTGTCCTTTCCTTCCCCACCCTCCCTAACAGCCATCCAAGAATTTTATGAACTGTGCTGTGCTTTTGATGAAGCTAGTAGAGAACCCACCTCCAGGGACAGGAAGTTTATCAGCGTTTCCTTCTGCAGATCCACCTGCGGGATAAAAACAAGTGAAGTTTCAAAACAGATCCTTATCTTAAACTCCACGTAAACATCAAACTCCAAAGAACATCATGTTTTACAAGTTTAGATGGACACATTATTCTAAAAAGCATAACAACAGACAGAATTTCTTTTTGCTGCATTCCAAAATAACAATGGATTACCATATTCGGCACTTTTCAATTGCTTATTCCATTTCAATTTTTTCTCAAAGTATAAATATAAAATAGCAGATTTTAATTGCAAAGTACGGATATATGAAGTGAGTTATGGGTAGATAAAAGTACAAATGGACTAAAATCAGATATAAAGATGATGGAAGAACAGAAAAAAAGGACAAACACGTGGCGGGCGGGCGGACGGACGGACGGACGGATGGACCGATGGGTGGATGGATGGATGGAACACAAGACAGCGGATAAAGCTCTAAAAAAACGTGCACTATTCTATAGCTTTTTTTCACAAGTATTCGAAGTGGAAATTACTTAAATCAAGATCAAAGTTCTCCAAATTGTGTAGGAACTCTGTTGAAGTGCAAAAGCTAAGAATCAAAAAGCTTCTTACACCATCAAGGTCATTAAACCTGTAATGTTCATTCAACTCCTGTTAAGTGCGGGGGGCAAAGATGCAGTCCACATACAAAAAGGGCTCAAAATGTATATCAAACATATTGCATTACAATTAAGGCAAGCAGAAACAGTTATTCCTATTGTATCTGGCCGTGATCTATAATAAAACAGTAAATAAAGTCAACATTGCAGCCCACCACACCATTCACACATCTGGAGAGGTGAGGCAGACAGCCTTCTTTTCTAGCGTACATTGTTCGGCAGCAACTGGAATACTTTCACAGCCATCCTTCACCAGCAGGGGATCGGAGAAGGATTATAAAAGGGGGCTGTTCTCAATGAAGATTGTTGTTTAAACATCCAAAGCCCATTCCCCAGTCTGTGATTTTCACACAATGATTCAGCAAACTTGGTGTTAGAGAGAGCAACACAGTAAACAAACAGCAGACTTACTGCAAGGACCTCGATGTCATTACTTTTGTTCTGCAAATTGCTCCCCAGATTCTGCAATCTGGTCTGAATCTGAAATATATAAAGAAAAAAAAAGAAGGAAACAAATATGAAATAATTAAGAGTAAAGGAAAATCAAAGACTTTGTTCTCATGAAACAAAATAGCTAAAACACTATTTTCACATGCAATTATTTCCAAAAAAAATCTCTTGAATAGACACGGGATTTTTTTTTCACTACTAGAAGAGTGACACACTTTCAACAAATTCACAGAAACATGAAATGAGAGCAGAACGCACAGCTGTGTATTTCCTTAACTAGATGTTTAAAAATCATCTCATCTGCAGATATGTCATATTAAAATTGCAATCTGTATTACAAAGTCAATCAATGGAGGCCTTAATTTACTCAAAATGTCTCCTTTCTATGACAAAAGCAATTAAGTGGTGTATAAAAGCAGCTGTTTTAGGAAATGGGCTATTATTAAAATGCAATTAAATGTACAAGAGAGAATGAAACTTATGTTTATAAACATGTAAAGGACTTGTTACTAAAAGTGTGTGAGGAAATCTGATATTTTGATCAATGATATCAACACAACCCAAACATACATATTTATTCCTCCTACTTTAATTCAGACATGTCAATAGATACAAACAGTTCATGCTGAAGTTTTAACCTTAATTGTGAATGTTAAGGGGTGAAGTATTAACATGAAATCCTAAGACTCTAAGACTTAATTGCTACAATAGATGATCGTTATTTAATCACACAGCAGTAAATTAGTCTATAAATAGTCTATAATCTCAGACAATGCATATATTTGCTTTGAATGGATCTTGTAGAAAAAAAATTATATATTTTTAGGTTTTTGTTAGAGATGCTACAGTGTTACTGTTATCCAATGTTTCCTTCAAATCAATATACTTTTGGTAAGCCTCAAGTAACTCAGGTTTTGGAATCAGGAGCAGTTAGGGCCAAGTATATTTTTGCCATGAAAAGTGTAAATGAAAGGATGTGGGAATCCAGAACCTACCAATTACTGTATCAAAACAATCCTTGATAGCAAATATTGATATTTAGTCTGTGAGGCAGACACCCAGTCTACTTTAAAGGGTAGGCTCAAAACTTTTCTTTTTGATAAAGCTTATAGAGTTGAGTGGCTCGGGTATTTCAGAGCCATCTCTATAGTTATGCTGCTATAGACTTAGACTGCTGGAGGACAATAGGACTCTTTTTCCATCATTCTGCTTTATTCTATTTCTATTCTCCCATTCTGCAGAATTTGTTGGTTCAATCTTTAACATTATACTCTCTCTACTTTTTCTCATAGTAGCTTCATCTGGTCTGTTCCTGTTTGCCTGTGACGCCCTCCTGGAGAGAAATATCAGCTGTGCTTCTGCCAGTAACACCTTTTTTTATAGATGTTGGAGCTGTGATTAACATTAAGAGGAACTGGCTCTGAGCTCGTCTGTCTGGCTGTGCGTTTCTTGGACGAGGCCGCCTGTGGAGCTGGTTGACAGTTGCCTTTTGTATTTCTGCTTCTTTTTCCTATGTCTGCTTCTGTCTCCTTGAACCCCAGTTGGCCTCGGCAGATTGCCGCTCACACTGAGCATGTTTCTGCATGAGGTTTCTTCCTGTTTCCTCTCCACTGTCGTTTCAAGCATGAGTTGATGCAATCAGCTGGTTTTCCTTAGATAGAAAACTGAACCAATCTGACTGTATGATCTTTTAATTGTCTCTGTAAAGTGCCTTGAGATGACATGACATGAATTTGCGCTATATAAATAATACGAATTGAACTGAATTGTTAAAAAATACAGTTTTACAGATATGCTGTACTTAATTTTGGCTTTCTTTTTTGCATACCGTAACCTACTGTAAAGGATTTTTTTCAAAGTAAATATTTCTTTGAGATAAATATGAAATTATTAAAGAAAAGAGCTCTGAAATCTCTGAGTGGTGCATCTAAATAGAAGGTCATATGTTAGATAAACTAAGAGAAATCGATTCAAAGGCCAAAGTGACTGGGTGTTGTTTGTGCATCACTAACCTGAGTCTCATATCGTCTTCTTGTGCTCGCAGAAACTTTCTCTGGGCTGATGACGTACACATTCATGTTGGTGTTGCTGCTGCTGCCATGTTGCTCCAAAGAGCCTGAAAACAGGTTTCCATATGAACCATATTATTAGAGGACTGTTTATGTGGGCTTTTATCCAAGTCACATCCTAACTATATGAGAACAGTAAATGGTTTGTGTTATGGTGCTGTGAGACCGTTGAGGTTACACTGTACCAGTGTTGTTTAGCTGTGATCCTTTAGGATTCTGGAGGTTCATGCTCTCAGAGATTTCTCTGTAAAGAAACAAGAAGAGTATTCATGAGACGGATAAGCCCATAAATCCTTCAAGAGAAATCTAAGGTGCACGTTACACAGATTTCTTAACCTGATGCTTCTCTCGTCAAAGAATTTGGTCCGACATTTCTGAATGATGTGGTCCACCAAGTCCGACTCTGGAATTCTCTTCTCAGACTGTCGGTCCTTCTCAAAGGATTTCACCTGGGAACACAAAATCATTTAAGCAGCTTTTCAAAATATTCAATGAAAAACTATTTAGTGTAGTTATGCAAAGAACTGTTTTTGTTTTAAGAACACCCCCCAAAAACACCCCCCCAGAAAAGAAGCATACAGCAAAATACAGCTTAGATGTTACACAAACCTTAACGTAGTTTCCATCTTTGTCACAAACCAGAGCCATGCATGTAATACCAGCCAGTCTGCAGTGCTCCATAAGTGTCTCCTGGGACTGAACAAAAAGTGACAAAGAGATTAATTTCAATTTCTAAAGATGCTTCACAGTAGACCTTCATTTCTGTATTTCAAAAACATTCTTAAGGTCTTATATTACATTATAGGCAGACAGACAGACCTATAGGTCTTTTGCATCAGCTTCAGTGTTATTATCTCATTAAACTTCCGTTATTAGTGGTTATTGGTCCCATAGAATAGCTTTAGATTGTGCCTCTTACCTACCAATAGGCTCAGTAGGTTATCACTGAATTAATCCTAATAGTAACCCTAATGTAATAACCTTTTTGGCCGCAGTATTAACTTATCTATTTATGTGCAATCTGAACATAAATGTAGTAGTTACTGTAAAAAAGAAAAAGCTGATAGGCATGTCACTCATATCAAACAACCCCTCCCAAAAAAATCTAATATCCTGTCAACTGAGTTGTTTTTAAACACCACATTAAATCCGTTAGATTGAAAGATTTGGAATTCACTCCAAGTAAAGCTTTAAAAAGCATTTTTTTAAAGAAAGAAAATAAGTGTAAATAAATTAGAAAAAAAATGTATAAAGTAAGTAAATATAAAGTTTCTTAACATAAGAAACTTTCTAGAAGGTCAATGATGCGAAGACTGCGGCCATTCTATGGAACTGATAACAGCTAGAAATTGCCATTTAATGGTTAATTAAATCTAAAGCGGGTGGATTCTTTCTTTCATTTCTTTCCAGCTATTTATTGTCATTACACTGTCACAAGTACAGAGCAATGAAATTCACTCTCTGCATTAAACCCATCCCCTTGGGGAGCAGTGGGCTGCCATTGTGCAGCGCTGGGGAGCAGTTTGGGGTTAAGGTTCTTTTCTCACGGACACAGAGCTGCAGTTTGTGGGAGTGGGGCTTGAACTCAGAACCTCTGGACCCCAAGCGTAATGCCCAACCACTAGGATTTTGATGCCTCCTCTTTTCTCACACCTTTCTCTGTCTGACTGCATTAAGTTAAAGTATCCTCTGACGAATGTTAGCTGGCAGCATGTAAGAGAGTTTGCCATATTAGGCAAATGAGGGAAACCATCAGCAGAGGATTAACACAAGTCGTTGATTCTCTGAGTAAATATGACGCCATGTGAATGGTTTTAACAAAACTCAGCTAAGAAGGGATTTATGGCTGAGACGTCTACAAAATGGTTTTGTTAAAAGCTTTCTCCTTGTGTATGCATAACAAACAAAAAAACATTATGATCTGGAATGTCTGTGTTTTAAGCTAGACTCATATTTTCCTCATTTCCTCTAAAGACTCCTACGCCACTCCAGAGGACAATGAAAACAATTAAAAGACATTAGCGACACTATTGGAAAGTTCAGACAACAATATCTTATACTGCATAGAGGGGGAAAAAACAAAGGAAGGATTAACATGTTGGTACTGGGTGTTGGCTGTTTAGTGACAGAAACATGGGACCAGAACTGCTGGCTGTCATAATAAACACCTTCATTTTTTTAAGTACTGATCTCAGTTTGGCCAAACCCTCTAACTTCCATCAAATTACTGCAAGCCAGAACTCAAACAAAACAGAACCATTTTTTTTAAAGTGCGTCAGATAAAACACTGGCACATTCATGCCGGTGAGATAAATGACTCTGTCACCTGGGTGTGACCCTTTTTTGCCAAACCTCAGCAAAACTTGCAGGTGAAGAAAAAACTTCCTACTGGAAGTCAGGTGTGTGTCTTATGTAGACAGGTTTTACTGTATTAAAGAAACTAACAGCCACTATTTAAACATAAATATCAAAAAGATCTTTAGTAGGGTATGGGCAAACCAGGTCACTGAATGTGATTGGAGGTTTAAATGAACAGAAAAGAAAGTTGAAATTAGGTCAAATGTAGCTTTAATCTCTGTGACTTTAGTTTAGATTTAAACAGTATCTTTACTTTCACTACCAAGGTTCTCCACATTTTATTTCTTTCTTTTTGCCTTTTTGTCAGCATTTCTGCTTTTATTGGATTGGTGCAGCAAAGAGACGGACAGGATATGGGGGGAAAGATTGCAGGGGTATTAAATCCTGCAAAGGTTTGGCTGTCTATGAAAGTATTTTATGCACATGTGGTATTCGGCTAAACCGCTGAGCTATTTGGTTGTAAAATGAAACACTTTTCCAACAACAGCATCAAATCATTGCTCAGCCTTGAATGTGATGAGACTGTAGGGCAAGAACCAACTAAACAGAGAACAAAAACTTAAAATCTGCAGACAGTAAAGAAAAGAAAGGTCATACATTTCTTTTATGTATTGAAAACTTCTGGAACATCCCAATTTTCTCACCTCCGATCTAGTATTATCGCTTTTTAGTAGGTGGTAGAATCATAGATGTTACACACATAATTTTAGCTCCAATCCGTTCATACAATAAAATTTGAGAACTTATGGAAGGTGTTTTTTTTTTCTTTTATTAGCTACAGAAAGTAAAGAAAGTAGATGAAAAATACAGAATTTGAATCCTTTTGCATTTTTGAAACATGCCAGTATTGTGGTTTTGGCCTTTCTGCAACAAACATATAATATACTTACATTATATTATATCATATTATGTTATATTATATTATATATCATAAGGAAAACTGTAAAGAATTTTTGAAAACAAATGTTATCCCATCTTTTAAACATGTTTGTTTGGAAATCTTAGCAAGGACAGCTGCCAATCCCTGTTGTGCTTTAATGCCCGTTTTAGAGCAGACAAAAAGGTGCATTTAGTGAAGTGGTGGCCTATTGGTTAGGGCATTGTGCTTGGGTCTCAGAGGTTCTGAGTTCAAGTCCTACACACTTCCATGGGTCGCCACTCTGGGCACAATGGCAGTCCACTGCTCCCCAAGGGGATGAGTTAAATACAGAAAGTGATTTTTTTTTTGCTCTGAACTTGACAGTGTAATCACAATAAGAATTTTTTTTTTTTAAATCTAGAATATTTATTTCACTACAAATGTAAGAACAACTGATCAATCAAAAGGCTTCACTAAATCATTTGGAATAAAGCTGCGTTCACACCGAACGCAGCAAAAACGCATCTGCTGCTTCATTTTTGCTGCTTGTACCAGTTTGTTCTGACGTGCGGCTGAAGCAGCTTTGCTGCTCTGGCTGCGCGGTGCTAAAGTGGGTCTGACGTGCGTTGGGCGGAGCTACCCTATCCTTTCTTTAACTTGCAGCTATATTTGCTGTGATCAGTGGGAATAAAGTAGTTTTAATATGTTTTTAGGTGGGAAATCCACCTGAAAACTTAATCTGTGCAGTCAGTTCATCTAGATTACAATCCTGCCTTCCAATATTATTTCTCTGTTGGAGCCGTTCAGACCCCCACATACAGACGGTGCGCTGTCAGTAGGAATCCCTTCAACAGCAGCCTCTGGCCCTGTTGCCTCCTCGCGGTTCACCGCGGCAGCTGGAAGGCGGTTTTCATGTAAGTAATCCAAACTGCAGGCAGCAGGATAATAAAAGCGAACATATTCTGCCGGCAGGTTTCGGCATTTTAAGTTAATTTAGGCATTAATAAACTGTTTCAGAGGAGTGATCATAGCGCTCTGAATCAGCAGTGCCGTGTCTGTCTCCCTGCCAGCTCCCAGATCAGCTTCTCTAATTGGTTGATGCGGCGCATCGAGCAGCAAAAGTTAAATTTTTCCATCTTGAGCAGCAGCGCGTTTGCGGCGTGTCGCGCATTTGTGGCACGTCACATGCTTAAACACTCCCATCACGCTGTTTCAGCTGCTCAGACGCGCTGTGCCTGCTGCTCAAAACGCGCTGCAGGACATTTTGCTGCGCCTTGACTTTGCATGTAAACTCGCTGCTCCTGCTGCTTTCGGTACGCATAAGGTAATGACCATAGAGGTCCAACCAACACATTTTAGTTTAAAACCACATCCTTTCAAATTTAAATGTGCTTTATAAAAGCCAACCAGTTTACCTGTAATACATCATAAGCAATGTCTGCAGAAACCCCAGTGCTCCACAGCTTCTGGACAACACTGATGGCCTTGGACATTGAGGACTGTCCCACTGGGACCACCAGAACATCGCAGGAACTCGCTGTCACCTAAAACAAGAGGAAAATATGAATAATCATAGCCATAAAACAAAACAAAAAAACTAAAGCTAAGCATTATAAATTATATATGATTTGGGTTAATAAAAACAAAAAAATAAAAAATGAGTCCCAGATAGGTTCCTGTCTGAATTAAAAATAAATACAAGGCTGTGCCTCTTAAAATATCCCAAAGGGAGTGAAGACGTGCACTGATCATAGTTATTAACAGGTTTCTAAATGCGGCACCATGGCGACCGACGGCTGCAAAAAGGTGTCATTAAATATGCAGCTCTGCTGGTGCTCCTCCATTATAATAATTAGGAATGTCAGAATTCAGTGTGTATATGTGTCTGTCTCTCTTACTGGCTCCTCCGAATTGGCCATTGCTGCGTAGACTTTATCCAGAGCAATGCTGGCCCCCACAGCACTGGGGACAGGCACATTTGAAGCTGGTCCACGAAACTCCAGGATCTAAGCGCAAGAATAAGACAAAAAAATAAGTCATGTCAAAAAAAAATAAATAAATAAATAAATAAAAAAAAAAAAAAAAAAAAATATATATATATATATATATATATATATATATATATATATATATATATATATATATATATATATATATATATATAATTAAACTGGATCATGGGAATTCACTGTTTTTGGATTAGGAAAACTATAAACCTACTAAATGATCATAGCGTCCTCCGGCAGCTACAATATCGGGTACAGTTCGCTTGCGTTTCTTTATAAAAGCAACAAACTGGAAGATGACTCCAGAGTGATGCTGGACCTTATACACCAAACCCAAGTTGACCACCACCTATAAAGTAAAAAAAAAAGAACTAAATTTAAAAACAAAAAACAAATATATCATGTTGTTTCTTTTCCTGCTTTAAAGCTGATAAAATCACCCTAAGTTTAACGCCCAGCCTCCTCAGGAGGACGCTGATCTCTTCCAGGTCTTTGATGCCCTGCTTTGCCAGCTGAGTGACGGCTGTCTTCTGTTTGGTCAGCGATGTCAGCAGCGGCGCCAGCTCCTGCAGACTGCCCTTTTGCTCTATATACTTATACAGTGTATGGAGCTGAAAACACAACAAAACAAAGTTTTTTATCTGTCTGGATGTGCAAAAAATGTTACCTCTTGAAAGCTGAACATATTTAAATGCACCAAGTAAACACTTACACTGTTGGTCGAGAGAGAGAAGTTGCAGAACTTTGCTTCCACTTCACCTCTGGTCAGCTTTTCATTCTATAGCAAATATGGACAGAAGAGGCAAATCAGTTACTGTTACTATATTTGCATTGACATATTCCACTTTGAACATATAAATGTATACTAAGATTTATTTGTCCATCTAACAAAATTAAAATGAATTTCAAATGTTTAGTTAAATGGGGCGTCTGTAGCAGTTTGTTTATGGACAGCTCTGTTAAGGCCAAACAACCCCATCTTAGTTTGGTAGAGAGCTTGCCTCTAAATAGACAACAACAAAACCTTTGTATTCGGCTATTTTCCCTATTGCAAGGCGTCAGGTTAAGCTCAAACCCCCAAGCCCTCCATATTTAAACAAAGATATGCTTGTCCCAACTTTCTTTTTACCACATCATCATAAAAGTTTAAAATTAAAATGGGTTCCAACAGATTATACATTTTAGTTCTTAAGTTTTGGCTCAATAAGGATCTTAAAAATACTACCCTGAAACTGATTCACAGGGTGTTTTATTTAAGTTTAATTTAGATAAGCCAAAAATTAAATACCTGGGGTGGAGAAAAGCGAACACTCCATCCTTATGCTAAAATATATAAGTGGTATCATCATGTTGTGGGAACGCATGTGCTAAATGATGGATGGAGCTAAATGCAGAAATCCTATGAGAAGAGCTGTCAGAAGCAGCAGAAAAATTACATTTTAGTCTAGACAACGGTCTTAAAAATGATGCAACCATAGTTACAATAGCACGGTTTGTATAAAGCATAATTATGAAAAATGCTCCTCATAAAATGCTTTCCACCCAACTTGACTAAGCAAAGAAGAAAAAAGGAAAATGACAGCATCTTGATTTGTAAATCTGGTAGAGCCCTACTACAGACCTTTAAATGTGGATGTAGACATAATCAATCAGGGAAGGGAATTCAAGACCATCCCACAAGTTTTTGGAAACCAACCTTCTACTGTACAACTGTTTGAACTTTGCTGTTTTCATGATTTAAATACCTTTGCAAGCCACTGTATCTCTGAGTTTTGCATAGATCTATTTGTAGGGATTTTCACATCAAACACCTCTAGAGAAACTGTCTTACGTTGGTATTACTTTGTATGATTTACTCATTAATGATTATTAGACTCCTAAATGCTGCATAATATTTTAAAGATAATAAACTAAAAACAATATTTTCACAAAAATTATCAGTCTCCAGATCACTACCACATATATAAATGTATGAATTGGATTATAGAGACGATTTACCTTGTATTCCTAGTATTAAAAGAGAGTAATTTGTGGTCTATCTTAAGTTTATTAAAAAGACAGATAATTTTTGCTGTTATCATTTTAAAAAGGAGATCTAATATGTAATATAAGTCGGACAAACCATAGCATCACAGAGTATGTTGGATGCCTGGCTCAGTTTGTCCTCTGGGACACCGCTGTGGAGCAGGACGGCCTTCAGCAGGCTGGTGTGGTTCAGATAGATGTTATAGTTCCTCTCCTGAAAATACATAGACACCTTTTAACCTCTTAGCCACAATTACAGTCAGCCTTCATGCAATGAGCACCTTGGAGAATAATAACTGCTGTGTCCGGCAGCAAACATTCTTTAAGGCTGTCACACAAAGACCAGGACAGTGAAGCGGATCAGAAACAGGATGCATGAGGGATGTAATAGAGGCTAGACACGAGGCTGTCTGGGTTTATAAGGTGTGGGAAAAGAGCTGCGGCTGGAGATTGACGCAGCGCTGTGATGGATGCGGACAGGAAATGGATTGGACTGGAAGGGAGGGAAGGAAGCGGACGAAGCTACGCATACCAGATTTACAACATAAACAATAAATACAATGTAAATCAGTCATGCTTACACGTGCTTTGGTATGATAGGAATGTAAGTGGGAAGTGAGGAGGAAAAAACACAAGTTTGAAGCTGACCTAATGGCATTTGGAGGAGGATATAGAAGAATGACAAAAAGGTGCATAAACTATTACTTCAAAGACAGCAAAGCTAACAGGATTAAAATGGTAAAAAAATAACCTGAAGAGCAGGAAACTCCTGGACTACTTCAGAGATGGTGTAAATGGTCTCTGCATCAGGGAGCAGGCTGTTGGTGACTGGTGTGATGATGTCAAAGGCGCACTCCAGAAGCTCCCTCGGATGGGCGCGGTCCAGCTTTCTGGGTCGGAACACACGTTCAATGCAGTACCTGGACAGAAATTGAGAAACACTCAGTAACTTTGCCTCCACTTTTCACATTTCTAGATGCACTGTTGTTTGCTAATATTTAAACTATCTGGAGCAGGTTTTTTGATCGAAGTAGGACTCAAACAAAAATAAACGAATAAACTGATTCTGTACGTATGCAAATGTCTCAAAACCAGGACATGTTGAACCCAATTACCTAAAGCTGATGCACAAAAAGATGGTGAAGATTGTTTTTATTATTTTGTTGAAGGTGATCTGACCTTCAACAGGGGAAATAAGCTGATTACAACCTCTGGTCAGATTTTTTTAAAAGCATTTTACCACAGAATGCAGTAAATATTCTATTCCAAAAAAAAAAGGCAACTACTGTGCAGGATACATTTTAAAGTTTTAATAGCAAATTATAAATCAAAACAATAGAGACATAATATAAACTTCTAAAACAGAGACCTTATTAAAATAATAACACCTTTTGGAATCATTTCGGGCAAAATGTGGTAAGCTTTAAAGAACTGATGTTGTGCCTTTAGTATTATTATGCATTAATTCATGTAACGGAGACAAAACCAAGTATTAAGACAAATACCACAGCATTAAAAATCTATATTTCTTAGTCTTATGTAATATTCAATTTAATAGGTGACATTAATTTTAGGTTTTCATTACGCTGTAAACCATAATTATTAAAATCATTTGAAAAGAAAATGATGGTGATGATGATGTATCATTAGGTGTAATTAACCTGTAAAACTGCTAATTTTTTTATTTGAATCATCTTGATAAGCAAATAGTTGATTTTATTCATTTATATGCACGCGCACCTTCTTCAATATTCCATATAATTCAGTTTTATTTATGTTTCAAACCATAAAAAAACAAAAAAGGTTTTAGTGATTTCTGTTGAGTAATTACTAATCGCCCCCCTTATTCTGTTGCTAATAAATCAAAATGACCAAAATGAGCTACAGAACATATTACACATGAAACAATGGCAATAGCATATAAAAAAAATATTTCACTTTGCATTTACAATTTCAGGAAGTGTTTAGCATTATAACTAGATACCAACTTTACCTCTTCAGTTGTGTTATATTGTTTCGGGCAACAAATCTTGCAAACGCCATCTGAGGGGAAGAAAGAATTGAGAATCTGTGTGCCGTAACCATGACAGTAAATTCAGAGCATTCTTAGATGTAATCAATCACAGTATGCCGCCATCATTTAGTCCTCAGGGTTTCCTGAGGCTGCTGCTGATTGCAGCCTCAACCTGTGGACATTTGCATTTTCTTTGAAAGGCTGCATAATTAGTGAGCAAGCATGGATATCCGCACATGTGAATGTGTGTGGTATGTTTGTAGAGCTCACACGAAGGTCAATGGGCAGAGTGACCAGCATTCCACTGTGGTCCATGAAGCAGGCCAGCTCACTGCCATCATACAACTTCCTGTTTCTGGGCAGAAGCAGTGGCGTATGAAGACGTACCGCACCTGAGGACACATTACGCATTATGTCTAAAACACAAAACCTAAACCCAAGGGGAGCTGATGTGTACAAACAGATAAGAATAAGCACAGCATGAAGATGAAAAGCAACACAAACACATGCACAGAATCTCTGCTGCCCAACAATGAGCCCATTGTTTAGCAGACTCACACTGGACCAGATGTTGGGCTCTTCAAAACAGACTAACAGGAGGTCAAGGGGTGCAAGAAGTCTGGGATGGAGAGTAAACACGGAATCATGTTCTCACACACACAAACACACACGTTAACAGGCCTGGTCTGCTCACCGTGCTTCTTAAAGATTCTGGTGACGCTTTCGTACACATGCTGCTGCAATTTGGCGCTGCCAAAGTTGAAGCTGCCCTGAAGGGAGAACAAACAAATAACCTTTGTTAGAGAGGTCTTTGTGGCATAAACTGAATGTTTGCAAGTATGGGATAAAGGTGAGGGGACGCTGAAAACAATGGCTCTGCACTGACATCTACAGGTAGAAAGGAGAAAAACACATAGGAGGGAAATAGATTTGCTCTGGTTATATTAATAATGAAGGAACAACTTTAGCAAAGGTCAAAAATAATATTTCTTTTAAACCAAAATAATTAGACAGATTTTAGGTTATTTAGGTAATATTTACAATGATTTACTTAATTGTCAAAATCCCCTTACAGGAAGGAGAGTTTGGAACTAAAATCTGTTCCTACGCTGTAGCCATTTTAAAAGTGACCCTTTCAGGAGAAATAGAAACATTTAATAAGAATAATTATGTTATAACAAAGTGATGGACTGGCAACCTATTCAAGGAGCCCAAAGACAAATAAAAGTCATCTGCAGCAACGGTGGAATGCTCTACAAAACATTGGCTTTCATTTGACAAACCCTCAAAAAAAGGGATGTTTCTGCATTTTCTAGCTAGTTTGGGTCTGATCAGTTTCGACAGATAAAGTAGGATCCAGTGCCAAGTGAAGTTTTAGATCATTTCCACATGTTAAAATGACAATGAAATGCAGCATAGAATATCAGTCTGTCCCAAGAGAATTCTAGGATCTCTATACAGGATCAAAACAAAATATTTCAGTGAGATTTGAAATGATGTATTGTGGGCTACATTGGTTTATGTACGGTACTTTGAGTAATACAAAATCCAGCTGGCTATACAATGTCCTGCCATTGCAACAGCCTGGATATTATCGGAGATTCAAGAAGAAAATAATATAAAATATTTAGATCTAAAATAAGAATATTTTTTAACAGTAGAGATTTTTTTGGTCTCTAGTCACTGGACTATGAAACGAATAAAGGAATTGATTTATGTATTATCTGACTATAAAATCTTTGTTTCCTATTAATTTAATATTAGTGTGTGCAACATTCATATGGCAGATAACCGATTTTATAGAGTGTTTAGTCTATAAATTCTGTGATTGGTCAACAGCTCAACCTTTGTATAGATTTCTTGAATGAGAATGTAAAACATTATTTTGGGAAGCATACATACCTTGTGCATGTCCATGTCATAAGCATAATCCATGACTGGTGAGGTGTTTTGTGAAAACAACTGTCCAACCATGGTGCGGTAGGCCTTGCCGTTGATATTAGCCATGGTGTGCTGCAGCACCTCATGCAGCTCGGACTCCTCCATTTGAGGCGGCGGCAGCAGCTCGCTCTTCAGCAACTCCTGAGCGGTGGGTCGAAGGGCCGGGTCGTGCTTCAGCAGCCACTCTATTACCTTCCTCTAACAGTGGAAAATGAAAACACGACTTAAAACTGCAACTTTAAAAGTATTGAGATTAGAGAATGAAACTAGAATCTGTGAAGCAGTTCTGACCAGGGTTCCTTGCTCATGTTCAGGAAAATCTTCTGGGAAAGAAATTGACTCCTAAAGTGTTAAAAAGGGGTAAAAGTGAATAAGAAGTCCAATTTGGATCACAGCCTTTAGCTTAATTTGCTCATCATGACGTACCATCCGTAGCTGGCTCAGGACGGAGATGCGCTCTGCACCGGTCACAAATGGCCTGTAGGACATCTCAAAGAGTATGATACCCAGGCTAAACAGGTCAACTTTCTGTTGGGAGAAAAAAAAAAAGACAATTAAGAAGACATTAAATTGTAAGGAAAGAAAATAAAAACAAACTGATGGATTGTGGTTGGGCAATGAAAGTTAGATTGTCTTACCTGGTTATATGTGGCTTTGGTGTTACCCTGGACCTCTGGACTGACGTACAGAGCTGTTCCAACCATCCCTGTCATGTTACCTAAAGGAAATCATACAAACCCAACAGCAGGTGTTAGGGTGGGGCATTAACCTGCACAGATATCGGAGCTTTACAAGTTTTTGTTAAAACAAAACTGCACCTGAAGGGTCTGGTTTGGGCGCCCCAACAGAGCCGCTATCTTCCAGCTCAAATTTACCTGCTGCCTGAAAAAACACATTTTTAAAAAGCTCAGACTGTGACTATATTTTTTTCTTTACTTTCAATTAGATAAATATTTACTACGTACAACATTAGCAGGATGATCTGTGGCCAGGCCGAAGTCTCCGATTTTCACATGATCCTGGGAATCAAGGAAGATGTTCACAGGCTTCAAGTCCCTATGAATCATACCCTGAAAAAGAACAAAGAACTTAAGAAAAAAATAAAATTATGATTTAAGAAGTATGCTAGAGTTCATTTAGAAAGTTCCAAACCTGCTCATGAATGTAAGCAAGACCATCCAGGATCTCCCTGAACAACCTCCATAACCGATTCCTGTCCAGGTACAAACTTTGATCTATTGTGTCTCTTAAAGTGCTCTTTTCACAGTATTCCATCTGTCAGGGCCACAATCGATAAATTAGCATTTAATTAAAAACACTTTCATATACAGAAACAAAAACAAAGTGCTTTAAATCAGACAAAACAACTAAGGGGTTTAGAAACACAGCTGTGTTTTTAACAATAATTATTAGGAGAAAAACAAAATATAAGAAGCGAGTCTGCGACAGTAATGAGCTATAAATCTAAAACAGATAGGAAAAATGAAAAGGAAAAAAACAAATACCAAAGGTAAACTACAATCTGTGTATTATAATAGTAAAATATATAAATGAAACATAAAATATAATTCAAAACCAGGCAACAAAGTACATTAAAACGAGAAAGAAAGTTATCTCCTAGTTAATAATCTAAAATGCTTAAACTAAGCTAAAAGGCCATTTAAAAACACACATCTTATATACAAATCTATTAAAACATTAATAATCTCCGCTGAGAAAGTTTGCGGTAAGAAAATGATGCCTTCTTTCTTATCATTCAAGTACCTTCTTAAAAGAACACGGGACCTTGTTGGGTTATATGGTAAAAACTAATTTTTGTAGGACTAACTATTCTAAAAGTCTTTTTTAATTAAGTCACTCTCTATTTCATAAGTGACTTTTAACTGGATCAATGGGAGTCCCCTGATCTGCAACTCATTAATACCAGTATTGATAAAATGTACAATATGTTATCAAAATTAGGTCTTTAAACAATTGAATCTCTATGCAATGAATGGATCTGAAACCTATGAGTAATGCTTAAATGTTCTATAAAGGCTCTCTTAGATGTTTCAAACAAGCTTCCCTCGACTTTATTGTTACAAAATATCAATCAGAAGAAAAGAAACAAAAAAATGTACCTGTATGTACAAGTAATGCGCTATAGAAAGATGGCGATCAGAGTCTGAGGTCCCAGTTGTGTCGGTTGTCGCCGGCGTTTCTCTTGGCTCCATCTGGAGATAAAAAAACATTATGTCAATGGCTCCAGCCTGTAGAGTAGCCTCCAGAGTAGAGTAGCGGTGAATATTAGGTGTGGCTAGCAAAAAGACAAGAAAGGCAAGGTTTATTGATCATAAAAAACAGGATAGGAGTTGATTCAATGGGAATAGTATTGATATTGCAGTCTGAAAACTGGGTTTAAATCCATCTTCCATTTCTGTTATCTGATGTGCTTCTGGGCAAGGCATTTGTCCCAAGTGTGGATTATTGCTGCAAAGCCTGCATGTCACTCAAATGATGCATGAATCTACCAATGGTAGAAATTCTCAAAATATAAATATGTCAGCTTTGTGTGTGTGTTTTTTTATCCATCCCTATTATAAGCTGATCTATATCCAGGGTTCCCAAATCTGGTTAAACTAAAATTAAATGTAAGTTTTAAGGACTTTCCAGGACCCATTTCCTGCAGTTTAAGGACTGTGTCTCGTGACGTGTGTGACATTTTCCTACTGCTACCACTGAACAAAACAACGCAAAAATAATTTTACAAGAAAACTAAATGTCATAAAGGTTATTAAATCATCAATGAGAAAAGTGGATTTAATATATAGCCTACATTCATATTGGATATGGAGAGTGTTAAGTCATTTGAAGTATTGTTGAAGCCATGAAGTTCCTCAGCAAATGAGTTAAAAAATTGTACTTTTTTAGAGACTTTTATGAATTTCTTTTGCTCACCAAGGCAATCTAATGGAAAGTAAAATACTTATTTGACAGCAAAAATGCACGTGTCTTAATTGTGCGTAATAAACGACATGAAAGGAATTATTTCAGCACTCAATGTGAAGCGCAATCCCAGTTGTAGCTGCAAAAAGATTGCCTGTACCAATGCATGCTCTGTTACAAACACATGAATCGTGCCGACTGGAGGAAACACAAGAAAGAAGTGTCACCCAAGCAATAAAAGAATGACATGTTGACAGCGGTAATCATCTATCCATGATACAATTTCAAAGAACAGAAAAACACTGAAGGGCTTTTGAGGACAAGTGTCATTATATGACAAATTTAGTTAATTTACTATTTATCTAAAAAGGAAACACATGGTTTCAGATTGTTCTTACTACAGAATTTTTTTGACGTTCTACACAGAGTTTATTTATAGATTCCACTGTCAGCTTTCACTTAATTAATATAACTAAATTATTAACTCGCTATAGATGCATAAAAATGACAAACTGTTTTATAAAAGACATTAAAACACAGACGAATTCATGAACATGAAGAAAATGTTCAGACCTGGGACATCTCATCTGTGCTGTCATCCCCATTTTCAAAGATGATGTCACTCCTTGATTCGCTATCTGAAGGCCTGAAAAGAGATTAAAATAGAAGAAAAGAAACATTAGGAATGTGTCAAAATTTTGTTGAAAAGAAACAACTTTTTACCAAAACTCTAACCCTGAAACTTACAAAAACGATGCACCAAATACATCGTCATCATAGTCATCTTCGTCCTCGTCACTCGACTGGTGTCCGCTGCACTTGGCACTGGAGGACCTCTCAATGGAGGTGGACCACTCCACAGAGCTCGACAGAGCTGAGGGCGGGGCGAGGTCCTCTACGTTGTCAGGCAGGCCGAGCTCGTTGAGGCGCCGCGGTGGATCACAGCGCTGCACATGTTTACATGGAGTGCTCTGAGGCTCTGAGCTGTCACTGTTGCTCAGCACTCCCGTGGAGGGCAACTCGTGCCGCTCGATCCAGGCGTTGTAATAGCGGACAATGTTTTCATGGTTCAGACGGGAGAGCAGTGTCACCTCCCCTTTGATTCGCCTGAACTGTTTACTGGCTGGATTGACCTGGATTCGCTTGACAGCATAGTAACAACCATCCAGTTTGTTTTGAACCTGTGCATCAAAACAGAAGAAAATGCAGATTTATTGTCAAGTTAAAGCTTGCTTAAATTTTATTTGAAAAAAAAGGGTGCAGTTTACCTTAATTACTGCTCCAAAGGCTCCTTTTCCCAGAAGCTGCAGTTCCTCAAACTCATCAAAGTAGCGAGAAAACTGCCTCTGTAGCCCTGAGCTGAAGGGAGCATCGAGGATGTGGCTACGGGGAACAACAGTCGACCCAAAGTCCACTGCCAGATCTGGGCCAAATGAAAAATATTACGTAATGCAAGATTTAAATGGTCACCTATCACCAAAAATCTTTCAGAACATAATATTTTTACAATAACACAGAGTTTTATATACTTCTTTTGTATGTTACCAGCCAAAAATAATCGTATTTTGTGTGTTAATCCAGAAATTTCCACATTGAAACTAGTTGTCATTAAACTGTCTATTTATGGGTTGTTTCAATTAAATTTGCTCTGTTTAACGTCTTCGATCAATGTCAGAAGCTGTCATTTCGCCTCACTCACCATCTGGGCTGTTGTCCTGGTACTGAGGTAGGTTTTTAGGTGAAGGAGGCTTAAGGAAAGAGTGCTCCAAAAGCTGTTGGGTTGTCCAGCGGTCAGCATCATTCAAGCAGATACATCTAAAACAAAATACAGTGGCCATCAAGCATTTTAATGAAGACTGAAAGTCTTTGATTCTAGTTAAAACATCACATCGACATTTCAAAGTTAGAAATACTATCAAATACCTTTTTGAAATAAATTATATTAAGGATTTCTCATTAGGATATTAGGATTTCTGGAGGTGAGTTTTGTCTCAAAATGTCTTGACGTGTGTTTTTTCAAACAGCCCTTTATCTATCTACAGAAGATCCTTTACAAAATTAAACCAGGTGAAACAAAAACTTTACGACTTGATATAAAATACTGACAAACTAAAACATTTTTAAAAATCTTAAATATAAAATGTTTATATACATTTTTTTTTTACAATTTTGATATAATTACTGCTCTAAGTGGGTCGCTCTGTCTCTGTTTTATAGTCTCTATAATCCAGTTAACGATTAATCGATTAATTAAGATTAATCAGATCAATGGTTTCAGCCCTACCTTTATGTTGTTATCATTGTGGGTTTACAAGGAGCTGTAAATAACATTAAAACTCACCTGCTCAAATCCTTCCAAAAGTCAGTATGTCTATCACTAAGAGATAATATTGTCTCCTTGAGAGATAATAGTATCTTTATGGCAAAACCAGTGTTATTACTGTATAAAAACAGTACCAGAAAGCATGACCACATTACCCCAGTTCTAACAAAATGTCACTGTCTGCCTGCACATCTTCATATCCCCTTTTTAGACATGAGCACCTAATTATACTTAAAATGTAAATATAAATATATTTAGATAATTATACACAATGTTTGCATGTGTTACATTTTTAATTTCACAATTCACCAGCCTTCTTCCATCTCCTATTTATTTAACAGAACCAGATTGAACCTTCTCCTAAACAGTCTTATGCGTCCAGCAAGGTATTTTTATTATATGAAAAACTTCATTTGTATTATTACGCAATTAACGTACAATAACAGTTTTTGGAGTCCGCTTGACATTCAGATCTCTATCCTCACTGTGCCAGAGTTCACTTCAACCGAGGCAGTAGCTGCTCAGTTTTAAGGCAAACCCGAGTCCATTTTTTTGGTCCACATCAGAGTTCCATTTTAAATGAACCGAACCTTCTGGCCAAACAAATGATGGTCCGATTAAAGCAGACTGAACAGGGCTGGTGTGAATACACCCTTAAACATTAAGGAAAACTGGTCAGGTGGATAAGGATTATAGACAGACCAATACATTTTAAATTAATCAGGTCTAAGTGGACATCTGGCAAAAAAAAAAACTTACTTTTTTTTAAATTTTAACTTATTTTATTCTGTTTTATTTTCATTATATTATATTGCATTCTTTATGTAGCTTAGCGATTAAGTCTTTACCTTATTTCCTGCAACTGTAATATCAGTACAGCACTTGGTTTTTTTAATGTGCTTTATAAATAAAGTTTGAGTTCAGTTGAGTTGATAAACAGCTGGAACATTTTTTTTCTTCATTTTTATCATGTTAATGTAGAAAAAATAGCAAAATCAGCTTCAAGAATAGGCTCATAAAACTGGCAGCACATATCAGGTATTGATTAGACTGATGTCAAAATAATGGGCAGTGGCCTTGAAAAAACTGTATCAGTCTATCTCTAATAAGGACAGAGTTTTTCTTTTGCTCGGTGAATGCCTAAAAATGTATCCCTCCTCAAAGACAAAAATCTTTTTCATGGCCTAAAGGTTTATCTTCTAACATTGCAGATACAACCATGAGCTTGTCACTGCATGGCTGAAATTAATTGAGCAACCTTAAATGTCTTCATCCACAGAGAAGATTTTTTTTTTTTCTTTTTTAGGACCAGTAGCTTTTAACATTAATATGATAATAGTTTAAACAAAAAATGTATACACACCTGTTGAGGAAATCCTGAAAATCAGCAGGCAGGCTGCTTGGTACAGTAACTGGAAACTCCTTCACCTCTTTGCCCTGACTCAGCGCCAGCAGCATCAGCCCCAGGTTCCACACATCCCCTTTCTTCCCAGTTTTTGTTGGCAATGCTGTATCTTCCGAAAAACGGACCCGGGCTTGTTCGAAAATGTCTTCTTTGCAGATATCAGCAAAGCGTTTGGATAGGCTATAGTCAGTCAGTCTAATGGTTCCCTCTGAGTCTACCAGGACGCTGGAGGCCCCCAGCTGTTTGTGGACCACAGAGTTAGAGTGAAGGTAGTTGAGGGCAGCCAACAGCTGAGCCGTATAATGGCAGAGTTTATCCAGAGGAACTGGGGTCTGGCTTGCCAGGCTTTGGTTCAGGTTGATCCCAGGCACGTGCTCAACCAGTAGGTTCACATCTATGCAGTCCTCCTTTTCAATGGAGCTCAGCGCTAAATAGTGCACCAAGTTTGGGTGATCTAGGCGCAGGAGGGAGTTGAACTCATTCTCTGCTGCATGAATCTACAAGTAATTTAACGAAAAGAAAATCAGTACTTCTGGCTAGCAGCTTTCATAATCCAGTTAATCCAACATAGGTCATTTTTAAAGCTGTTTTCAGGTGCCTAGACATTTTAATATAAACATTTCATATAAAGAAAGGAATGACGACAAAATAAAAAAAGGTGCATTGAGGAGGAAAGAGGAAGAAAGGAAGTAAAGTAAAACGAGGGGTAATAGCTTAGGTGCTGATGGAGGGAGAAAAGAAAGAATACAAAAAAGAAAAAAAGGGAAATAAAGAATACACGAGAAGTGGATAAGAGCTCGTCTGCTTGGCTGTGTCTTTACTGCAAGGGGCCGCCTGTGGAGCTGGTTAAAGTCACCTTTTGTATATCTACTTCCTTTTCTATGTCTGCTTCTGTCTCCTTGAACCCCAGTCAGCCTCAGCAGATGACCGCTCACACTGACCCTGGTTCTGCTGGAGGTTTCTTCCTGATAAAAGGGAGTTTTCCTCTCTACTGTTGCTGCATGCATGCAGGGATTGCTGATAAGTAAACATTTAAATGCAAGCCAAAATTGTAGCCCCATTCAGTCAACTCATTCTCCTTGACAGAAACTTAAACCAATCTGACTGCATTAGTTCTGTAAAGTGCCTTGCGATGACATGTGAAAACAGAATTTAAATGACAAGGATTATGAAGGACCAACTCTGCCATATTTAAAAATAAATACAGAAATAAATAAATGCTCAATAAATGTATGAGCATACAATTAATTGCCAACAAAAAAGTGAGACATAAATGTATATAACTCTTAATTAGCTTCTTTATTTATTTGCCTTTGTAATATTTACCTTATTTATTTTTCTGTCCTTTATAATCTTCAACTTTATTTTTTAATTACTTATATTTTTAAGTATTTATTTATGTGCATGTTATAATATTTTTGTCTGTTTTATTCTTCCTTTGTATTTTTTTATCTTAGTTATTTCTTCGCCGCTGTTTATTTCTCTCTGCCCTTTTTACATTTCTCTATGCATTTCTGGGGGTGTGTCCTAGAGAGTCAACTTCTGCTCATTGGTTGGCTTGGCGGCCCATCTTCTTAACTCACAGAGCTCAGAGTACTAAGTTAAATGTTCTCTTTTCTGTTGCTGTTGTTCGATAAAAGTACGTTTTAAGATCATTTGAGGCGAGAACCTTATACTTTTAAGCATCACCATATGGCCCATTCACAGATTTAATGCGTAATTTAAAAGAAAATGTGACGAACTTGAGAGGACCGTGGCAACCAGCGGAGCTCCGAAGTTGACGGCAGCCAGGTCTAACCACAGCCCATCTGCAGCGGCCCTCTCTCAGAATAGCCGTGTGTGAAGAATCGCTGGTGATGATGGCGATTTTTTGTTGCAGCGGCCCTCTCTCGGCATAGCCGTGTGTGAAGCGTGTTGGTTAGCATTTTACTACATCGGTCGAATCTACAGGAGGAGAGTCTGATGTCGAGTCTGAAGTCATTAGAACTTGAGTAGGGACTTTGCCAAACTTTGCCAAATACAACAAAAAATCGGCATCATAGCCTGGCTATACTGTAGACCTGGCTGCCGTCAGCTTCGGAGCTCCGCTGGTTGCCACGGTCCTCTCAAGTTCGTCACATTTTCTTTTAAATTATGCATTAAATCTGTGAATGGGCCATATGGTGATGCTTAAAAGTATAAGGTTCTCGCCTCAAATGATCTTAAAACATACTTTAATTGAACAACAGCAACAAAAAAGAGAACATTTAACTTAGTACTCTGAGCTCTGTGAGTTAAGAAGATGGGCCGCCAAGCCAACCAATGAGCAGAAGTTGACTCTCTAGGACACACCCCCTGCTCATTTGCATAATGAGGCAGAAATGCAGAGAGAAATGTAAAAAGGGCAGAGAGAAATAAACAGCGGCGAAGAAATAACTAAGGTAAAAAAATACAAAGGAAGAATAAAACAGACAAAAATATTATAACATGCACATAAATAAATACTTAAAAATATAAGTAATTAAAAAATAAAGTTAAAGATTATAAAGGACAGAAAAATAAATAAGGTAAATATTACAAAGGCAAATAAATAAAGAAGCTAATTAAGAGTTATATACATTTATGTCTCACTTTATAATTTAATTTCTACTTACATTTATTTGTTTATTGTATTTTTGTTGGCAATTAATTGTATGCTTATACATTTATTGAGCATTTATTTATTTCTGTATTTATTTTTAAATATGGCAGAGTTGGTCCTCCATAGAGTTGGTCCTTCATATCAGTGAGCTGAGTGAGAGGGAAACAATAACAGCACTAATTTAGACAAAGTAATACTATGTGGACTACGATTTGGAAATGATAAACCTGAATACAGTTGGAAACAAACAAAATCAGTACAAGACTAGTCTTAATTACTGGGGTTAAAATGTTTGATCAAAAGTTTTGATCGGGACATCTTCACCAAATACATTATTAAAATGCTAACTTTCGTAATAGAAACAACAGACTGTTTACTTGCCTGCTTTTTACAGGCCTCAATCTTTCCTTTCTCCTGGCTGGTAAAGAACTTCCCCATCTTCTTGCTCCAGTGCAGCGACCACTCATAGATCACAGAAAACTCTCCAGAATTTACTTCAAAACCGCAATAAACGCTGCGTCCAAGTCGCTCGCTTTCACCTGTCCAAAAACAAGCATTCAGGTTCTGTTATGGCTTACTTTGCAAAATATGCAGGATAGGAGAAAATACTTCTTGTACTAATTCTGCATGGTCTCACCTAAACTCTTCCCCTTATGGACAACAAGTTCTCCAAAAACACTGCTGTTAAAATGAAGAAGCTCCTGGCTGCGGTGGTTATCTTCATTAACTGTGTCTCGTCTTAAAAAAACAAAGAGACTTCAAGGTCATATTGTGGTAAAAGTGACAGCAGGGTATTATTTGGGAAGGTGCTATACCTGTGGCGTGTATTAGAGGTGGTGCGACGACGGTTGGCAACGCCTTTCTTGGCCTCGGTCAGCTCAGCTGTTGGTCCAACAGGGCTGGGTGGACTCCCTAACACGGAGGATGGGTGCTCTACGATCTCTAGTCGCTCCTGTGAACATAAATAAATTGAACCAGCAGTGTCAACACAGCAGTGTTTATTTATGAACCATTCCATTGTAGATTTTGCTTTATGTTTTAGATCATTGTCTTGTTGGAAGATAAATCTTCGTCCCAGTCACAGGTCTTTTCCAGACTCCAACAGGTTTTCTTCCAGAGTGGTCCTGTATTAGGCTCCATCCATCTTCCCATCAATTTTAACTGCCTTCTCTATCCCTGCTGAAGAATAGAAGGCCCAAACCATGTTGCTGCCACCACCATGTTTGACGGTGGGAAGGTGTGTTCAGGGTGATGAGCTGGGTTGCTTTTATGCCAAACAAAGTTTTGCATCGTTGTCAGAAAGTTAGATTTTGGTTTCATCTGATCAGAGCACCTTCTTCCACATGTCTGCTGTGTCTCCCAGGTGATTGTAGCAAACGTTAAACAAGACTTATGTATTACATTAAGAAATGGCTTTTTTCCATAAAGGCCAGATTTGTGCAGTATACGACTGATTTTTGTCCTATGGACAGAGTCTCCCACCTCAGCTGTAAATCAATGAAATATCCCCATAAATCATGAAAGCAAAGCTGTGTGTGTTTGATAATGTGTGTTTTGCTGTGTTTATATGAAAAACACCTGTTTTGCCATTTCTTTTCTTCTCTTTTCCTCTCGTTTCTCCTCTTCTCTCCTTTGGATTACAGCCATGATCTCTTTTTCCTACAAGAATGAACAATAAACTCAACTTAATGGACACAAAATACAGTGAAAGCAGACAAGTGTGGAGGTCTGGATTATTTCAATCTGAAATCAGAATAAGATTCTCTGCCTTTTATCTAGAGTGCCAATGTTTAAAAACTTCACAGAGAAGCTACCTAAAAAAAACAGATTATGCTTTAGCTGTTACTAAAGAGACAAGACAAATCACTTCAGAGTCCCATCTTGGATGTGAAAGGGTGTCACTTTTCCCTTTCCCTCACCATCTCCTCCTCCTGCTTCCGCTGCTGGTCCATCCTGCGTTGCTCCTCCTGGGCCCTTTTCTCCTGCTCCCTTCTTTGGTTCTTTAGCATCTCTTCATGAAAGGATCGGGGCGGGGGTTTGTTGTGCTCGCTAAGGAAACCCTGGATATGGTCCGCTAGTTCATAAATCATCACCTGTTAGAGCAAGAAAACAATTTAACAACCAGAAAACATAACATTTTGAAACTGCGTGTTTCGGTGCGTTCTCACCTCTCCGCATCTTGATGCTGCCAGCTTGGTCAGCTGGCTCTGGAGGTTTAGGAGGTTCTCGTTTGAAAGACCTTTGGCATTTTTTAGCTCCAACTCCGGAGACCTGTTGGTGTCAGACGGTATTGAGATTCCTCACCTTAAGATGGGACTCAACCTCAACAATGGATTATTTTAAATTCTTTCAGCCAAAACACAAACAGGGATGTGGGAGGCTCCCTAATGATTGAGGCTCCCTAAAATTTTCTAATTGTTGTGCTTAACATTACTAAAAATTATAATTCACTTCTCTTATCAAGCACTGCGCTTGATGTATGTGTAACTTTTCAGTCATCAAAGCCATGGCAAACACATAACTGGCTTTAATTAGAGGCAACCAGATTGTACGCTATCAATGCTTTTAACCATAGGTTTAGAGTCAAATCCTGCTTCTGTCAACAACTTAAAAAACACAATGATCAAATACGCTGGCTAATGGGTGTGCAGGTGGCGCAGTGGTTAGTGCGCACGACCCATCTATGGAGGCTTTAGTCCTCGATGTGCTCGAATCTGACCTGTGGTCCTTTGCTGCATGTCTCTTCCCCTCTCTCATACCTACTTTCCTGTCAGCCTACTGTCACAAAAACGAGCCACTAGTGCAGTAAAAAAAATTACACTGGATAATAAAAACTATGATTTTGAAAATGAAAACCATACGATGTAATTCAGATAAAAAAAAAGAAAAAAAATCGAATCTCTTCCCTATTTGCTTACAATATTTAAATGTAAGATTAGCAAAAAACTAAATATTGCCCCATATATGTTTTGCATACGTGGAGTTTTTAATAGAAAAACATAGTTAGCTATGTGTCTTTTTGCTTTTACCTATTTGATCATACTGATGAAAACAGCCTGAAATGACCATATAAATGCACATCAATTAACCAGAATGACCATTAAAAAGGTGTTTTGTTGAGTGGAAACGAAAAATAATGTGGTAGATTACTAAAAAAATTCCTTTTTTTAGTAATCATTTGTTGCCATGTCTCCGCATTACTAAACTCCACACACAATCCTTAAAAACTGTATTTTGTCTAATTGGATATGTATCTTGCTTATTAAGTATGTACATATCTTTAGTAACAACAATTTTTATTTCCTGCATTTTCAGTGTCAAAACTATGTTCTATGTTATATAAGAGAAGATTTTTATACAATAAAAAAAAAAAAGCAATACCTTTGTTGATTTATTCTCGTAATTTTAAGGGATTTTAGGATAACTCACCAAGGTCAAGTTAAAAAAAGAACAAAGAAACCAGATAAACCAACCAGGCACAGTCGAAAGAAACCATATGATTACATGAAGTACTGAATATCAGCTGTTCAGCCATTAAATGCATTAACCTGAATGATGCACATTTAAAATTCTATTCAAAAACGCACTATTAATCCCAAAGGGAGATTAAATATACATTATACCAATGTAACACCTCAAAAGGTTAAAGACACGGTTTGATGCATTAATAGAAACAATCTTTGAACTCAATGAAGAACTGAAAGCACATTATCTCCTATATAATGTAGCCCATAGTTAAAAAATAAATATATATATATATATATATATATATATATGTATATGTTTCTTTGGATAGAACATTTCTAAACCAATTCTATCTGAATGATTTAATCTCATTGCATCTGTGAAGGGCCTGGAAATTATATGTGTTATGAATTAGGGTTATACAAATAAAATGAAGTGAATTCAATCAATGCATCAGTCAATCAAAGATTAACATTAATCACACAAATATGTTAGACAGGGAAGAACAATATTATAAAATGATACGACAGCATTGTAAATTCATCGAATTCCAGACCAGTTCAGAGCTTTTTAAAGAACATCGACAGGTAGGCCTGTAACCTTTCTGATCATTACCTATGTAGCTATTTTTAACTGTGTTTTCCTGTTATGTAAAGCACTTTTAATTGTCTTGCTAAAGAATTCAGCATTATGATTAACCTTTGTCTGCCCATGTTGGTCAGTTTTAACAGCAGTTATGATAAGTTTTACAAAGATGGATTCTTAACCCTACAAATGCATCCCAAAAGTAAGAATATATATTGTGTGATTTCTTATCTAGGGCTGCAACTAATGATTAGTTTGCAAATTGATTCATCTGTAGATTATATATATGTCGATATATATACGTATATTAATAATCAGATAGGGAAAGGTTCCTTAAAGAAGACTTTTTACGAAACTAAACCAGGTGAAACTAAAACTTTTCCACTTAAGTTGGAGTTCTGGATAGAGCATACTACTTTTTTTTTTTTTTTTATCTTAACTGCAAAATGTTTATATAGATTTTTTTTACAACTTTGATGTAATTACTGCTCTGGGCCACTCTGTCCGTAACAGGTATAATTTAAAGTCTCTATACTCCAGTAAACAACTAATCGATTATTTATAAATTATTTGGTGAGTTTTTTCAATAATCGATTAATCACAATTATTCCAATAATTATTTCAGCCCTATTCTTATCAATTATCTGAAAATGTGTGAACTATGTTTTGTTCAATCAGCTGCTTTGATAAAAGCGATCATAAATTATTTTTCTAGTCATCAGCAAAACAAATGAGAAAAAAACAAGAACTTGTTTTTCATACTATTTATGTATCTGGGTTAGGGCTGAAACAATTAATCTTGATTGATCTATTATTGGAATAATCGACAACTAATTTAGTAATCGATTGTTAACTGGAGTATAGAGACTATAAAACATACCATTAGCTGATAGTGATCCAATTAGAGCAGTAATTATACCAACATTTAAAACAAATATGTAAATATTTTGCATTCAAAATACTGGTAATAAAAAAAAAAAAAAAAAAAAAAAAAATGTCATCTGTCAATATGCTCTATCCAGAACTCCTCATGTGGAAAACTTTTACTGCTAAACTTGTGAAAGTAAAATCTGTTGGGCTCTTTTGGCATCAAGACAATTATTCTTATTGCCACATTGCCAGACAGGACACTGTAAAAAAAACTTTTACTGTCACCTGGATTAATTTAATAAAAAAGCTTATTTAAGGAACCTTTGGATACCTGATTATTGATCAATTACTTGAAAAAATAATTTTAAGATTTGCAAAATAATCATTAGTTGCAGCACTAATCTGGGTTTAGAAAAGAGTAGAATGAAATAGACTATCTGGTGTTTACAGCAGCAAAAGGATTATAGACAAAATTTTCACACAAATGTGGACATTAGGAAAATATAAAAGAATAACATAATAGTGATCAAGATAAACATACTGTTCTGTAAAGTGATTTAGCAATATAAAAACTGTGCACCTGGATAATAAACGATCATTATACAGCTATGGATATCTTTACAGTAATGGACATTAGAAAATAGCAGCAAGATGTGCAAAATGATAGCAGCATGTTATTTAACTAAGATAGAAACTGTGCAAAATCTGCATGAATGTAACAACTTATTAAGGTGTATATGTGGAGGATATCTTTTTGTTTAGGTTTTCTTTGGAGCAGCTGGTCACAGATGGTAAGAAGGCCTTGGAGCCAAAAAAAAAAAGCTCAGAAGTGAACTCACACGTCCGGATAAGTGGGAGGGCATTTCACCAACAGCTCCACAGTCACGTAGCATTCCTCTCCATTATTCAGACCATTGGGCCGCAGGCAGAGGTGCACCTCTGGAGGCCTTTTAACCTGGAAATGATTTATGGTTATTACTGCTGCTTATCATACTCAAAAGAAGATGAATACTAAGTTTAGCTCATAATTTTGAGCTCAAACCAATGTAATCAGGTAAACCCCCTCAGTTACCTTCCAAGGGTCCTGGTTTCGCAGATCCTGGAAATCATCTCCAAAGATAGAAGCAAGAGCTTCTAGTTCATGCTCCTGCTGCACAGTGTAGTCCTCTGTCCGATCTGTAGGAGTGTGCTGACCGCTCATTCTCCTGCCTCTACAACTACATGGCAGCGACCGTCAGAAAGAGGAAGACCAGGAGCTACCGAAGCACGCGCTAAAATACTTCAGAAAGCTCCAACTTTAGCGCTTTAAACACTCGACGTAGCGAAAGGAAGTTGCGTTAGTTTTTAATCTGCAGTTCAAAACTGTTGAGGACCAACCATAACAACAGTGAACCTGGCGCATGGCTGATGCAAACTGCTGCGTGTGTCGCAGGAAAAACGTCACCAAGTTGTTTTTCCAAAAATGGCCTCTAGAGGGCGCCAATCAGTGCTCTACCTCTTCTGCGGTTCGTGGTGGACTATCTACCTATCTACTACTATATAAATTCTAAAGAAGGGGGGGGAAACTGTGTGCATATATATATATATATATATATATATATATATTTTTTTTTTTTATATATATATTATACATATATATTTTTTATGATAGATAGATAGATAGATAGATAGATAGATAGATAGATAGATAGATAGATAGATAGATAGATAGATAGATAGATAGATAGATAGATAGATAGATAGATAGATAGATAGATAGATAGATAGATAGATAGATAGATAGATAGATAGATAGATAGATAGATAGATAGATAGATAGATAGATAGAAAATCTTGGTGTTTCTAGTCAATAAAAGGCCTCTGCATGGAAGCTTACGTACCACACATCATATGCTGTGTCAAAAATCATGCATCAAAAAGTCAATTTATTCAAGTCACGTTAATCTTCCTGTAAAATAAAAAAAAATACAGTTCCTTGCTGCAATCTGCTGAAAAGCATTTTAAAACAAAAAAAAATATATGGTGAGGCAGTTTGGTGCAAAGAAATGTCACTTAATTCTTTCTAACAGCACTGCAACCGAATGTGCTACACTTTTTTACACAGGTGCAAGTTTGATAAATGTTTTTAAAATCAAAAAATTTTACATTTTGTAATATTGGCCAATGCAAAAATTGTATTTTTACTAACAACTGAAATATTACAACATTTTCTGCAAATGATAATATTCCATCTTATGGTACTTAACACAACATGAAAAATATTTTTCAACTTGTGGCTTTCACAAATATGGAGCTGCTCTATTCAAACTCGCTGCCTGCTCATAAATGACTCGGCCTCTTCCAATCACCCTACAAGGAAAAGGCTAAGCCAATCAGGAATGAGGACCACTCAGACGGTCAGATAAGACACACACACCCCAGCTGGTGTTACCATCAGCTGTTCCACACACTGAGAAGGTTCAGCGCACACACTGGCGGGATGATTTACAGACATATACAGTGTTCTCATTTTCCTTATAAGACACCAGTGACGCTGCATTTATTCAGTTCAATTCGTGGGCCTCCTTGGTGTCATCAAGGGCCATGATACATCCAAGGGTTATAATGTGGGCTTTCAGCCTTACACAGAGTTTAATAAACATTTAGAATTAGCAGAAAATCAAACAATTATAATTGGGATTTTTTTTGCCTGATGCAGACACATAAGAAAAAGATATAAAAAAAATTATACACCATCTTAAAGTCAGTTGGTTGTTTTTTAAATAGTGTTAAATAAAAACACAAACAGTCCTCAATTTATTTTTTACCCAATGATCTAAAGAGACATTCCAGTCATTTAGTGGTTTCATTGTGAAGAGCAAAGCCCATCCATATATGTTAAAGACACTTTTCCTGAGGCTTGCTGGTGTCTGCTGGAAGTTCTTATTTGGGCTTGTTAGAAGCCTAGGTTCCACCCCCCTGATTCCAGGATCCAATGTGGGGGGCTATATAAAGGACTCTCCATACCATGAACCTTTGTCCCAGAGGAAGCATCTATCTGCCAGCGTACCTTGGTAAGTACATGTCACAGACTGTCTCTCTGATATATGTTGCTTCTTGTGTTTTTATTGCAAGTCTGATGCTATAAGTTCAAATTAACAATTAAATAATGAACTGATGCAATGATATGAGTATTGACTGGTGATACTGTATATGTATTCCTGTCAATGTGGCTGAATTACAAAGTGATGCTCAAATTATTTACACAAAATTAGATTAAAATAAAATCTTTTGAAAGTAAACAGTCTTCAAAAGAACATTTAACATGTGTCCTTGTTAAAATACTTGGAGCAGTGCAGTGTGTGAGGATAATCAGTAAATATCTTAGAATCCGAGGGAGTAAATATAGGCAGCAGCTAAGGAATGTTGTTAAATAGTGAAACAAAAGTGTCACAGTCCAGACAGATTGCTGCCAGCCAGCCACTTCTGATCTGGCATAGCTGGAAATCCACAGGTCATTTGTTTTACTCGATTTAGCACAGTTGTGGGGGGGTTGAGCCTAAAATAGATCTCAGTTTTCTATTTTATGCCCCTCTTTGGTGCAGCCTAAGTGTATTCTAGAGATTATTGTTGCGAAGGAGATATGTTATCAAAGGTTAAATGACAAGTTAAGCAGCCAAAAAAACACATTGATTAACACTTCATATATGCTCTGTTGCTGTGAGTTGTTCTTGCAGTTATCAACACCCAACAGTTATAATATTATGAGATAATGCTTACAGGGTTAACAGCTTACATCTGACATTATCTAGTATTCATGTGCAGACAATACTTAAGGGGTTTTATCAACTCTTAATGATAATATGTAGATTTTTAAGGTGTCCTCCGCTGGCACCTTATTTAAAGTTTATCTTGGATTATATTACCTTACAGCGTTGGGTCAGGAAGTCCTTTGAGAATAGCACACTTTTTTTCTATGCAATTGGGGCCTAAAAGAATAACAATTATACAGAAAAATTCAGTCATACGGATTCAAGGACTGTCTTGAGGACAGACTCATATCAGTCTGCAAATACACACAGTTTTCCTTCTAAAACCAAATAATGCTCCCAACGGAATATATATATATATATATATATATATATATATATATATATATATATATATATATATATATATATATATATATATATATATATATATATATATATATATATATATATATATATATATATATATATATATATATATATATATATATATATATATACATATATATTTTTATTCAAAGCCTCTTAAATCTTCTATCAATCTTTTACACTTAAATTTCAGACCACCAGAATAAACTGTAATCATGTGTGATGATGATGAGACTACCGCACTTGTGTGCGACAATGGCTCTGGCTTGGTTAAGGCTGGATTTGCTGGAGATGATGCTCCCCGAGCTGTCTTCCCTTCCATTGTTGGAAGGCCCCGCCACCAGGTACAGTGAATATAAATGCTATCCTAATAAAAAAAATGCATCATTTTTAATCTTTGTAAAATATATATACATATATTTGTTTTTTAGGGTGTGATGGTGGGAATGGGTCAGAAAGACAGCTACGTGGGTGATGAGGCCCAGAGCAAAAGGGGTATCCTGACTCTGAAATACCCGATTGAGCATGGTATCATCACCAACTGGGACGACATGGAGAAGGTGTGTGTTTGTTGATAAAGAGATTACTTAAAGCTTGAATAACAGCTGAGCTTTTACGTCCCTTAAAATTTACAGCCAAATCCACCCCATTTAAAACAAGAGGCTTTATTTTTAGATTCTCAGCCAGCAGTTGTTGCCGATCCAATGTCAGCTGCTTGTTTTTTCCCCCCTCTTTGTCAGATCTGGCATCACACTTTTTACAATGAACTGCGTGTAGCTCCTGAAGAGCACCCCACCCTCCTCACTGAAGCCCCACTGAACCCCAAAGCCAACAGGGAGAAGATGACTCAGGTAATTAGAGTTCTGTCCAAATATTTTGCTCACTCTAGTCCTCTAGTTGAGACATTTTTTCCTCTGATCAATTAACTCTGCAGATTATGTTTGAGACCTTCAACGTTCCTGCCATGTATGTGGCCATCCAGGCTGTCCTCTCTCTGTATGCTTCTGGTCGTACCACTGGTTAGTAATTTTTTTCACATGTTCCAGCCTTCTGCTATATGGTTGGGAGTTTTTTAAACAGCACTTCAATATGCAAGTCTTACTTGATTAAAGGAAGCATGCATCCTTCACTTATTGTTGCTCTTCTTGTCCTGCTTAAGGTATTGTACTGGACTCTGGTGATGGTGTGACCCACAATGTCCCGATCTATGAGGGTTATGCTCTGCCCCATGCCATCATGCGTCTTGATCTGGCTGGCCGTGACTTGACTGACTACTTGATGAAGATCCTGACCGAGCGTGGCTACTCCTTCGTCACAACCGGTAGGGAGATATAATGCATTTGTTAGAGAGGATGATGTTGTTTTCCTCACAACTCAAACTATATTTCTCTTAGCTGAGCGTGAGATCGTGCGAGACATTAAGGAGAAGTTGTGCTACGTGGCTCTTGACTTTGAGAATGAGATGGCCACCGCTGCCTCCTCTTCCTCCCTGGAAAAGAGCTATGAACTGCCTGATGGTCAGGTCATTACCATTGGTAATGAACGCTTCCGTTGCCCAGAGACCCTCTTTCAGCCCTCTTTTATTGGTGAGTTTGTATGGGTGCATTGTCAATGCATGTATACTATTTCAATATTTGCTTATCCTAAAAAATGTTATACACTTTTTTTCCCCTCAAGGCATGGAGTCTGCTGGAATACATGAAACTGCATACAATAGCATCATGAAATGTGACATTGACATCCGTAAGGACTTGTATGCCAACAACGTGCTGTCTGGTGGTACCACAATGTATCCTGGTATTGCTGACCGTATGCAGAAGGAGATCACAGCCCTTGCCCCTAGCACAATGAAAATCAAGGTGAGAGAAGCATGAAGGTTTTCAATTAACCACACAATCGTGGTGCAATTACAACTTCAGTGAGACTCAAGATTATCTATATCCCACCTAGATCATTGCTCCCCCTGAGAGGAAGTACTCTGTCTGGATTGGTGGATCCATCCTGGCTTCCTTGTCCACTTTCCAGCAGATGTGGATCAGCAAACAGGAATACGATGAAGCTGGCCCTTCAATTGTCCACAGGAAATGCTTTTAAACCAGTAGTCACCCGCTTCCATCCATACATTTGTACGTCATGCCGTGTTGTATATACATGTCTATGCAATGTTGTAATAAAGACAAGCTTTTGAGAGAGTACCTGAATTATTAAATGACCAAATCCAACATAAAAAAAGCTAGATCCCTAGTCTTGCCCTTTCTGCTGATATACAGTATGTACATTATACAGTGCTCAACAAAACTTTCCATAACTCTTGAAGGTTTTTACTTTTTTTTCAAGTTACAAACCCAAATTTGACAGTTTTGTGATGTTATATGAAAGTCAATAGCAAAGTGCCCATTTGCGACAGTCTATGGGTGAGAGGCGGGGTACATCCTGGACAGGTCGGCAGTCTGTCGCAGGGCAACACAGAGACATCCTAATAATAAAATGTCGGAGTGAAATGAAAGTGGTGGGGGGTTAGCCAACTGGCCCAACTGGTCTTTGATTAATTTGTTTAGAAAATAGAAAATGACATGCCCTATAAAGTACCTGACTTTATTATGTCAGTTCCATAATAATACAGAAATATATTTGTACGCCATTTCATGGGGCATTTTGTTTTTTGTTATATTATTATTGTTATAAAGATAAATACATATATGTATTAAAATATAACAGTCTTAAGAAAGAGTTTGTGAATTAAACTCCTATATGTTTACATTAATGTTAAAGCATACCTGTACTACGCATACATTTTTATATAATAGAAAATCCCTTTATTGTCCCACAATGGGGGGAAATCTGGTGTTTACAGCAGCAAAAAGATTATAGAAAAAATGGTCACACAATTGTTGACCTTATAAAAATTATTAAGTAGCCTACAACATATTAGTAAAGAATTAAAAAATAAACAATAAAATACTGCACTGTAAAGTGTTTTAACAATATAAATGCTGTGCACCTGGATAATAAATTACCAACATACAACTATGGACATTTTTACAGTAATGGATATTTGAAAATAGCAGCAACATCAGAGATGTGCAAAATGACAGCAGCATGTTATTGAACTGATTACGATACGAAGTGAGAAGTTCATTATTTTCATCAACAAATTATATTTTGCAGGCGCAAGTTATAATTCCCTGTGAAAAGTATGCCTAGTTTGAGCTACAGCATAAACCGGATTTACAGTTATGATTGCTCTAACAACATTCCATTAGAAATATTTCATACATTATTCAGAATAAAAAAATATGGGTTTGATTCTTATATTTGTGTGGGTTCACATACATCACATATTGGAGTAGTACGAAACGAGAGGGCAGATAAAATGGCAAAAGAGGGCAATTCAAAATCCTATTAGTTTTACAGTTAAAACAAGTAAATCGGAGGGAAAGAGTATTATTAAAGAAAAACTGATGGAAAATAGCAAAAAAGGTGGGATGAAGAAAAAACAGGAAGGTGGTTTTATAAAATTCAGAAGCTAGTAGGAAAAGAAGAAATTAAAGAGGCAATAGAAAGGAGAGAGCGATAACAAGGTTAAGATTTGGGCATACAGGACTTAATTATACACTTTTCAAAATTCAAAAGCATGCTAAAAATATGAAACAATAGAATATGTTATACTGTAATGTCATAAATATGAAAGTGAGAGAAGATATATGAGGAGAGTTTGAATGTATTAAGGAAATTATTAATTTATTAAATATTTTGAGGAAGAATCTGGGGAGTAAACATATACAAATAATTATTCGATTTTTAAAGAAAGCGAAATTATTTAATAGAATTTGATTATAGAGAGGGTGAATTTGTGTATGATATAGACAGATGGAATACAAAGTTATATATAAGTATGTAGTGTTTTTTCTTTCCTTAGAAATTATATACATGTTTGTTAGTAGATAGTCCATCACGAACCACACTCCATACCAGTAAGTGGCGGTAATGCTACTAAATGTTTGTTACCAACCACCAATAAATTCAATAAGAAGAATGTTATTGCTCTAGTGCTGTCCTATTGCACCGCCCAGCCAAGGAGACCCAGGATGATAAAACACACATCCAGAAGGATAAACTATTTGAATGGTTTCCGTCCAATCAGAGTGCAGAGCCCAAAGCACAGTGCCGTTTGAATGTATTCAGGAAATGAGCAGCCAGTTTCGCAACCGGTCTTGAGGATGGTATTATTTTACTGTTAGCTTATTGAGGCTTTTAAATAGCTCTAACTTGATTCTCTAAGTTCTTGTTAAAATATATATTTTTTAAAGGTTTGTTTGTAACTTAAAGCTATGTTTAATCGCTTGGACTCTCTGAAAAACGAACATTACTTATAAGATATGTAGCTAGCGTTTGTTGGTTAGCTTGACGACTGCAACGTATGCGGAATCTAGCCTCTATAGATACTTATCATTATGTAAAATTTGTGACACTTTTTGTTTCGTGTTGAGCTTTTGGATGATTACTAGTTTTTATACGTTCAACTTTACATTAATTGAGAGATCCGAGGAAGCGATTCTGTTGGAAAAACTGTGTTTTTAGGTGGAGCTGGATCCCGTTTGCTTTTTTTTCCGCAACGGGGGAGAAAGTGAACAGCTGCACAGAGCATTTATTTGAGTAATCGCTTGAAAAACATGAAAGTCATGGAGAAAAATGTGATGCGTTTAGCGGCTGTTCAGCATCTCCGCGCTGCTTATGGGATAAAAATAAAGAACTGGAACAAAAACAAAGCAGCAAGCTGTAAGACGACAGCCAATTCGGTAAGATAACATTTAATCGTTATTTATTATGAGGAATATGCATTAGATTTGCAGTGGTTACGGTTTGTTTGACACTTTGGATAACTTTAGCCTTCATTATTCTTTTGTATGCGATCAATTAGCATTTGTAAGGGGAAAAAAAAGGAGCAGATGTTTTCACACGACACTCACTGCTCTTGTTGATTACAAGCAGCATTGATTTTTGGATCCAGCAATATAAATAAATAAAAATAACGTCGCACCAACAATCACCAATAATTAAATTCATATTTTGCTGAGCTTTTAGACACTTTCGAAATGTATAGAACGGAAGTCATCACCGCATGACCTACTTCTTAAAAACCTTTAGCTATGTATCAGCAGGGAGTTAAGCAATGACTGCCTCAATTTTAGAAATGAATGGTATCTGGAATCAGTAGAGGCACAAAAAGGAAAAAAAAAATCAAAGAATTTAAAGATTTTAGATGTTAAAAAAAACAGCATCTCCTTCTCTTTTTAAATCACCTTGTACAGTATTTTACAACAATCTGTTACATTTTGTTCCTGTAAATCAGGTTTTTCAACCCTGCTCATCAAGACACACTGCTCTGCATGTTTTGGATGTTTCTGAGCTTCAGCCCACCTGATTCAGATGATTGCAGTTCAGCAAAGCCTGATAATCTGCTATCAATTGATAACAGGTATGTGAAAGCTGGGAAACATCTAAAACATGCAGAGCAGTGTGCCTTGAGGACCAGGGTTGAAAAACACTGTAAATCACCCACCAATCAGGATGTGAAAAGCTCTAAAACAGGGGTCCTCAAGAGCTACCATCCTCTAACTCTTACATGCATCTCTTCTCTAACACACCTGAATCTAAAGGCTCAATCCCAACATTTAGCTCTGCAGAGGCATGGTAGAACCACTCTTTTGATTCAGGTGTGTTAAAATGGGGTGCATCAAAAAAGCTGCAGTTTAGCAGATCTTAAGGACAGTACTTGACCACCCCTACTCTTAAATAATTATCTTTCTCTGGTTGCAAATCCCTTTTTAAAAGATGACAAAGAAAAATATTGAGTTTTCTCCCCTGTGGATGAATTTCACAGTGCATTGCCAGTCAGCTGGCTTAAAGAAGTTCTTTACTCTTATCCTTTGCAGGAGAGACGCTGCAGAACACACAGTCCTCATGAATAATTAGGATGGCTAAACGGTCAATCTATAGAAAGAAAACATGAATCGGTTTAATAAGAGTATTTTATGACTACTACCAACTTAAATTCTTTTTTCACCTTTATGTGCATGTATTCAAATGATAAATGAAACTTATACATGGCATTAGGGTGAATATTCATTCTTTGATGCAGTTGTACTGATATTACTTGATTTTCTGTGTCAACTTGCTGCAAAGGAATCATGTCAGGTTTTTGTGGGAAATCTAATGCTGTAAAAGCATAACCTGAGGTGCTAATATAAGCCTAATGCATGTATAAAGTGTGGTAGATGAATAATAACACTTGACAGCAAACTATTTCTACAGCAAGATGTTTTTTGATCTTTTATAGATCTTTTTTTATTTAAATCTGATAAGTAGATAAGTAATTCTGATTTCTTTAAATCACTTCCAAAGCAAAAAGTTTTTGGCGTACCCCTGGACAGTTTGCCGTACTACAACATGGAATGTGGAAGTGTGCCAAGGTAAGGAGACCTCACTTATGCTGGAACTGGACTTGCGTGTTTTCACTCGTCGTCTTGTAAATGTAAGGCAATTTTTTTTTTTCCACCATACTTAAAGCTTTCTGGTTGATGCTTGCATGAAACTGCTTGCACACGTTGAAACAGAGGGTCTATTCAGGAAACCAGGCTCAGTAGTTCGCCTAAGAGAACTCGGGGTGAGTGCTGACCAAGGATGCACTTTGGCTTCTTTTACAAATTGAACTTTGTGTTCTGTTGGAACTGACTTTCACAACAAAACTGTGTTTCATGTCTGCAGGCTAAGCTTGATGCAGGAGAAGAGTGTTTGGCAACAGCTCTTCCTTGTGACGTGGCATGTTTGGTAAAGCAGTTCTTCAAGGAGCTCCCAGAGCCCATTTTGCCCACAGAGCTTCAGGATGCCTTTTTCAAGGCCCAGCAGCTCCCCTCTGAAGAGGACAGAACCTCTGCTACCATGCTGCTGTCCTGCGTGCTGCCAGACAAAAACATTAGTGTGCTGCGTCACTTTTTTGATTTCCTTTCCAGTGTTTCCCTGAGGTATTGAAGATTTTACGATTAGACTGTTTTTTTTTTTTCTTTCAATTTACTTGAATTTATATGTCTTAATGCAGGTGTTTTTTTTTTTACATCTTATTTCCTAATTACAGAAGTGCAGATAATAAAATGGATAGCAGTAATTTATCTCTCATGTTGACCCCAAACCTCCTTCACTCTGTGGACGGAAAGGAGAAGATGAACGCCAACACACACAAGCGCGTTAAATCGAAGGCAGCCATTGTGCAGTGCTTCATAGAGAATGCCAACAGCTTTGGTTAGACTTGAGGCATGCTTGAACGGAATTCCTCTTAGTTTTTGCGTTTGGCTTCTTGTATTAAATATTGTGCTCATCTTGTGTGTTTCAGGTGTCCTACCTCAGTTTCTTCGAGAGAAAGTTCCTGCCATGATGGGCTGTGAACCAGGCACCACATCTCCCACTCAGGATGAAGCAGAAGAGATGGAGCTAAACTCAGGGGTGAAGAAGAAAAAGAGACACAGCTTTGGAGGTATGGTATAACTGATTTATTATATTTCATTTGTTTGGGGAATATTTTATCATGGGCGTCTTTGAAGGAGACCTTAAACTGAACAGCGGAAACAACTAAACTGCAGCTTTGTTACCAAGCGACCAATAATAGGTGTTAATAGGGTTCCTACTCTGTCCAGAAAAGTGGAAAAGTTTGTGATATAATTATGATTGTCTGTGTCTAGGTGTATTGAAAGGCTCAGGGAAAAAAACACTAATTTAATTACTCAGCTTTAGTCCATATCTTAGCGTTATAAAACTGATTTCATCCATCTGTCTTTTCTTTCCATCAGTTTGTCTTCCTGTCCTTCCATTTGTCTGTAAGAAATTCTTTCATTTTGTCCATTCATCTGTTAGTTTCTTTCTGTCTGTTTATCCTTCTGTCTGTCCTTCCATTTTTGCTGTCCTTTTAGTTTGTTTGTCCATTCATCTGTCCACAGTCCTTGTCTCCTTCTTTATTCTTTGCTATTCATTCAACCCTTAATGGTAAAAACTTTGCTCAAAATCCTATTGTACACAATCAGATATACCTGATAACAGAGGGCAGAAGACTACCGTATTTTCACGACTATAAGGCGCACTTAAAAGTCTTTTTTTCCCCTCAAAATGTGCGGTGCGCCCTTTGGTGCGGTGCGCCTTATGTGTGTTGTAACTGCGACTTTTGAGACCACCTCATTGAGGAGATGATGAAAGAGTGGCTGAATGTAAGGAGACCAGGTGTTTTTTTTCCACCCCTCACCATCGCTGTCAATATGTAACTCCATGCGTGCCCATCTCACAGCTGATGTGAAAAACATGGTGAAACAAATTAACGCTGTGCTCGCTGTTCAACCGCTCGTCATCGGTGTGAACCGGACCCAGCAGGTGCAGCAGAAGCAGCGAGTTTACATGCAAAGTCAATGGTTGACGCGCGTATAGGTGCAGCAAAAGGTCCCGCAGCGCGTTTTGAGCAGCAGGAGCGTTTAAGCATCTGCCAACGCGCTGCTGCTGCTCGAGATGAAAAAATTGAAGTTTTGCTGCTGGACCCGCCGCATCAACCAATCAGAGAAGCTGATCTGGGAGCTGACAGCGAGACAGACACAGCGCTCTGATGACATATGAACGCAAAGGAAAAGGGCTGGATGGATGAGGAGATGATGAAAGCGTGGCAGAGGCAGGTGTAGCCTATGTGAGGAGAACAGGTGTTTTTTTCCACGCATCACCATCACCAGTTAATCTGTGACTCCATGCGTGCCCATCTCACAGCTGATGAGAAAAACATGGTGAATCAAATGAACGCTGTGCTCGCCGTTATCCCGGGGGTCTGACAAAGGAACTTCCACCGCTCGACATCGGTGTGAAGCGGCCGTTCAAAGTAAGGCTGCGAGCGGCGTGGGAGCGATGGATGACAGACGGAGACCACAGTTTCAGGATAAGTGGAAGGCAGCGCCGGGCAAGTTACGCCACCGTTTGCGGATGGATTGTAGATGCTTGGACTAACGTGTCTGCTGGAACTGTTGTTCAAGCTTTTGCAAAAGCCGGCATTATTTCTGAGGAGCTGCGCTGCACGGAAAGTGACTGACAGCGAAGAAGGGGAAATTGGCATGTCTGATTTAGCGCAGCTGTTTAATTCAGAAACAGAGGATGATGACTTTGATGGGTTTGATTAATACTTTGTAATAAATACATGAATAAAGCACAATCATACTCAGTTTTGCTCCCGCTCTATTTTTCTACCTGAAAACTTAATTCAACAGCTGCCTCTGGTCTCCTCCTCCTCTTCAGCGCGGTGGCTGGCAGGTGTTTTTTCATCTAAATAATCTAAATCTTGCAGCTATATTTGCTGTGATCAGTGGGAATAAAGTAGTTTTAATATGTTTTTAAGTGAGAAAGTCCACCTGAAAACTTCATAATTGCAGTCAGTTCATCCAGATTATCTATTTCTGTCGGAGCCGCTCAGACCCCCACATACCAGCGGTGCACCGACAGCTGAAATCCCTTCAACAGCAGCCTCTAGGCCGGGCAGCCTCCAGGTTCACCGCGGCTGCTGGCAGGTGTTTTTCATCTAAATAATTGAAACTGCAGGCACCAGGATACCGGTAATAAAAGCGAACAAATTCCGTCGGCAGGTTTCAGGATTTTAAGTTAATTTAGGAGTGATCACAGCGCTGTGTCATCTGCGATGTGTCTGTCTCACGGCCAGCACCCAGGTTTGATTAATAGTTTGTAATAAATACATGAATAAAGCACAGTCATACTCAGTTTTGCCCCCGCTGTATTTTTAAATACGCAGTAGAGGTATTTAAAGGTAGTAGAGGACATGTACCTGTATATAAAAAACACGCCCTATAGTCCGGTGCGCCTTATGTGTGTGTTAAATACAGAAATGGGACACATAACTGAGAGTGCGCCTTTTAGTACGGTGCGCCTTATGGTCGTGAAAATACGGTACACAAAAAATAATCTTGACTTATCGCATAGTAATAAATTATTAATATCAAAAATTTATTTCTGTTTTTTCTTTTTACATATTTTGTTAAAAGGCCAAATAAGGACTTTAAACCAAAAAAAAGTAATTTTCTGTTTTGTTTTATTCTTGGATCGGGCTTTAAAGGGTTAAAAATGATCTAACTTCAAAGACTATTCACTGTAGAAAAGGTAATATGGCTTCATATTTGTGCTTAATAAATAAAAAAATCGAAATCTGAGTAATGAGTTGAATTTTGATGTAAACAATCGATAGAGCACCTGGTGTTAAGTTGTCCCCTCTTTTCTAAGGACTTCCTATTTATTTGGCTGGGTTTGTTGTTTCATGTTTCAGATATGGTCTGTGGTGCACTGAATAAAATAAAAACTAATAGAACTCCAACAAAAATCACCAAACCAAACAGTCTTGGTAGGTAAAGTTCCCACATGAGATAAGATTTGCATCAGAAAGCATGAAGATGCGGAATTAATCTATCTCTTGTGCAAATCAGATGAAAACCCTTGTCTTGATTAAATGCTGATAGTTCTTTGTTCGATTTTTATTATGCTGTAATTCTCATTCTAATCTGCTTCTCTAGCACCTTTCATCCTAAGATTTCAGAAATGGCTGTTTTACGTTTTTTTGCTTGTTTTGTTTGCATACGATCACCTACACATATCAGCTGGCTGACCCTTTTTGCTTTGGTTCAGAATAATGTTAATTAATTAATTTTTTTTACTTTCTTGAAACAAATTCTAAGACTGAAGAAATGTTTATCTGAAGTTTCCCTTGTTTTCCAGTCTTTCCTTCAATGACTCCTGTAACAACGCCGTCCTCAAAGAGAAAGCTCCCTTTCGACCCTCGTCCTTCGTTTGGCTTTTCAAACAAGAAGCGTAGATCTGTTAAAAAGAACCTTGGGATAGAACTGCTCCCCAGCACTTTCTCCAGCGGGACCTCCACTCCTGGTTCTGGTACTGTTCAAAGCTTGAACACTTTTTCTAATGCACTTTCAAATTGTTGGTAAGATTATATACATTTAGCATATATTTCAGCCTGCAGTGCTTCAGGAGTCCTGGAATCGTCCCAGCATGTTTTGTCGCCGGCAGGAAGGTCTATAAGGCTCCCATCTACCTCTATAAGAAGAAAGAGCAAACGGTTTAGCAACAGGCATGTTGTCAATAGGTAGGTTTTAACACTTTGTTTTACCATGTCTGCTACTGTTTTCTGAATTGTTTGCAGATGCTTTAAGTTTCTCTTCTCTGTGCTTTAACACAGAAGGTCCATGTCATACTTCCTCAATAGTCCCATCCTAATATAGTCCCATCCTAATTCCTCTAACAAAGAGAGCGAAAGCTGCTGAAAACTTAAAACTATCACCCATATGCAAGTTCATTTAATGTATTTGATCTGCATTTTCATTTCTCTAAAAAAAGAAAAATGGCCCCTGTGATCTTTAATCCTGTGGGTGATGTTGAGATATAACAGGTTGTAATAATAAGCTGAAATAGCCTAGATACATGCAGTACTGAATAATAGAATAGCTAAAATTATATACTGGTGCTGGTCATAAAATTAGAATATCATGAAAAAGTAGATTGATTTCAGTAATTCCATTTAAAAAGTGAAACTTGTATATTATATTCATACATTACATACAAACTCATATATTTCAGATGTTTATTTTGTTTAATTTTGATGATTACAAATGACAACAAATGAAAATCTCAAATTCATCATATCAGAAAATTAGAATATTACTGAAGACCAATAAAAACAAAGGATTTATAGAAATGTTGGCCAACTGAAAAGTATGAACATGAAAAGTATGAGCATGTACAGCACTCAGTATTTAGTTGGGCCTCCTTTGGCCTGTATTACTGCAGCAATGCGGCGTGGCATGGAGTCGATCAGTCTGTGGCACTGCTCAGGTGTTATGATAGCCCAGGTTGCTCTAATAGTGGCTTTTAGCTCTTCTGAATTGTTGGGTCTGGTGTATTGCATCTTCTTCTTCACAATACCCCATAGATTTTCTATGGGGTTAAGGTCAGGAGAGTTTGCTGGCCAATTAAGAACAGGGATACCATGGTCCTTCAACCAGGTACTGGTAGCTTTGGCACTGTGTGCAGGTGCCAAGTCCTGTTGGAAAATGAAATCTGCATCTCCAAAAAGTTGGTCAGCTGCAGGAAGCATGAAGTGCTCTAAAACTTCCTGGTATGTGGCTGCGTTGACCCTGGACCTCAGAAAACACAATGGACCAACACCAGCAGATGACATGGCACCCCAAACCATCACTGACTGTGGAAACTTTACACTGGACTTCAAGCAACGTGGATGAAGTGCCTCTCTTCTTTTCCTCCAGACTCTGGGACCTTGATTTCCAAAGGAAATGCAAAATTTACTTTCATCAGAGAACATGACTTTGGACCACTCACCAGCAGTCCAGTCCTGTTTCTCTTTAGCCCAGGCAAGACGCTTCTGACGCTGTCTGTGGTTCAAGAGTGGCTTGACACAAGGAATGCGACAGCAGAAACCCATGTCTTTCATACGTCTGTGTGTGGTGGTTCTTGAAGCACTCACTCCAGCTGCAGTCCACTCTTTGTGAAACTCCCCCACATTTTTGAAGGGGTTTTGTTTCACAATCCTCTCCAGGGTGCGGTTATCTCTCTTGCTTGTACACTTTTTTCGACCACATCTTTTCCTTCCCTTCGCCTCTCTATTAATGTGCTTGGACACTGAGCTCTGTGAACAGCCAGCCTCTTTAGCGATGACCTTTTGTGTCTTGCCCTCCTTGTGCAAGGTGTCGATGGTCGTCTTTTGGACAACTGTCAAGTCAGCAGTCTTCCCCATGATTGTGTAGCCTATAGAACTAGACTGAAAGACCATTTAAAGGCTTTTGCAGGTGGTTTGAGTTAGTTAGCTGATTAGAGTGTGGCACCAGGGGCCATCAATTTTGAACCTTTTCACAATATTCTAATTTTCTGATATGATGAATTTGAGATTTTCATTTGTTGTCATTTGTAATCATCAAAATTAAACAAAATAAACATCTGAAATATATGAGTTTGTATGTAATGTATGAATATAATATACAAGTTTCACTTTTTAAATGGAATTACTGAAATCAATCTACTTTTTCATGATATTCTAATTTTATGACCAGCACCTGTACAGCTTATTTATCTCCACTTCTGTGAAATTATATTTGATGTCCTGATCCACTAGCTGTTTTACTGCAATATATAGATATTGCAAATATGCAGTGAGAGGCTTGCATAAACCTGGCCAGCTAGACTGATTTACACCATATAAACGGCATTTGAGCCTGAAAAGGAGCGAGTAGAGCCTGATTTCAAAGGTGGGGTTCATGGAGTCTGCTTTTTTTCTTTTTTAAAAGAAAAGCTCTGACAGCAGCCAGTGATTGAAACTTTAATCATATAAACAGTTCTTCCGAGACATTAGAAAGGTCATCATTAAAATATCACTCCGTTGCAGCTTCAATCTTGAAGTTGGCAGATAATTGCGGCTGCATTATTGGCCCGCCTCCCATGTTCTGATTGGTCCGGTTTATTTGTTTTGTTGGAAATAGTGATTATTATTAGTAGGGATTAGGGGTGTGCAAAATAATCGTCATGATGATGCATCGTGATTCTAATTTTCGTGATCTACTGCATCGATTCTTGACGGCAAGTATCGATTATTAATTTAGAAAAATGAATAAATAAAATTGCATGAATGGTTGGCGAACATCAGCCAAAAACAAGTGTAATACAACTTCCAGTCCAGTAGATGTCGCTGCAAATGTGTTGACGCACGCTGCCTTGTGTCACAACCATTTCCGGCCGCGGGATACTGTGCAGAGTCATTCAAAAACAAAACATGGAGGAGAAAATATTGCAATGCATCGCAATAATTCAAGTATCGTGATGCATCGTGATAGAATCGCATCGTGGCCTGTGAATCGTGATTCGAATCGAATCGTGACTTCTTTATCAATACCCACCCCTAGTAGGGATGCACGATATAATCGGCCTTAAACCTGATTATCGGACATCGGCCACCCCACCGATATTTAACCCGATATTTGATCAGCTTCTGAGTTTCTAAAGTCTAAAAAAAGAAAAAAAAATACTACTTCTTCTTCTTCCTCAAAAACTTCTTTTTTACAGACTTCTAAAGACGAGGGAAAAAATATTGATACATTAAAATATCACAATATCTTCATATGCTGATATATTGCCATTTAAAAACACCATATCAATCTCTTTTACTAATGAAATATTGCTATGTCATCGTTATGCTACGAAATCCCCCGAAAATTCACGAAATTTTGCCATATTTTTATATGTTGATATATTGACGCAGTATCCATCTATTTTACTAACAGAATCTCACAAGAATTTGCAAAATATCACGAGAGTTTGTAACAGAAGGATGAAATTTCACGAGATTTTGAAAGTAAAATGGATCGATACCGCGTTTTTAAAAATCTATTTGATATCAGCATATGAAAATATATTCGAGTTTATTATTTTTCAAAGTGTCAGAAATGGATAACAAAACTGCTATTTTCAATGACTACTTATTGTTGTCCAGCTTTAACATTGGTATCGATATCGGTTATCGGCTACATGAGTTTTAAAATATCGGCATATCGGATATCGGCCAAAATCCCAATATCGTGCATCCCTAATTATTAGTAATATTAGCATATTTAATGGCAGATTGGTGTGCAGGGCAGAGGTATGGTATATTTATTCATCTAATTAATGGCTGTTTAGTTCTGATCATTCATCTTAGTTGGTCCATTATGTCTTACCAAGTAGACTTGTTATCTGTCAGTTTCATTGATTTATATTTCTTAATTTAGCTTAAGGCTTGTTTTTCTAACAGCTGTTTGAACCCATATCTTTCTCAGGATTGAATCTGGAAGAGCTGGCTGCTTTTCTCCAAAAGTCACCAAGAAAGAAGCCCCCCTTAAATCTCTGCGCTCGCGTTTCAGCCTGGGAAAGGGAAACAAAGATGCTGTAAGTGTGGCAGACCAGTAGAATCTGTGCCTGGACGCATCAGTGTTCACTATCAAAATATGTTTAAATCCACAGTAATATGCTAAGAAATCTGGGCACATGAGCTTTTTTTTCTTTTTTTTTTTAATTATACGGTGGCAGTGCAATCCCAGAAAATGTTTCACATGATCTGGATGGTATATTAGGACACAAATATAGACAGTATTCAGAGATTATTAATATATTTTTTGTTATGGAAGGTTAACAACTAAAACATTTTAAATGTTCTGATGATTAACCAGCAGAAGTGATGTCGATGTAGAATCTTGTCTTCTAGAATATTCACAACAATGAAAGAGATTAACAATGCATTGCTTATTTCTTTACATAAAATGTGGTTTTTATATCGAGAGAAAAAAAGTTTACGGGAAGCTTCCTGGTTTGTTCTCACCCAGAATACCAGTGCTTGCTTTTTGCTTCATGTCTGACTTCCTGACATTCCCTGGCATTAAAGGAATGGAGATAAATGATCCACTCACCATCTGTAACTCATGCAGCAGTTAGATCTGATAATTAATCTTTAGTTGTGAAAACATTTAAATCTTAATATTGCGGGGATTTTTGAGACAATATGTGTTTGAACCTTTAATGTTGTAATATTAAGGAATACATATTTGTGCCAAAAACATAATAATAAGGTTAAAATCTTTGGGTTTACTAGGTGCAGTGTAGAATATTTTTTTTACCCCCAAAGTTATGTATTTTATGATAAAATAAATTAATAAAAAGTTGATCCAAGCAATCAAAGTATCTGATTTCTGTCTTCAAACGAAGAGCTTACTCTTAAACCTGTCATTAATTTTTTTTTAACACAATTCCTAACTTGGGTAACCTCTGTTGGGTCTTTTTAACAACTTAACTTCTAGCTTAACCCTCCTTTAAGGCTCTTTCCTTACTTTCTCCTTTCATGGTGACGAAGGGGTCTGAGTCCATTGGCATGCGGCTTGCCACTCAGGAGAGCACCACGGGTTTCCTTTTCAACAACGAGTTGGAGTTTACTCCATCAAATCCTGGCAGAAAAACTGAATCAAGGGGTGAGTACTAGAAAGTATAATGTACTTCTGATATTTTCCTTAAAATTTAACGCTCTACTAATATTAAACTGTTTTCTCTAATCTAGGTTCCAAATACATTAGTAAGTCAGAAGATAACCTGCTGACCCCCCAGTGTAAATCGAGTACTCACCAGGCCTCATGGATTGTGGAGACCCCTGTTGCAGCACATGCTTTAAACAGATTGCCATTCACAGATACTCCGCTAAACACATGTCTTAAGGGCAGTTACATGTCTGAGCCCGCCATTGATTCCAAGCAGTCACCGGTGAACATTCTTCCCAAGAAGCTGTGCTGCGCATCCAGTTCAGAGAGCCTGGAAAGTGCGCGCTCGCTTACTGAACTGCTGGGACGTGATCCAGCTATAAATATCCAGAATGATGCCAAAGAGCTGGAGAGTGACCTCCAAGCTTCAAAATGGGATTTCAACAGCCCAGCTGGAGAAATTGGGATTAAATCATCAACAAAGGTTCTTGGAACTCCATCTTTGGCCTTTGACATTAATACCTCTTCCCCCTCAAGTCAGGCAGATGAAAATGTTACTTTTGGTCAATTCAATATTGAGGCACTCACTCCTTTGCATATTGATAGTGGAGTTTTTGACTATAATGAACCATTCAGTCCAGTCACTAACAAATGTTCATCCCCTTCGTTCGGTCGCTGTAGCAAATTAGGGTCAGTGGAAGGAGTGCCACAGTTGAACTGCAGCAGGCTGATTGACGCTTTGGACATGCAGAGTCCTGCTCATTTCACACTCAGTGTCTCTTCTGGGCTCCAATCGACTCCATACAAGCATGGTGTTGAACTCAAAGAAGAACCAAACACGCCAAAGACACCTGAAACTTTGGAAAGCAAACCACAGCAGGAGCTAAAAATGTCCCCAGAGGCTGGAGCTGAAGACCAACACCAACCGTCCACCTCACCAGATGGCCAGAAGACCAACAAACGCCGAGTGGTAGATCACATTCAACACTTCAACAAGCTCACCCTTTACTCTCCTCCAAACTCAAAGAGCAATCAAGTGAAATCTCCAATCAAGTTCCAGCGCACCCCTGTACGAGTGACTGTACGCAGGATCAACTCACTGACAGGAGAGGACAGGAGACCCAATAAACTAACAGATCACGCTGACCCCGTGTCAAAGGCTGTGAGTTTAGAAAGTGGCCTGTCACCTCACCCAAAGCTGCGGCCTCATGTAGGGCGGTCTAATAGCACGGTTCCTGTAAAGAAACCCCCACCTGTCCCACCAAAAAGGCTTAGCACTTTGCCTCGAAAACTCAAGCCCTGCGCTCTGGGTGACATGACCAATAAAGTTCAACCAAAAGCCAAAGAGGAATGCATTGCCTCTGATCCACCAGCAGCCCAGAAACCTCTTGTTGTACAGCAGGTTAAAGAGAATAACAGGAGCCATTACAGAGGATCTCCAAGAAACCCTCTCAACCATGGTGGACTTCTGTCTGCTACAAAACCTGTCAACTTATAGGAGATACCCATCTTTCAGATGTTTTTTTTTTTTTTCTTTCTTTGTTTTTGCAATGTGGGATAATAAATATTCTCCCATATTTTTCCTCTTATTTATTTTGCATTTGTTTTTTTTTTCTGAGCTTTTTGGGAGATACTCAGATGCCTTATGTTAAATAACATATCATTCTGTGAGGTTGTTGAGATCACAATGTGCAGGATAACTGATGTAAAATGATAATAGTTGGTGGTATGACTGCAGATGTGTGAGCGTGATGCCTTTATTTAAAAGAACTCTTGACTTGGCATCTTAGGAGGAAATATTTTTGAAGATTTTTTTCGTTCTTGGTCATGAACTGAAAAGAAGCAAAACAATCTGGATTTATGGATGAGAGAAAAGCCAAACAGTGTTGGTAAATCTACATCTATTCTTCATTTTTTTTCTTTTCTTTTTCAAGTGCTGTGAAATGCTTTGGACAAATAAAAATGGCTTCATACTTCTGCAGTTTTAGTGAAATCTCTCCCTTCTGATGATTAGATCAAATTATTGTGTAACCACAAGGGGGCAGCATTTAGTTACTTCTCTGCTTCGGTAATTATTCCAGACCTCAGATCAAACCAGACTCAGGAATTCATTCTGTCAACGGGACCCTTGGATTACACCTAACTGGCAGTATTAATATTTCTTTGGCTTTTGAGAAATGTTTTTTTCAGTTCACAAGAAGTCTTAAAGTTCTTGTGCAAGATCAGAAAACATTTCTAGATTCCCAATCTGAGCCAAAAACTTGTAAGTAAAAACTTGAGAGCTTTAAAAAAATATTTTAATTATATCTGACGCATTACATTTTAATCTGACAAGTTTGCAAGAGATTTATTCTGCCCTGTCTAACAGAAGCTTTGCGTGCCTTTCGTGTTTAGCATGATAAATTGGACTAGGATGGAGTCTCCTGGTAGGGTTTCTGTAGCCGCAGTGATGGGAGAACACTTTCTGTGTTTAGTTTGGATTGATGAAGTGTGAGGGTTTTATGATGAAGGATGCTTTACTGGCTTTTCTCTGAAAATGGCATTTTTTTGGGGGTCTTATTTGAACTTCACTAAATTATTTTTAAATGCTGACGTTTAAAGTAGGGAAAGAGATTTTTCTTTTTTAATGGTTAGGTATAAAAAATGACAAAATCCTCTCAATTAGATGGTACAAATTATGCTTAGGGTTTTTGTCAGTTGAATATACAAGCTCTCAAAGCTTTTATAAAAAGTAAATGATAAGATTTTCCTCTACAAATATATATAAAAACAGGTGAAAGGGTTGAATATTTTAAGGTTGAGCTGAGTAATATAATCACTAAAAGTAGTTTACTCATTTGCACTGTTTGACAGAAGGCATATTCAAATAAATGTTTCATTTTTACACACATTCCTATAAAGGTCTATAGATGTCATAGCTCTGGGAAAGGCAGGGCTTTACTAATGATGACCTCAAAATCCAGTATGGCCGCCTTCAATAAGAAAAGAAAGGGTATCTTCCAAACCATAGTAAAAAACTTCAGTTTCATGTTTCAGTTTGGACATGCTGGTCACATTTATTTATGTTTTTTGTTGTAGCTAAGGCTGCAACTAATGATAATTTTGCAAATCGATTAATCTGTTGATTATTGTTTTGATTAATCAATTACTAATTGGATAGTAAAACGTTTCTTAAATAAGACTGCAAAATTTATTGAGGTGAATCAGTAAACATAAAAAAAAAAACAATCCACTGGACTTTGTTTACCCAGTAGATTGTTATTTTTGGAATGACTATGACCTGGATAACAGAATCCTCACTAGCATAAATGAGGTAAGGAGTTCTGGATGGAGCGTATTGAAAGACGAAAAAGACTTTAATCTAAACATGTTTATTATTTTTAAAATTTTGGTATAATTGCTACTTGAAGTGGGTCACTGTCAGCTAAAGGCACGTTTTAGAGTCTCTACACTCCAGTTAAAGATTAATCGGTTACAAAATTAGTTGACGATTATTTCAATAATCGATTAATTACGATTAGTTGTTTCAGCCCTAGTTGTAGCTGCATGTACCTAGTGTTTATTGTCAGCTGTTTAGGTCTGACATAACAGCACCATCCAAACACTCCCGGCTTAATACTGAAGTGTCTATTGTTGCTATGTAGTGTACATACCCTTGTAAACTTTTTTCTAAGCCATTTATGAAGATGCTCTCTTTTTAAATGTGGATTAAGGCTGATTCTGAATGCATCAAATTTGATCACTTTGCTCCTGCTCCTTTACTTTTCGCAGAATCAACAGTAAAGACACAATTGATTTTATCTGTGGCACTTTGAGATTTTTTCTTAAATGTAAAGTGCATTACAAATAAAATGTTCTATTATTGTGGGCAGGAAAATAATTCAGAACTGCTGTAAAGAATCCGATCAGTCTTGAGCTTTTGGACCAACAGAAATGCACATGGAAGGTGCTGTAGTCAAAATTGGATAACAGCATTTGAAAAAAAAAAGTTCTACAAATGTAGCATATGGCTGAAGCTCTGTTCCAAAACATTTGACATGTGTCTTAAACTGATTGTGAAGCAGCAACGTATTTTGATAAATTCTATGGTTTATGGATTCCTGTGCAAAATGAACTATGATAGGAGGCATACTACTGGCTCCTTTCCTACTCTTTCCTTACTGCCTACACTGATCATGCTAACCACTTTTGCTTTGGTTTAAGTCTTAAGAGCACACTAAAAATTAGATTTTAATGAAAAGTGATTAATGTTAAAAAATGCCAAATTACATTCAATGAAAGTGGAGGAAATTGTGTGGAAACCATGCATTTTCTGTAAACTCAGCTCAGGAGTTTTAGTGTTTATTTAAGATAAATCCCTGCAGTTTAAAAATAGCGCATTTTCACTTCTGCCACTTTGTACTGTATTCAGTCTAATACATGGCACTATGCATCCATTGATCCATTTTCCCGACCCTATTATCAGGATTGCAGGGAGGCTGGTGCCTAACTCCAGAAAGCAACAGGATACACCTTGAATAGGATTCAGTCCATCACAGGGCAACACAGAGACAAACGGGACAAACAACCTTGCATGCAGACTCCTAACTTACTCCCAAAGAGCAATTTAGAGAAAGCAAATAAGAAAATATGCATATTTTGTCTGTGGGAGGAAAAATACATATTTTAGAAAGGCCCTGGGTGGTATTAAACCAAGGATCTACTTTCTGCAAAGAAACAGTGAATCACCTCTACTGCACAATCTTCTCTATATGAACATGTTCTAATGGTTTAAAGAGAAAAAGTGACAGATATTTTTGTTAGATTGTAAACAGATCAGATCAAACCATTGGTTTTCTAAATTGTAATAGAGTCGAATTTGTTGTGCCAACAGATCTTCTTTTTTTATGTGTTTAATGTTTGTTTAGCGTGATTCAATTATGTATTCTAAAGATGCCGTAGGATTTTCTCACCAACCTCAAGACTTGGTTTTGTTACAAATAAATCAACTAATTCATGTTTCCCCCCCCGCTCAGTAGTTTATTCCACACCTCAAAATGCTTTATAGAACAAAATGCAGGAAAGATAAAACACAATTTTCAGTTAGCAATTTCCTACTACCTCAAACATGTTCACATTAACTTTTACATTCAAAATATTTTAAGTAAGTTGATATTCTAAATGGGGTTTCACTGTTAAAGAAAAAGGTTGGAAAATATATGAATTTCAACTCTATTTCCTATAAAATTCCCTGTGAAACTTCCTAATTGTTCAATTAATGTATACTCTCTCCATTCCCCTTGTTCTTCCATCTCTTAAACATCCGTCCCCGATTCTTTCTATATTTTCATAATTTATTACTCAAGTCTTTCCCACATTATTTTCTTTAGCCCCTGTCCTTCACTCTTACAACAATTCCTCACTGTTTCCTTGAATCGTTTGTTCTTTTCTGTTGCATTCTCCATTTAAACAAAGTGAGCTCAGATATCTCATTTAACCACAGAGTGACCATTACAGGCAAAAAAAAAAAAAAAAAAGGTTCAGATTTTTAAAATTTTGAGCCTGGAGAAATGTGGATATTTGACATGTATAAAGGTTAGATACCTGGCATTGATCTAACATAAAAAACCTTTAAATTCCATAAATTACATTTGCATGAACATATTTATTAAGTTTAAACAAATACTTAAAATAAGAATCCAATTTTTATTCTCATATTTCCTAGACATGTTGTTAAAAAAAAAAGATTAGTTCAATTTGTATTTGAATTTATCAATGTCTCTTTTGATGCAGATAAAAGCTTAAAATAGCAGCAAAGAACAAATCAGAAAGGTGAATCTTATAATTTGACTTAATGTTATTTAAAATGTAAAGCTGAAATGAAACAAACCTTTATATAATAATGCTTAAAATTTAAGTATATGTCACAAATTTATAATGATTACTAAACTACTGAACCTTGGTGATCTTTCACCCTTTAAGGAAAAACAGGAATTACGAGATTTCCAGCCATATAGAATTGCAGGTGTGATGTATTTTTATAATAAACTATTCTTCAGATGCGCATGTAAGAATTTGCATATAATAAAAAAAAGAAGTCTACAAAGGAAGGATACTTTCACTGTTTCCACTTCATCATACTTTATTCCTGCTCCTCCTCTTCATCCTCCCCTGTCTCTCCTCGGTATCCCTTGGTTTTCTGCGCTCTAGAAGCGGGTTCAGGGAAGTGTTGAGGGGGCGGATTGTCTTGATTTTCGCCGCAACGCGCTCAGCCAATAACTTTTGTGCACATCTCAGCTGGCAGACATTTAAAAGGGAGACAGTCCGGCGCTGGTGCAATTTGTATTAAACCCCCACATTGGCCCCCGTCTATGGAGCGCCTTGTCTCCCAGTTATTCACAGTAGAGACCAGGCGACCGCTGTAGGTGCAAGAGAAGCGAAAGACTGGCAGGATCGCATCATTCTTCTTAAAGAGTTTGGAGAAACGCCCAGGTATGCCATTGTCTACCTCTTAATATTTAGTTGGCAAGTTCAATTATGATTTATTTATAAAATATTTAAAAAAATATATTTTTTGTTTTATATTAGTATGCTTTAGTACTAAAACAGCATTCGGTCCGTGCGCTTTTACGCAGCGCAAAAACTCTGACACCAGCCTGTGACGCTCTCAAAGATTACTAAATGATTATCAATCCTCTCTAGGGATGGCCGTCTCAGCGCATACACTGTGCAGTATGGTTTTCATCATTGGGCTGCTGTCATCTCCCGCGGATTCAAAAAGAAACCGAGCCTCGCAAGGGGCCATTCCTCATCCTGACAAAAACAACCCAAACGAATCGGAGAGGCATTCACAGCCCCCGCAAGCGGGTTCCAGGACCCGGGAGAGGCCGGGCTCATCCTCACCGGCCGACGAGGTACTGGAGTCCAGCCAGGAGGCTCTCCATATAACAGAGCGCCAGTATTTGAAACGGGACTGGTGCAAAACGCAACCTCTCAAGCAGACCATCCACGAGGAGGGCTGCATCAGCCGCACCATCATCAACCGCTTCTGCTACGGGCAATGCAACTCCTTCTACATCCCCAGACACATCCGCAAGGAGGAGGGCGCCTTCCAGTCCTGCTCGTTTTGCAAACCGAGGAAGTTCAAACCCGTGACTTTTACCTTAAACTGTCCAGATCAACAACCTCCTACCAAGAAGAAGCGCATCCAGCGTGTCAAGCAGTGCCGATGCATCTCTATAGACCTGGACTGAGCATGGTGCATTCAGATGGTGCTGGTAGAGAAAAAGAGCGCCTGTCTCCATCTGGAGATATACAAGGACGATTTTGAATATTCTCCTCTTGCACAAACTAAAAAAACAAACCAACAACTAAAAATGTAAAAACTCTATTTAATCCTTAGTTCCAAAACCCCACTGCACGGAAACGCAAAACTCCATTAGTGCACTTTTTTTTTTTTTTTTTGCACGGCTTCCTTACTTTACCAACAGCACCAGCAATAATAAGTCTGGACTAAAAAACAAAACAAACAAACAAAAAAAAACTCTTGCATCCTCATACCAATCACTGTTTTTTCCCCCTAAACCAATCATTAACTTAACGCATTATGTTTGTAGAACTGGATGTTTCCACTGTGTGGAGTTTGATGAATGGATATTTGTAATGAGATTGTGATTATTTTTTTATTTCGATATTTCAAGAATCTTTTGAGGTTAACCTAACTGATTTCTGTGAATTTCGAAGCTTATTGGTAAAATATTTCACTTTTATTGTCTGGAGTTTATTTACTTAGCCTTCAAAGTAAGGGCTCATTTTTTATATATGTATTAAATCATTGTACAGTATTGGGTTAGTATTTGAGACTAAATAGTTTTAAAATGTAAAGCTGTATTGATTTAACCGGTTTGTGTATTCCTTTTGATTAAATTATCTATTAAAGCTCAATAAACTAATGCTGTTTTAGTTTTGAACTTATTCTGATTCTTGTAAATGACTGTATCTGCTGAGAAATTGTTTTACACTCTTAAAAATGCATGTAATAATAATGCACTAATTAAATGACTGAATGCAGATGAAGCCAAGTTGTATTTTTATAAATTTAAGCATTAGAGCAATGAATACATTTCTTACATTAAATTCATAAAAATATGAATGTAAACAGTTTAAAAGGATATCTGATTGGTTCATGTGACTGATTTAAAGATAAATTCTGCCAAAGTAATAATTTTAATAGGTTGAGAACACATCAATATAAAATATTATTTATCACTTCATGTAATTGATGCAATTTCTAAATGGTAATTTTGTGATACAGCTCAGGAGCAACACTGGAGGACATAGAGAAATCATGCAATGGTCCCGTTAACATGACAGTTTGCTATTTCAGCATTAAAACCACACTCTCATTGCCGTCTTTCTCATCCATCATTTTTAATATGTTGATCAGTCTGTTACTTTCAGCACCTTGTGCTTCTGTTGTGTACAGAGGATAAACATCTGATGTGCAAACTATGAAACCTTATGGTAATATTTTAAGTCTTGTAACCGTTCAAAAATATAGTTAAGAAAAGACTAATTATTTTTGTTCAAATGTATTTTTATTTTTATTTTAGATTGAAATAAGCAATTTGACAAATGACAAAACAGTATTGCAGGCTAATGCCAAACTCAAAGAATTTTACTGCCCAGCAGCTAAAAGAATGATCAAACCTTCTTGACTATACAAAGTATAAGATTTACATGGTACAGGCCTTTAAAATAGAATAACTGACAGCTAAAAAGAGATCAAATAAAGTAGTTTTCATCTTCTAGGGTGCATATTTTTACCTCAATGGCTCCTCTTGGCATTTAAGAGTATATTCTTGAAATGTAAAACAATTCTATAAAAAATAATGCACCCCTGCAAATGGAGAAGCTGACGATAGGTCAACATACAAGCTACTAGTCCATAGCGCCAGCTCATTTTCGTTTTCCTAGCCACCTGAAGAAAAATAAAACTGTTAAAGGTTTTACATTTCCAGTATAAAAATAGACAACACCTGTAAACCAAAGTACAGAGAGTACAAAGGGAATTGGAGAGTTCTATAAATGAAAGTTCATCTGAGGTCACGTTCCTTCTTCATTACCCAAAACAGAACCGTAGCAGCAAAAATCTAATCATAAAAGGCAGCACTGTTTAAAGTTTAAATATACACAACATCCCAGTAGCATTCATGTGAAAATATATTTTTCTCCTAGTTTACCAGGGGCTTACAAACGTATGACAAGACAAGCTCAAAAAGCATTAAATCTAACGTTTTCAGCCATGAGATAATGATTTTTCTTTAAAAAGACATACTTTCTTTTCCAATGACAAAATATTTTTGCCACACATTTGTACATAAAACTCATTTTTAACAATCGACTTTTAAAATAGAATTTCATTACTAACATGACTTTGTTTTAAATTAATATTCAAATCATTAAATGATTAAACTATTGCATAGAAAAAAGGTGCAAAGCAGGAGTGCAAGCAGGCTGAAAAAAATGCACAGAGGCATCATAGCTTAGAGTAGTGTTACAGCATACATCTACTACAAGCAGGAAAGTGCTTAGAACCGCACAAAGCACAGTGTGATGTAAATTTCTTCTTCTTTTCTTATTTATTTAATCAAAAGAAAGTGTAGAGCTAGGAGACTTGCAGTTCTTCTGGGGTTTTTATGAGTTTGTGTGTTAGGAGGCCGAGGCTTTACACCGGACTCGCTGCCAGCTACCACCCGCCTCTGGCTGTGGCCCAGTAGAGCTCAGTCTGGTGCATCGCAACACACAACACAGCAAACCATCTGTGCAATCCACACTCGACGAGTCCATGTCTCTGCTTGAAGGTGATAAATATTTATAATATTGCACAAAAGATGCACAGTCCCTGCAAATCTTTCAACACGATGCACTGACAGAACGTCTTTTTTAAATAAGGCGGCCTAAATCAAAGAGGGTACTTACCGGTACTACAAAAGATGTGATAACTTCCTGTTCTAAGGAAGAAAGATCTGTTTTGTCAACAGGGATTTTTCTCTAAGAAGACAGAAACAGGAAGCAGCATATGTTCCTACAACACCACCGGGGGTTGGAAAACTGTGAATTTGTCAGAGCATTTTCATTTTCTCTCGTAAGCTGTCTGAGGAAATTTAGAAAAGTGACAATCCACGGCTGCTGGAAATCCAGAGGAAAGCTTGTGGAGCTTACTGAGAATCCCAGTGAACCCTGGAGACCTATCCCAAGCTGGGCAATCAGAGGTCGTAGCATGCCGGATGAATGAGGTCAACCTTTGGCTTTAAACGTCCCATCACCTCAGCAGTGTTGGCTTCGGATTCTCACTGCATGAGCTGAGCAAAGAAAAAAAACAACTGAAAATGGAGGTAGGGATGAGTGTGGAAGATAGGGCCGAGGTTGCAGTTAGTGGAGCAAAGATACAACAATAAATCTGCTCAGGTTTTATTGTGAGACAGGTGGTAAATGTAAAGTGGAAGAGGCCTGCAGACTTTCCCACATAACCATCTCTTCTTCTGCCTTGAAAGTCATCATCTCCTTCAGCTGGACGGCACATTGGCTTCCTTCTGCCTTAACCTCTCTTTCTGTTGGCAACAGAGGGAAAAGGATTAAGTGTATTGATTTCTGTACTGATGCAAAGTTAGGCAGCTTTTAGAAAACACTATTATTGAGCGGGAATAAATAGTACTTCTTACCAGACTGTTGGCATTGATCTTTTTGGTTTCCACTCTTTTTTCTGCAGTGATTTTCTTTATATTTTCTTGAGCTTCCTTCAACCTTTAGGAAAACAAAACCACAAAAATGTAGCCAATAAATATAAATTATCAGGCCATTTACAACCAGACATATGGAGGAGAAACCTCGTATTAATGTGTCCTTAATGAAAGAGGTTAGGTAACATGAGGAATTGATTTCCCTTTAACTTTTCTGGATTTTTGTTAAGTTATACCAACAACCTTCCTTGTATTCTACTATGATTTTGTTTTAACAGACAAACATGAAGCAGAGCATAATAATGGGTGGGAAGAAAAAGGATTATTTATTAGTTTTAGAAACTAAGACCTAAATACTTGATGTGCACGTCTAAAGAATGAATTATATTTCCAGTCTTATGTGCAAAAACAGCTCAAGTTCAGTCATATTGAAAAGTTAGGCCCTATGAGCATTCATTTTCAAGCCTTCCCACAGATTAAATAAAGGTCCTGACTTTGACTTGGCCATTTTATCATGAATATGATAACATGACAATCTTCATTACAATCATGATTAAGACAATCTTCCCTGTCCTCACTGAAGAAAATAACTCCAACATTAGGTTTAATGGCGATATAACATTTCAGTCTTTCTCCAAAGATAGTGCTGAGCACATTGACCAGTATTTTTTAATATATTCTTATCTGACCAGACTACCTTCTTCCACGTTTGCTGCATCCAACGAAAATCTCCTATTACATTATTTTCAGTTTTCCTAACACCCACATTTATGGAGATCATGACTAATTGTTGGTTTACCGCAAAAAAGTATTTTCTAAAAAGAGCACACCCTTAGAATTAAGAAATTAGCAATTTTTTCCCTTTTCATGTATTAAAGGATAGTACACCCAAAACATGATTAGCCTTCATTTTCTACTCACCCCCATGCTGAACAACACTCTGGAGTACTTTTTTGATATCTCAAATGCATCTGGAGATCTGGGAGGCTTCTTGCTGTCTGCTGACATTCAAATAATGGAGGTCTATGGTGCCCGAGGCAGAAAGGTCCATAAAAGTCCACAAAAAACGTGTCAATATTCCTCCATACTGCTCGTCCAATGTATTCCAAGTGCCCTGAGTGGGTAGCGTCCATAATTTACTCGAAACGAAGTCATTTAGAATGTTTTTAGAGCATAAACAGAAGTGTATAGGATTTCCTGAAAGCGCGTTCACGACGCTACGGAAACCGCGGCAGACCAAACCAGATGAAAGTGCGCATTCAGCTCGGCAAAGAACTCATGCTCTTCCTCAACACTGAAGTCCTCAGACATTTTTCTTTCGTTGTTTCTTTCTTTGCACAGGTAAACAGCACATTTCTTCTTCTACGCTTGCATTATCGGCAGAGCAGACACTGAATGCGCACTTTCATCTGGTTTGGTCTGCCGCGGTTTCCGTAGACTCGTGAACGCGCTTTTAGGAAATCCTATACACTACTGTTTAGGCTCTAAAAACATTCTAAATGACTTTGTTTCGAGTAAATTATGGACACTTGGAATACATTGGACGAGCAGTATGGAGGAATATTGACACGTTTTTTGTGGACTTTTATGGACCTTTCTCTCTCCGGCGCCATAGACCTCCATTATTTGAATGTCAGCAGACAGCAAGAAGCCTCCCAGATCTCCAGATGCATTTGAGATATCAAAAAAGTACTCCAGAGTGTTGTTCAGCATGGGGGTGAGTAGAAAATGAAGGCTAATCATGTTTTGGGTGTACTATTCCTTTAATTTTAAATATTAAAATAACAAATTAACAGAAATGTATTCAAATTAAATTCTGAGCTATTTAAAAATTTGACTTACTTACGAAGATAAAATATATTTTTTAAAGTTAATGATGTATGATGTATGCTTCAAACAAAATAGGACAATTAATACATATGGAAGTTTTACACTTTTAAACAGTACTGAATAAGTGATTTACAGATGAGTATTCTGCCAGATAAGAAAGGGTCATTATGTATTCTGACCACATACTTGTTAAGGGAATTTAGTATTTTTATTTAATAACACCATTCTGTTATCATTGATGTTATATTACTTCGTTATTTTCTATGGAAATACAAATACCCTTTAATTTTAAACAATGTCATGATAATTAACCCCCCCTTGTAGCCCAACTGTAAATCACTACCCATAAGTCAACAAAATAACAATTGGTTCAGGGGGTGTGAATATTTCTGCAAGACACTGCAGGTAAAATCACCAGGACTAAACCAACATGTGGATCCTTTTCTGAGTTTGCGGTCAGTTAAAGCCTTTTTAAGAGCGAGGCCGTTGAGAATGACAGTAGTTTGATGAGGTAATGAGGATGCCTTTAAAAGGAACTTTGGTTTTATGGGTGTGCAAACAGTATTTCAAATAAAGTTGGTTCTACATAAGCACAATCAAAAGTGGGTAATGTGACTCAAGATTGAAATTATGATTGAGCAAATGCAAAGCAGGGGCAATGAAAATCTCCTCAGTGTCACTGGAAATGACAAAAGACTCTAAATGATATCTAATACTAGAACCTGAAAGTTTGTTTAGACACTGTTTATTCCTCTGCTTCCCTTTAAAAGCTGCACTTTGTTTCTGCTGGCGCGGGTCTGCGAGCCTTCAGGCTGGACGCCCAGTGTCATTACCGTGTTCATCAGTCCTCCCTTGATGCGCAGACTTTTTAAAAGGCTACAGACCAGTAAAGCTAGGCGGCAGCCAGGAGGGTCTCTCGTCTCTCCGTGGAATGCCCCCTCCTCACCTTCAACCCCTAAAATGACGCCTCAGGTCAGAGGAAATACTATAAATTCAGGGGCAAGTCCTGAAACAGGACTAAGGCCTTAGCAACTCCCATCTGCCTCCTCTTTCATGGCCTCCCTCTTTACTTTAATTACAACTTGCTTTTGCTAATTTGAGATGTCCTGAAGATCTATGCTGGCATGTACAAGAAATTAAGCTTGACGCCATTAAAGTTTTCTGTACAGCTGCATTAGTGCATGTCAGCAACAATGCTCTACAGTGCCTTTTACAAAAGCAATGCTACAATAATTCAAATTCAGTATTTTGCAGGATTGATGAGTGAAACACTTAAGGTCACCATGCTGCTTAATATTTCTGAAAAGAAAAGTGCAATGCTTACTCCATCCACTTAAATCTTTTCTCAATCACAAAACGAATGGTACAACTGTGTAAGAAGAATGTGACTCACCTCTCCTGGGAAATGATCTTGCTTTGTTTTTTCCAGGAGTTCTTGAAATCATTGCAGAACTCGTACCAGAGCATGAAGATATAGTTTGGAGTGACTTCTTTCTCACCAGGCTTAGGCTTCACACCAAAATAGCTCACTACATCCTGGAAACTGCAGAGGAGGGGGATACGACAAAGGTTCAAGCAGGTGTGTTCAGTGGTGATTTGAATCATAAGATTAAACTAAAGATGCATTAAGAAATTATTTAAGACTGACATGGGCAGATTTTATATGAATCAAAACTAAGAAAAAAAATCTGATGAGCAAATTTGCCATGACAAGCAATACCAGGGAGCACTTAATTCATCAGTCTTTGGTGTCGAGTTTATAACCACTAAAAATCTCCTGTTATATTCAGTATCAAAGAGATATTTGGACTGAAGTGAGAAAAGCATCCAAAAAAAGAAAAGTGCATTTTTTAAGTAGGCAAGTCAGTTTTGTGGTCAGTTTTTATGCAGACCACAACAATAAACAGTTAAATCTAAAAAAGTAAAATTACAGTGATATATTTCAATCCTTTTTGTTGTAATTTTGATGCTTATAGCTTCCAGATGATGAAAACCCAAATTTCAGCATCTAAGAAAATTTTAATGCTGTAATCAGCTAATTACCTTACAACACCTCCAAAAGTTTCCTGAAAAAGTTTCCTGAACCTATAAATGGTTTATCTGGGTCAGTAGGCTACACAATATTGGTTAAGACTGCTGACTTGACAGATGTCTAGAGGACAGTCATTGACACCCTTCACAAGGACAGTAAGCCTCAAAAGGTCATTGCTGAACAAGACAGTTCTTCACAGAGTTCTGTATCCAACCATTTTTATAAAAACGCTTTAGAAAGAATGGACAGAGGCTGAAGTTGGAAGCCTGAAGCGTCCACACTTAGGCAAGGCATGGGCTATGAATAATGCAAAGACCCTCCTGAACCAGAAGAAAGTCTTAATTTAAAATTACATTTTCAGCTGACAAGCAGGAGGTGCTGGTTTTATTTTCCAGGAGGAATTGTCCCTTGCCCACAACTCCAAAGGTACCAGAAGCTAGTTTATTGACCATTGTGTTTCTTTTCTTGATTGGTCAGCAAACTACCCTTACCTGAACCCCATAGAAAATGAATGAAGATGGGAAAATGAGAGACGCCACGTCCAACAAGGCAGATGACCTGAGAACAGCCATCAAAGAAATCTGGACTTCAATTACACCACACAATAAAAACCTATGCTCCACAGCAAACTCATGCAACAGGAAGGATAAAAAATATTAAGAGCATAGAAATGGATATTGTTTTCAGAAGTTTGACATATTTGCTCAAAATCTGATGGTCTGATTTGATATTCCAATTTTATGAGACACTGAATTTTGTGTTTTCTACCAAAACCATAAAAAATTAAAGAAACTAGAAAAGCACCTAGAGAGCACAGGCTGCTGCCAAGTAGCAAATTTTTCCCCAGATGGTGATTTACACCTGAAGCTAAAACTCCCACGTAAACTGGGTTATTATAATTATAATAATAATAATAATTCATTTAATTTATGCTGCACTTTCCATCAAAAAAGCTTTGCTAAAAATAAATGTTTTAAACCCTTTTTTTTTTTAAACCTCACTGGATTAAATTGTTAATTGATATTAACAATTTAAAATAATTGATCCTTAGCCTGAGGGACACCTCTGATAAAAAGTTTCTATGAAATCAGTTCAGAAGTTTTCAATAGATCCTTCTAACAAGCCAACAATGTTCCCTTTTCTTCTGTTTTTGTCTTCAGTAAAATACCTGTGGACTTTCTGGGTCTGATACTGAGGCTGTCAATAGTCACTGTTGCCACCCTTGGTTTTGTGGATAACTGCTTATTCTGCTAAATATCCCATCTCACAATGTTAGAGAATCTTTAAAAGATTTCTGTATCCAGATTATGGTTTGGATAATCACCAAAATGTAACGGATTTTTCCTTGGCATGAAGGAAAAATTCATTCATCCATCCACAATTTTTCAAGTTATCCTGTACACTGACAGACAAACAAATAGACAAACTCTCCTAGAAACACAATCTCCTTGGTGGAGGTAATAAAAGCTTGAAAAATTTTTACCCTGTGTAATAATTCTACATGAACATAACTTTTTGATATTACTGGCAAAAAATAATGCTATATTAAGTAATATTCTGATTTAGTTGAAGTGCCGTTATAAGAGACAGATGACTTTATGCATTAAATTCAATTCAATTTTGTTTATTTATAAAGTGCCAATTTACAGTATATGTCTCCTCAAGGCACTTTATAGAGATAATTCAACCAGATCAAACAGTCAGATTGGTTCAAGGTTTTCTATCTGAGGAAAACCAGTTGATTGCATCAACAGCAATCCCTCATACCAAGCATGCTTTTAGTGACAGTGGAGAGGAAAAACTCCCTTTTAAGAGGAATAAATCTAAAACAGAACCAGGCTCAGAGTGAGTGACAGAAAGAAGCAGAGATACAAAAGGTAACTGTCATTCCCAAAAAGTAAAAAAAAAATCCACTGGACTTTGTTTCCAAGTTTGAAGATGTTTCCCTTCCCATCCAGGAAGCTCTTTTAATTCAAAATGTCAGAAATATATTTATATTCTATATAAGCTACTGGAACTAGAATTTCTTCTGAAGGAGAAATCCAAGGGATAAATAAAGTTGAGTCTAAGTCTACTTTATTTGTCCTTGATACGAATTAACCATCTCTATTGAGATTTCATGTTTGAATAATTTTATTCTCTTATCAAAACACATTTTTGTGGGTTTGCTTTTGAACACAACATAAAAACTAACCCAAGAGAAGCATGTTATAAAGGGTCTGCCCTGCTTGATTTCACCTGCCTTTTAGATAATCGTGTACACCTCAGTAAGGCTAAAGACTGGACAGCAGTAGCTTTTATTCCCCATAAATAGATTAGATCATTTATTCCCTCACTAGATAGTGAATATTTTCAGTGGTGAAATACTTTCAGAGGGAAACGGCTCTGTAACATTAGGGAAGGAGTAGCTGTAGCACAATTACTGGTTTGACCTCTGCAGTGTTCAGCATGTAAGCTCAGGGAAAAGACAGCCAAACATAGCTAAGTTCCAAAAGCATAATCACATAATTGAGAAATAAAACCCCCCAAAAGGCATGAATTAAATCCTAAACATATAATGCTTTACATTTAACTATCTATCTAACTGTGTCTGAAATCCTCACACAGCTCTCAGCAGCACACAAGGCCCCAAATCAGTGTTTTGCTTCTGATCCTCTTTAGAGCCCAAAACATGGAGGATATTTTCAAGCTGCGCCTGTCATGGTGTAAGATAAAAGAGGGCCATCATTTAAAGGATGCTCTCTGTCGCTCTGACTCTAAGGTAGGCCTTGACCTCCAGATGCTGGGTGGCTATTTGAAAAGCTGATCTGATACGGAAATTTCTCCAGAAGCCTGCTTTATGTTTTAATTATTTTGGCAGGGCTATGCCATATATCCTCCTGCGCACAAAGATAGAAGAACGACAGCCCTGAGAAGTGCGGATTGACCGTCACAGGTAGCTTTGCTGCAGCTGGCCTGCCATCCCATGACAAACGGAAACTCTTCTCTGTCAGCTCCCCTCCTGACCCTGGGTCATCATGTCAAAGCTTGCACAAATCAAACAACAAGACTTTACTTTAAGCCTCACATGCACTCATTAAGCCAAAACAGATGTAATAGCAATAAGAAAAATATCATAACTCTTATTTATCAATTCACAAACAGATTAGGAACAACTACATTTCTATATCTACACATGACAACAATTACCAAGAGAAGTGCCCAATGCTATCATTCCTTACTGACAGTTAATTTAGAAAAAAGAAGAAAAAAACTCTGAAAAAATCAGGCCAATATTTAAACAGGCAAATCTTTGCATTCTTTTGTTTCCACTGGTGAAAAGATTTACGAAGGTAAAGATGTTGTCATGGACTCAGTGCAAATGCAGATCTGAGGTCAGTTTCTGCAGTGAAATACAGAAAAATAGCTATCACCAACCAAAACCGTAACTGTACGGTGACTGCAGAGGTGGCACCGGGGCCAAATGAAATTGAGCGTGATGGTGGAGAAGGAAACTTAATGAGACAGAACTGAGGGGGGAAAAAAAACAGAAAACATGAGCGGAGGCCCAAACATGAAGCAGACAAATTAGGCCTGCATGTTGAGGTAAAGGCCAACTAATGATTAAACAGGAAATTTACTTGGTATAGATTTAATCCTCATTAAGGGTGAAAAGCTTAGTTTGAAGAATTTAGCTTAAAAAAATCTCTCTATTCTTTGATAATCAATTCTGTGCAGCCCTTAACTGTATGAAGTTTCACCAAAGTATTCACACCCATCGGGACTCTAACATTCTGAAAGTAAGAGACATTAATTCACTTTAAAGAGACACTGACACAAAGAAATGCATAATTATGTAATGTGGATCATTTCAAAATTTAGTTCAGAAATATTTCTCAAAAGTGTGGCCAGTATTTGTCTTAGCCTCTTTTACTTCAAGCCCCTAAAAGAAATGAAATGCCTTAAGAAGTTTCCTACTTAATAGAGGAATATGTAAATGTTTGCAAAGCCTCAAAAAAAAAAAAAAAAAAAAATCTGGACTAGGAATCAAAGAAGTTGAAATATAAGAATTGTTCCATTTTTCAAAAATTAAAACAAATTTGGGAGCCATGTTGTAGGAAATGTAACTTAAAACTTCTGTAGGATTTATTCTTAGATTTAACATGACATTTCTTTGCAGTTACAGTTTAATTTTACCATTTTATCATAAAAAAACTTTTGATTTTCAAGTTAGCCAAGTTAGGTTCAGATAATCCCCTTGAAAAAAAATGTTTGTCTTTAGTATGAATAATAAGTAATTGTGTAATTCAATAATTTAGAATACAATGAAATTAATTTACTTCAGTAATTTATTCAGAAAATGAAAAAAAAACATTCAATGGACAGATAAATACATATTAAAAAGTTAAATCAGCCTTTTTTTTTACAGTCCACATAATACTGTGTTTCTTTGTGCTGCTTGTGTATCTTTTCTACCAGACTTTCTGCTTCTAATTAAGTTTAAAATAATTTACTTTGATAAAACACTATAATGAGCTACACAGTAGTTGACCTGGATTATTACAATAGTACTGCAAAGTTGTACTGACTTTATAAATAAGTAAAAAAATACACAGCTACACAGAAGTTGGCATGTGTAAGTTTTTACTTATTTATAAGTAAAAAATCCCAATAAAGTAAACCATTAACTATGTTTAATCAAAATGTAATATATATTAAAAAGCATGATAAGTTTAAATTGATAAAATCGTGAAATTTTAGTAATTTAATAGGACACATTATAACCTTTTATCCGGTTTTTAGTTTAATGTAAAACAAAAACACTTGTTTCAGTTAACATACTGAGGCCTGACATGTTTTACTTCTACTCTGATGAACCCCCCACTCCCCCCCCCCCCCCTGCATCCAGCTCGGACCATCAGGTTAAGCTTCAAGGATCAGCTCTCTGTAATAGTCTTGTTCTCCGTTTCGTTTCGGCTGTATATTTTGTTGTTGCCGCGGTTTGTTTGAGAATCTCTCATCCAGTGCAGATGTGAGAGCCCACCCAGGGCCCACAGTGCCCACGGACACTCATATTCATCAAAAAACGTGTCACTTTTATGAGGTGGCTCTGTGGGAACCTGAGAAAGACAGACCCCTGCCTCCCTCTTGTTCTGCAGTTTCGCCAGCCCCTCACCCTCTGTTTAGATGAAATTAAAGGAAAACTTCATTAAAGCAAAGGCGCTGTCGGCTGTGAGGGCCTTTTGATCAATATTCCCTTGCAAAAGTTCAACACCTTCGTAAGAGTGGTGCAACTCACACTCAAATGGTCAAGTATGGACATTTCAGCCATAGTTCAGTGAATAGAAGTATCACTGGAAGATAAGAAAGGGATGAAGAGGCAGAGAGGTGTAGCCATCCCTTAAAGATCAGCCAGGCTAGAAACAGCAATAACAAGCAGAGCACTTTAGAGACGTTCTTTGAGTTATGCGGTTGTCCAAAGCAATCAAATGTTCTTTTTTATTGTTTATAGGTTCCATTCTCTCATGTCCGGTGTCTTTCACCCGCTTCTTTATGCGCTGTCATTATTTATTTTGAAAGTTGGAGGGTTATGATATAAAGCAAACAAACCTGCTCCCTATCCAAACAAGGCCAAAATAATCTAGTTACTTTGTTTGTCTACTCCACCATATTTTTCCAATATGAAATCTTCCAGAGGAGATTTAGCTCAGACAGCAAGCTCGGCGTGTCTTAAACCCATAAATCAAGATGCTTTGCAGGAAGACTTTTGGGAGTCTTCTGGATTAAACACAGCAGATAAGAACAACAGAATCTAGGGAGGATGCTTGTGGCATCCAGGTTTCTGTGGAAGCTCACTGGTGTTTCTCTCATCCATGTGGTGGGCTAATTCATTCAGTACCTTTCAAGGAACCTAGAGGTTAGAGCAGGTATAGTCTAATAATCTAACCCTTTTCCAGTTTATTTCATTAAGGCAGATAAATATGGAAAAGACCCTAAAACTTTAGCCAAACTAAGAGATGGTAGTGTTGGAACTGCTCACCTTTAGAAGTCCAGTCCCATTTCAGACTAAAGTAAGCCTTTAATTTTTCAATTTACATAAGAATGTCTAAGTGCTTCTCTAAGTTTAATTTTATGCCTTTAATTAGTAGACGTTTGTATCTAAGCTGGGTCATAAACCTATGTGTGTGGTCAAGAAATAATGTTTAACTGATGTTAGATTTTAATCAGGTTGAATAACAAATTTTTTTATAATAATTGAACTTTATTGATCTCATATTGGAGAAATTTTACCTCTGCATTTAACCCATCCACAGTGGGGAGCAGTGGGCTGCCACCGTGGGGCGCCCGTAGAGCAGCGTGATGTTAAGGGTCTTACTCAGAAACTCAGAGTGTCAGTCTGTGGGAGAGGGGCTCGAACTCAGAACCTCAGGATTCTCCGCTCTATGCACTAACCACTAGGCAACCACTCCCCAATCTAATACATATATTTATATAAATATATATATATAAATATATATATATATATATATATATATATATATATATACATACATATATATATATATATACATATATATATATATATATAAATATATATATATATATATATTTATATATAAATATATATATATATATATATATATATATATATATACATATATATACATATATGTATGTATATATATATATATATACATACATATATATATATATACATACATATATATATACATACACATATATATACATACACATATATATATATATATATATATATATATATATATATATATATATATATATATATATATATATATATATATATATATATATATATAAATATAAATATATATATATATATACTATTACTATAGGAAAAATAATGGCAGATAATAGCAGATAAAGGATTTACAGATTATTTGTTAGTGTTTTAGGGTTGCTTTCCAATAAAAAATGCAGTGAAATCTAGTTTCCCCTTTTTAAAACTGGTGAAGATTGTTGAATGATTAAATAAAGACATTTTTTTGATATTTTTTTTTCTTGGATCTTAACTCTAATTTCTGATGGTTTTTTTTATAACTTTAAAATAATTGCCATAGCTTGTGTATTCTTCCTACCTTTTTTGTACTGCGTCGTACCGCTTTTCTTCATCAGAATGCTCTTTTTGAGCTGCAACATATTAAAGAAAAAGTTAGAATCATCAAAAAAAAAAAAAAAAAAGAATCAGCCAATGACTCCTGTAGAGGGCACTGTGTTAATTCACTATCATTTAGATTATGAGTTACAGAAGAAATGCTAGGAGTTTACAGGTGCTGGTCATAAAATTAGAATATCATGAAAAAGTAGATTGATTTCAGTAATTCCATTTAAAAAGTGAAACTTGTATATTATATTCATACATTACATACAAACTCATATATTTCAGATGTTTATTTTGTTTAATTTTGATGATTACAAATGACAACAAATGAAAATCTCAAATTCATCATATCAGAAAATTAGAATATTGTGAAAAGGTTCAAAATTGATGGCCCCTGGTGCCACACTCTAATCAGCTAATTAACTCAAACCACCTGCAAAAGCCTTTAAATGGTCTTTCAGTCTAGTTCTATAGGCTACACAATCATGGGGAAGACTGCTGACTTGACAGTTGTCCAAAAGACGACCATCGACACCTTGCACAAGGAGGGCAAGACACAAAAGGTCATCGCTAAAGAGGCTGGCTGTTCACAGAGCTCAGTGTCCAAGCACATTAATAGAGAGGCGAAGGGAAGGAAAAGATGTGGTCGAAAAAAGTGTACAAGCAAGAGAGATAACCGCACCCTGGAGAGGATTGTGAAACAAAACCCATTCAAAAATGTGGGGGAGATTCACAAAGAGTGGACTGCAGCTGGAGTGAGTGCTTCAAGAACCACCACACACAGACGTATGAAAGACATGGGTTTCTGCTGTCGCATTCCTTGTGTCAAGCCACTCTTGAACCACAGACAGCGTCAGAAGCGTCTTGCCTGGGCTAAAGAGAAACAGGACTGGACTGCTGGTGAGTGGTCCAAAGTCATGTTCTCTGATGAAAGTAAATTTTGCATTTCCTTTGGAAATCAAGGTCCCAGAGTCTGGAGGAAAAGAAGAGAGGCACTTCATCCACGTTGCTTGAAGTCCAGTGTAAAGTTTCCACAGTCAGTGATGGTTTGGGGTGCCATGTCATCTGCTGGTGTTGGTCCATTGTGTTTTCTGAGGTCCAGGGTCAACGCAGCCACATACCAGGAAGTTTTAGAGCACTTCATGCTTCCTGCAGCTGACCAACTTTTTGGAGATGCAGATTTCATTTTCCAACAGGACTTGGCACCTGCACACAGTGCCAAAGCTACCAGTACCTGGTTGAAGGACCATGGTATCCCTGTTCTTAATTGGCCAGCAAACTCTCCTGACCTTAACCCCATAGAAAATCTATGGGGTATTGTGAAGAAGAAGATGCAATACACCAGACCCAACAATTCAGAAGAGCTAAAAGCCACTATTAGAGCAACCTGGGCTATCATAACACCTGAGCAGTGCCACAGACTGATCGACTCCATGCCACGCCGCATTGCTGCAGTAATACAGGCCAAAGGAGGCCCAACTAAATACTGAGTGCTGTACATGCTCATACTTTTCATGTTCATACTTTTCAGTTGGCCAACATTTCTATAAATCCTTTGTTTTTATTGGTCTTCAGTAATATTCTAATTTTCTGATATGATGAATTTGAGATTTTCTTTTGTTGTCATTTGTAATCATCAAAATTAAACAAAATAAACATCTGAAATATATGAGTTTGTATGTAATGTATGAATATAATATACAAGTTTCACTTTTTAAATGGAATTACTGAAATCAATCTACTTTTTCATGATATTCTAATTTTATGACCAGCACCTGTATATGTCAGACTCTGTAAATATGTTACCTAACAAATTATTTAGTACACTGTAAAGTTTGACAGGTCTCTACTTGTTGATGTTCAGACGGGTGAGTGTCTGACCCCTAGACTTTAGAGGTGGGGAGATGTGGTGTTTGTTGAGTGTTTTTCGTGTACGTTTGTGTACGTGTGTAGGCATATAGCTGCATGTTTTCGATAGAGAAGAGAAGCTTGGGAACCGAGGGCTCTTGTGGACTGCTGCCATGTAAAAGTGTCTAAATGCAAGGCAGATGTGTGCGGCGGCCAAGCTGAGGTGCAAGAATTTATCTAGGGCCAAAGAGTGCCTGTGATCTCAGATTTATTGCATTTTTCCAGATTCATCCTTTTTACAATGATGGGGAACCTTTTCTACTTGAAGATTTAAGAGGGGGAAGTCTCCAAAAAATTGTTCAAAGGCAGGTTTGGGGGTCTTCTGGGAGTATGTGAACTAAAGCCTGCGATCAACAACCCCTTTTATTTTTAGGCCTTTTTTACATGTATGTTGGGTAAAACTTAATGATGGGGGTGAAGGGGGGCATGTCTGGTATAAAAGGAGGAGGGGGAAGAAGAGAGGGGCCGTGACCAATGGTTTTAGTCTCAGTGGGGGTCAGGCTGGCGCCTGAGGTACCCCTCTGGTGTGACTGCAGAGGTGGCACAGGAGCCGAGAAACCGAGGAAAAGAAAGTGGCCCAGAAAGGAGACGTGTGAAGTTTCTCTTCCTCCACTCCATGTGTTAACATGAAACCACTAGTCACTAACTAGAAAGTTATGAGACGTGCATGCTGAGAGGGATAATAAATTAGGGCTTTAAAACTCTGACACACTTTTCTTAACCGCTGCTTTAACCAGTAGCCAGATAATAGGATGAGGAGAAATCTAAAGCAACAGATCATACAGCATATCACTCTATCAGAAACAGATTAGTCTAAGGTTATATCAAATATTATCCGGACACTTTGAGATCTTATATTATAAACACACGCTTCAATATACTTGTTTTGGATTTTATCGAGACCACATTGAAATATATAAAGCATTGCATGATGAAGGAATTTTCAATTTATTTTCAATTAGAAAAGTGAGGTGTCAATCTGTATTCCAACCTGTAAAGATTAGCAAAAATACCATCTTGAAGACCAAGAAACATCCCAGAGAGTTCAGTGACAGGTTTGTGAAGACGTTATGCTTACACTGCAAAAAAGGGTACTATCTAAATAAGTGACGTTTTCTTAAAAAGGGCGTGTTTTTTCTTGAATTGATTAGATAATTTAGATATATTTGCCAAGAGAACAAGGCAATTTACATTTAAAATAAGAAAAAACAATTATATTGTCTTATTTCAAGTGCATATATTCTAATTATCTTATCTTAAGAGTAAAAAATCTCATTCCATGGGAATATCATTTTATTTACCTACTGAAATTAAGGGTAAATACACTCAATTTAAGAATTTGTTTTACTTATTTCTAGTTTCAGATTGTTTTTGCACTGCACTGCAAAAAATAGAAATCTAAATAAGTCAAGTTTTTTTTTTTTAAATAAGGGCATTTTTTAATGAATTGAGGTGGTAATTAACACCCTTTGCCAATGGAACAAGATAATTTACATTTAAAATAAGAAAAAAAGAAGCATATTATCTAATTATCTTATTTTGAGAGTAAAAATACAAATTACATTGGCAAATCATCTTATTTACCTGCCCAAATTAAGGGTTAATACACTTTTACTTATTTCTAGTTCTAGATCGTTTTTGCAGTGTAGGCTATGAAATCATATCCAAGCTTTAGATATTTAGGTGAATATTGATCACACTAGACAGGTGCTATAGACTATATAGGGTTTATGACAAACATGACAGCAGGACTCATTGAGGCAACATCAAGAATAAAGTTTAACATTAATTGGTTCATTCTATGCACATGGAAAACATTACTCTGCCCAGCAAAAATCCCAATTAGTTCCTTCTCAATTCCTACTCAGGGTTTATGCTATCTTTCATGTTTGTTGTAATATGTCATATCATGTGTAAGACACATGTAAGCGTGACTTTTTGAGTCTTACCCTGGATAGGAGACTTTGTTTTAATGATGAGTCAGAGTTTATTTGCCTCAGCTGCTCTTTGATGCACATGCTGCTAACTTGTTTTTTGCCTTTTGAAGTCATGGAATCCTTGCAAACACTGACCATTCATACCTTCCAAGTTTCTAAAAGAAACTTTGCTTATTAAGAATCATTTTTACAAGTTATATTTTCAAAGAGCTCAAAGATCTATTTTCATGTTAAACAAAACCGACGCTGCATTAAAATATTATGATGCTGGCTAAAGTTAAAAAGTAGTGTTAGGTCAACTATAAAACATGTAAAAAAAATAGGTTGTGGATATTGTTTTGTAATTACACTAGTTAACTAAATCTTATTTACATGTATTTTAGTAAAGGGGGTTGAATACAAATAGCTATCAAAGTTTTTTTTATTATTTGTAAAATAATTTGAACACCATGTATAATTTTCTTTCCACATTACAATTCCTAAGGCAATTTGTTGGACTGGATTATACTTAGAGGTACATAGTACAGGTGGTTGAAGACAAACGCATAGTTTTATTATTTTCTAAACCAAAGGCAGAAAGTATTTATTCAGTCACTGATTGTAAAGCTCCCCTCCTTAAAAACACGGGACAGACCTGTAGTTTTCTTTAACTTTGAAAGACAATATGAAAAGAAAAAAAACGGAGGAATTCCCATTGTAGGAATTTTTTTTAAGAATTCTTTTATAAATTATGGTAGAAAAGATGTCTAGAAATCCTGTAGTGCCAGGCATGTCCCCCTATTTTGGCCCGTCAGAAATTTCCCAGAGAGCATATGGAAGATCCAGTAGAAGACTGGTAGATTATCATGAGGTCAAATGAAATAAAAAAACATTTTTGCACAAACTCAATTCTGTGTGTTTGGAGAAAGTAAATGTGGAGTTGCAGCCAAAGAACACCAAGCCTGCTGTGAAGCATGGCAGTGGAAACATCATGCTTTGGGGCTGTTTGGATATAAGATCATGTAATGGGATATTTTAAACCAAAACATCCTTCCATCAGTGAGGGCAATGAAGATAGAATGTGGTTGTGTCTTCCAGCATGACAATGATCCCAAACATGTCACTCAGGCAACGAAACTGAAACAAAAGAATTTCATGGTTCTGGAGTGGCCTTGCCAGTCTCCAGAGTTCAAACACCTCAAAGATTAGAGGAGGAAGCTGAAAGCCTTTGTTGCTCAGTGAGAGGAGATGTGCATGGAGGAATTGGCCAAAATTCCAGCTATAGTGTGAGCAAACCTGGTGAAGACCTATGAAACATTTGATCTCTGTCTTTACCAACAAAGGCCATGCTACAAAGTGTGAAGTTCAACTGTTGTTTTTGAGCAAATGCCTATTTTCCACCATAATTTACAGCTTTTCTAAAAAAACTACAAAGTTATTTCCTTGATTTTTTTCTATTAGTTTTTCTCATAGCTGAAGTATACCTTTGAGCAAAATAAAACACCTCTCTCATCTTTCAAAGTAGGAGAAATTCCACAATCAGTGGTTTACTACATACTTTTTCATCCCACTCTATACAATTCTCTACTGTTATGAATATGTGCTACTTTGTGTAAGTAAATCACATATAGCCCCAATAAGATACATTAAAGTTTCAAACTTTAATATGAAAATTCTAAAATAAATGATTATTTATGGATATTTTCAAAAAGTACTAACATATATAATGGAAATAATTGATTACACCTTTTAAATGACAAAATAACAGGTGAATTTTAAACTAGAAATTAGATTTCAATACAGACAAAAAGAAATAATAATAATCTTGACTTACCGGCTGAAACAAAGGCCTCCATCTTCTGCTTAAAGGGCTGCAGGTGTTCCTCTGACGAATTGGTACAGACTTTCTCCACATTCTTCTCGCAAGCTGGTAGAAAGAATGCAGAAAAAAAAAAGTTAATTACAGAATTTGAAGGTGACTTATCTACTAATGATTAAGTGGATGCAGATGCAACTTTTTTAGTTAAACAATCTTGTGTTTTGAAGACTATTTGTCATGACATTTGGGAAGATAGTTATGATCTAGCTGAATTCAGTGCGGGCTGAATTTACCTTGAGCTAGCATTAACTTGGGGACTTTACCCTGGCAAGTTTTTTTTTAATGCATAGTAATTAAAACTGACTAATGGTGAGGTGTTTAAAGTTTTGTAAAACTTGTCCATATAAAAATAAAACATTCCCAGATGGACTTTTGCTTTTTTGGCTGGGGGAAAAAGGTATTTTATGCATTTATTTACCTCTATTTATCCAGGAATGACCCACTGAGATTGTAAACCTTTTTTAACTGAGTTGTGGCCAAGAGGCAGAAGAAAACAGAACACTATTATTATTAGATATAAAAAAAATAGGTATATTTTATTTAATCTGCTTCAAGAAACACACTGAGCAGGTAATCGAAAAAAAAAGAAAGCTGTTTGCAAAGAAACCTATATCACATTGTAATTTAATTTTGCATTCAATTTTTCTTAATCTTTCTTAATATAATTTGGTTTGGTTAGCACTTTTACCTGTAGCTCCTGATTAACTATTACTGCCAGTAAAAGCTCTCATAATTCTTTTAATCTATAAAATTAGATATACATTCCCATTTATTAAAAAAACATTTCAGGGAATTTCTCTCAGCTTTTTCATACACAAAAGGATAATATTGCAAACTAAACTTGTAAGAATCTTAAAAAAGAGCAGTGTTGTTTCTTACATTTTAAAGGAATGACTCAAAAAAAGAAATGTAAAAAAGAAAACTGTATGGCTTCACAGAATTTGAAAATATTCATCTATAAGCTAGCAATACATACATATTTATTCTCAGCATCTGCAAAGGTTTGTGTGTGCACTTTATTTTTTAGCTGTTTCTCTACACATCATTCATTATGTTACATCTATCATTATTGCAATAATAGAGATCCATGTATAATTTGCTAAAGGGTCAGTGAGTCATTCCCCAAATGCTGTGTGATATGATCAGAATTTACAATGTTTCCGTATAAAATTTTTTTACCGTGACCCCAAAAGTACATTTAGTTCAATTTGTTTTCTTTTAACTGAGATTGAATAAGCTATGTTGTACAAATCTGAATGTTTTGAACTATTAATTAAATGAAGAAAATATGAATAAAGCAGGAGTAGAAAAAAAGGATAAAAAGCATAAGTTCAATACATAGGTCACTATTATATGCAGTGCTTTGTAAAAACGTTTGTGTGCTTTTTATCATGTGTTTGATCAAACACATTTCAATATAATAGCAAGATAATCGGTAAAAATACAAAAGAACCGTGCAATCCAAGCCAACAAGAAACTTTGTAAAATGATATTCCCATCGTGAAATATGAATTAACTGCAATAAAAAAAATACTTTGTTGCTTCAAAAGCAATATCCAAGGAGACAAAAAGATAAAAAAAAACAAAAAACAAAAAAAAAAACCTAATGCCTGGATCTTGCAGAAAGGAATAGATAAGAAACATAGTAGTGGACATCTATTTGTCTAGAAATAGAAATAAAGACTTTTCTTTTTTCTTTATCTCTACCAAAAATGCTCTCACCCATTGGAGAAAAGAATCAATTAAGCACTGCAAGCCTATTTTGCTTCAGTTTAGGTTAGTATTAATGATTTAATAACATGAAAGATGATAACACATCCTGATGATCCCAAGACATTTGTAGAAAATATATGTATTTTGGACGGTGTGCATCTTATTTAATATAGAGTGAAACTAACACATTTCAGAGAGGAAACATTACTATGACAGTCTATCATGGTGGCGAAGTGGCATGGACTGGGGCTGTTTGCTTCTTCAGGACATGGACAACTTGCTGTAATAGAACCAATGCATTCTAAATCCCTATGGGGAAAACCTAAAGAAGCTTTTATGGCCATTAGCCTGTGACCTTAAAAGTACATGCACCAGAACAATAACCGAAAGCACCAGAAAAAAAAAATAATGCCAGTTTAAATAGCATTTACTAGCAGTTATTGCAAAGGGAAAAAGTTACTAGATTTAGAGAGCAATAACTTTTCCTATGGGACTAGATCAGTTTACAAATCTTAGGCCATAACATACAGTACAGCGTTTAGGTTATGTTTACCTGAAGTTACCTCTAGTTTAATTATGTCAAACATTTGAGTGTGACAGAAAGAAAAATTGTACTAAAAAAAATTATATAAAGCATAGCATGCATGTTTAAATTAAGAAAAAAAGAAAGATGTATTAAAAACATCTTTAATTTTGAAATTGTTTCGTTTCGTCTTGAGCTTTATCGTAACAGTTAATGATGAAACGATCTCAGTCATCTTCCTGTAATTAACTGATAAGAAGACAAAACGGCAAACCAGACTTTAAACATAGTACTTACCAGGAAATGTTTATTTGTTAAAGATTTGAATGGGGATTTTCAACAACAAGCTGTGGTTTTAGTTTAATGTAGTGCAGGTTCTTTCTTTTTTTTTTTTAGATGCACCTATTTCAGCTCCTATAAAATTATTTACATCGGATTAAAACTTGTTCAACATGTTTCTTAAAGCTTAAAAATGAATTTTAAAACATCTAATCAAAAAGGTTTATTTTATAATAATGTAGAATTGGCATGATTGCAAAGTATTTCATTCTTAGAACTCCTGGGGTATGTTAGCGCAGCAGATGTGCTTGTGGTTTGTCGATGGCTTTTGGTTATCGTGCCAAATGATCCAACTCACACTAGCTCAGAGGAAACAGCCCTGACTGAGCGTGTGCCAGCCGAACCTTTCCCCATGTCCTTTCAACTGTAAGCCTGTGTAACTATACACAGAGGCGTCTAGCAAAACAACTTTGGCAATATCCTCCAACCTGTAAGTCATTAATGCCTGCAATAAATACCTTAACTTGCTTATGACTGCATAGCTAAATAGTTCTGCAAAAGAACAAGAGCATTAACAGGTCTGGTAGCTGTCTCACTTTACTGCGTCGCTGCTTTTACATCAGAGTGTGGCTTGGCTCTTACATGTTTGCATGAGAAGCTCTTGCACCTGCAACACAACACTCAACTACATTGTTTTATTTATCTAATTAAATCCATTTATTGATCAATTTAAAAACACAATATTTTGAATAGTATAAATGATGGGTTATCAAATGCAAACACACTTTCTGGATGAGAAGTTCATAAAAAGAAGAAAAAAAAGTGACCATAGAAACACACCAAACAATGTATTCTGTTTGGAAAAACCACACTTCCCAGGCAAAAATCCCCCAACTCAAAAGCACCTATTAAAATGGTGCTCAAAACAGCAAGTCTACAATTTAGAGGCGGCTTGTTTCCAAATGTGGTCCAGACAGTGAAGGACGCAACAAGGAAGCCCACAATAAACACAACAGCTGTAAAGAATAAAACCTAAATACTGGAGTTTTAAACATATCTTAGAGTGATAATGCATGTCTGGAAAAGCACAGCCACAAGGAGGATTGTGCTCTCAGAAAAGAGCAGAAAGACTTGGTGCAATCAAGAAAACGCAAAACCCCTTGGAGCTCTAGAAAAAATAGATATTTAAAAGAATTTCCTTGATTCGTTTTTCCCACAAATTAAGTGCTCTTCAATTAGACAGTCAGTGTTTACATACAAATAAATCATTGCTAGAAGAAAGAATGTTCTAATGTATAATGTTTTAAAGATAACTAAATTATACTAATGCATTAATATACATTTTTCATTTTACATAATAGACTTAGCTATGTATTCCTCCCTTTTTGAAAAAAAAAACAAAACCTAAACATATTAGAATAATTAAAATATAAGTCCACAAACAAACCACTGAACATTTATATATATATATATATATATATATATATATATATATATATATATATATATGTTTATATATATTCATTCCACCTGAAGTAAATATACGTAAATATACCTTTATTTTTCAGTTTGGGAATTTTATGGTTGGGAAAATACATTTATTTTTAAACGAATTTTGCTCTCTGTCCACAATGTTAAAAGTTACGTCATATTACTTATACTCCAAGCTACTCTTACATTGATTCAAGTAACATTCCATCCTCAACAGATATCCTATGGTTAACTGTGCTTTTCTATTTGTAAGGGTACAGTTCCAACCTATCCTGTATTTTAATATGATTTAAAGGCTGGCATAAAAGTAATGCACAAATTAAGATGAAACATTAAAATATTTAACATGAGACTTGGAAGCATTCTTCCTATAGCTGCCTTCCAAATGTGATCCCAGTAAAAAAAAATAAAATAAAATATAGCACTGCAAATATGGCTTTAGTTCTATTTTCAGTGGTAAATTAGGAATAAGAAAGCCCTACATGAAAACAAACTATTGATAAATAAATATATTTATTTGTGACTGTTTGGACTGTATTTAATAAGCCATTTTTTAAAATATTTTCTGAAGAAGACGTAGACAATAAAATAATTTATCCCCAAAGGGGAGATAAACAAAGCTAAGCGGAAAATCATTACTGATCTGGAGACAAACAAACTCTTTTAAACTAGTTTTTCAACAAAGAACTTCCTGTGTCTTAAAATATATGCATGCTTGTAGTGTCATATATGAGCCAAAGTTACTGACACTCTGGCAAAAACAAGTAAAATCCATATAACTCATCTCATCTTTCTATTGCAGCATCACACATACACAAAATATATATCTACAGTTTAACTTGAGCATATTTTACACATTTGAAAGTGAGACAATTACTGGTCCCCCTGTTGTAATTCCTCTATTTACCAATAAAATCATAAATCTTTTCTATAATATTTTACAAGGATTGAGGGAGAGGGGGGGTCTTACACATATCCTCTTTGCATAGTATTCTGATCCTTGGTCCTCCTATGCTCTTTCCTCTTCAGTTCACCTAAAAGG